ACATTTTAAATTCCATCAACGTGCATTCTTTTTTTTCATAAGCTTACACGAGATTGATAAATAATTTTTATTCGGCTAACGTTTCAACCTCTTCGTCTTCATCAGAGCCGATGATCTGAATCGATAGTCCACTGTTCTTCTTCGTCTTGATGCGCCGTCTTCGCCTTCGTATCCAGCTGTCTTCCTCAGCTGACCATCTCTCGAATCCGAAATAGTTTAAACTCCATTCTCATCTGGTTTTTGTATTAGAGTCTATTCCAGCACAATATTCTTTGGTTAGGACCAATCTCAATTCCTCGAGTTCTTGCGCAGTGTGGTCTTGGATCGAGAGCTATTTTTTTCTGGAATGAGGGATAGTTTCGTTGCTCTCTGCAGGTAAGGAAAGGTAGAGAGTACAGCAATTTTTCTTAGAATTACACTGAAATAACTTTATTGATATGGTCTAATTAAATTGTTGGCACTCTTATTTGACTTTGTCCGTTCGCTTGGATAGTGTTTAATGCTGTTCCATCGATGACAACCTAATGTTATGTTTTTTCTTCTGTTGTCACATCATAACCAGAACGGCATTATTTTCATAGCGAGTTATTTAGAATAAATACACATAACTAAAGATCGTGAAAAATTTTTCGGACTAATAACGTCCCTAATTCGAAGTGAAGGTTGAAGCTCGTACTTATCTATGGCAGGGGCTCTTGCTCCATAGAAGTACAGCCGTAGGGTGCGGGTGATCAGTTCGGCTTTTCTTATCCAAATGCGAGTTCCTAAGTTTGAACCGAGTTCTCTGTCATATCAGATATTTACGAAAGACTATTTGTGACAGTAAAATGTTTTAGAGACAATGGATAAAAGGTTCGCCAATAATATACTCCTCAGGGATGTGGAAAGCCTTTGAATTCATTGTTAGCATCATATAGGTGGTTGAATGCGAATTGGACATATCATTGACTTGCGACCATCTACGATGGAAAAAATCAGTGTTTTTATTCTCTCAGAAAACTGTTGTTGATTTATCCACATTGGAGGAATGGAGGGCTTGGTTTTCGGAGCGCGATGTCCAACCAACGACGACGAGTGAATATAAGGGAGCCTCCAACCACTGCGTTATACGGTGTCATGTATGTTGCTTGGAAGAGAATACTTCGTTCAGTATATCAATTTCAAAAAACGCAACGACATCTATATAGGAGTGGATTTGAGCGTGATAAGTCTGAACGCTTTCAGTCCGAACCAGGCTACGTATCCTTGGGTTGAGCAAGTCCTGGAGTTTTCGGTGTCCTTCCATATGACGTTCGCATACCGGTTTCGTCTTGCGCGCTTATCAATCGATGCGCATCGTTCTGACGGTCACCGAACGAGATTCCGTGAATGTTGAAGGTTTAGACTCAAAGCCTTCTCAATCCGATCAAATCCTCAAACACTTGGAATCTTGTTCCTTTCATTGTCAGTCTTTATCTAGATGAGGCAAAAGAGAGCTATAAATACAACAGCTCCTTGAGTTTTTCTAATTAAATTTCTCGTTTTGTTCGTTTTGTTGTTGATTGTGAATATTTTGTCTAAAACACCTGCATTGATAACCAACGGATTTTTAAGTGGTGTCCGATTACAATTCAAAAGGGCGATTTTCTATAAACTTCGGCATAAATAGTCAATGTATCTATTTAAATGTTCTTATGAACTGATCTTGTTGAAATATACTTGATGTATGGTACTTGAATGGCCCATCCTCACTGGTTGTGCGGGCCCCAGCATAATCACCATTTTTCGGAGTTTTGCTAGTTTAGCTATTGTGTTTCCCTGGAGCCGCGAGGTTAGCCTAGCAAAAGTCTGCCCCAGGTCGTCACCACCACAAGCAGTCGCAGCCCATATGGATCAGAGGGAGATTTCCCATCATGAGACTGATTTGATACCAGGACGGTAGTGGATCTTGGTATTGGTTTAGTCTTACCTAGTATTCCTGATAGAAATGCCGGACTCCTCAGCTTGGTATACTGCCATGGAGATGAATCTCCCAGCTAGCTGTACATCGCAGCCCGACACCCAGAAACATCTCCCAGCGAATTGGCCTCAATATGTTGCACCATCGATACGAAAACGTGTAGAACTGAAACTAGAAGTAGATAAAAATAGCTGCCACATAAGCATCTATCACCACAAGGACGTTTGCTCAGAAATGAAACGGCCGAAAACGGCCTACGATCGCTCCGAGTGTTTTCGTTCTCTCACAGATGTCCTGTTTTCTTTGGTATCTAATGGTCATCTAAGAAATCATATTAGTTGTTCAGTCGTTTTGTAAATGTAGAAATTCGAAGTGCTGAAGAAACATGTTTGCTCATGCCGGTGATATGAACTGCCATCCGAGGAAAGGAAATTTCGCGAGTGGGCGACAAGGGTGATGTTTACCGACCTTGTTGCCATCTCGCTTCACTGGGTTGGGTGTGACATTTATGAAAAAAAGAGCTCTTGGAAACTTCCGACAGCATTGGTCCATCCGTGCTTGAAACGACCTCCATCTTATTTCTGTCCTATTTCAGTTTCGTTCTTTGCTTATTGCTTATTCGCTCATTGTTGTGAATTTCGAATGATTTCCTCTTTTTCTTTTAGAATCTCTCAACCACCTCTCTTCATCAAAGCACTTTGAGATCAATATTATAACATTTTTCACCGTATGCTTCCACTTTTCATGATGTTTCGAGCGCTGTTTGAAGAGTTCGTGATGACATCAACTTAAGCTGTGTTAACTGCTGTCTTAGTCAAACAAAACCTTCGGCGACGCATTGAATTTCGACTCCATCCGTCCATAAACTGTTAATGAGTTTTGCGACAGTTGTTCTCTCGTTTTTGTTCTCGATTTATCGTATATAGACCTTCTGGCTATAGACAACGTTACTGTGTTCAGCGTCGTCGTCACGGCTAAGGACGTTGACGGTGCTTCTGATTCTTAGTTCGCTATTAATTGGTCGTCAGCTATTTGACGATTTCGATGTAAAATGGCAGTAGTTCATTTTATTACAAAGCATAACGATTGTTATCTTGTGTGGTAAATTCGTCTACTACACTAATTAATTGATTAGATGATGGTCGCTGTTTCGGTGCTGGCGCGCAGCTCTCGCTGTTTCGTTGGGTTCGCTGGTGGTTAGCTGCAGAGGACACTTGAAGATCCCTTGTATTTTAAGAAAGAATGATTTCTTGGCTGTCGAGGATTAATGCTTAATAAGATTTATTTGGGTTGGAGCTATTAATAACTCCGAATTTCAAGAAAGCTCTACAAACTTTTTCAACCGCACTAAATTCATCGAATCAAGACGTTTCCCCACACGTTTTGATATACTAATCATCGACTGGTCTGATTTAAGTGAACTTCTGTTTCTTCCTAAGGAATAAACAGTTTCGTTTAGCATCCAAAACCAATTTGTTTTCTTCATTTTAGCACCAATTGTTCAGTTTGTGTTTACTTGTGGGCATTCGCGATTTCGTTTAGTTTAAAGTTTATCTTAATTCAACTTTTGAGGATTCCGTTTTCTGCCGGGCCACATTCACTTATAAAGTAATTAGCTGAGAAGACATAGAAGATGACGTAATCTACAGAATACTCGGCATGAAGTTAAACATTTTTAAAAAAATCAACCACAACGATGCTGAGGTATTCGCAAAACTTGTGCCTCCAGGCCAAATCGAACCACGATTTCCCTCTGTGGGGGCTGGCGCATTACACATTGCTCCACGGAGGCTCTTGCTCCGCGTTTTTCTCAGCTAGTTTTCTATCTACCAGTCAATCAGCAACCACTCGTCAACGGGCCTGATCTGGGGAGTCCACATCGCCCTTTTTTCGAAAAAAGCTATGAAGTAAAAAAGATCTATAAAAGCTAAACCGTGAACAAAAATGGTATCCTACACAGTTCGTCAAATTGCTTTATTTTATAAATTGTTTGCACTCCGTTTTGGTGCTCAAATTTCCGGTTCTCAATGCTAACTTTTTATTTTACTGCCTATTCCAATTTTTCACGGCAAGGATAAAGGATATGTGATAAAAGAACAGTCTTGCTGAGATATTTACCAAACCCCGGACAGTAGGTGTCTGAGGTGGGGAACGAGCGCCTTATTGCCCTTACGGAGGCGAACGCGTTCACCACTACACCATGCGGCACCTTCGCTTCGCATGTCACTGAGCTAGTTTTTTATCGACCAAGACAAATAGTAATAGGCAGTAAATAGAAAGTTAACATTGTGATTTCGACTACAGTTTCGGCTTAACTAGGTTCATTCCCGATTTGGGGTCGCCAGATCAATCCCGTTGACGGATTATTGCTGATGGCACTGGTAGATAGACAACTAGCTGAGAGACAAGCGAAACGAAAGACCCGCATTGTATGGTGGTGAAAGCGTTAGCCCCAGGAAAGGGTAATAGCGCGTTCGTTATGCTTCTCAAATTGGCGTTGCCTTTGCGAGCCTTAAATCCTTACCGGAGCGTCAAGTTTCTTGCTTAGAAGTGTATGAATCTTTTCAATGTACTTTCCTACCTCCGGATCCAAGAAATATCTGCGGCTTGAAAGCGAGTTGTTGGCTTATACGATGACAACGAAGAGAACCAGATTCGAATTGATCGCTTTAACGGTCCTAATCGCTTTGCTTCGCTTCTTCCAGCTATCTGTGTGAAATCCGTAATCGGCGTCATTTCTTCCATTTTCTTTCTACAGTTTTTGGCCTCTAACACTCTTCGTAACATAAGCGAATCACGGCTTATTGATATATTTTCCCTTCATAATGTGTAGTTTCACTGAAGAACCCATTGGATTCGTCTTCAGTTCCAATGTGAACTTGAGAAGATTATTAAAAGAAAAGGCAAACAGGTTTTGGAGCGATTTCGTTGTGCTTTTTGCTTTATGACTTGCTTCTACCCTGTTTGTTGCTTCGTGGGGTTTATCTCACACTGTGTTTCTCCTGATTTTTGAGGTTGCTACGTTTCCCGCGAAAGCTCAGGTCTCGTGCAGTACGCTGAGATGATTCCAGCGCTGAAATCAGTTGGTGGGCTTATTCCCATCATGCTTCTGCTGGATTTGGTTGCTGTTTTTTGTTCAGGTACGTCTAATATTAGTCTCTAGGTCTCAATTATTGGTTGCATTGTTCCATGTTGTCCAGAATCGAGACGTTTTTAAACGTTAGACGTTAAATCTCGCGGAAAAAGAAGCAGCTCACGGTGCTTATTTGCACTAGAAGAATTTAGAGAAAGGTTTTCTTTGAGTCGAGTACCATACCACAATATCAGCTCTTCTTCATAGTTTTTAGCTTAGGAAGTTATGGCTCTGGTAAAAAATCATGAAGAAGCTTGATTAATGCTTAGATTGTTTTGGGCCTTTTCTACTGCTTTTTTCTTGTAAAAACTACTTTCAGAAGCGCTGCGAACGCAAGAATTCCAACGATATGACGGTTGGTACAATAATTTGGCTAATCGTGACTGGGGAAGTGCTGGTGAGCAGTTTATTTTTCGATGAAAAAGAACAGGCAGAAAATAATGTCATAGATTTCCCTGCAATTTCCGAATTCTTGGTCCTTCTGTTTTCAAACAACTCACATAACATAAATGCGAATAGCTACGAAGGTTTCGATTATTGGATTCAAGTGATTCGACTGCGGTCTTCAAACAGGGTTCTTCCCTTCGAGAATCACACAAAGTGTAAAAGTTCGTAGAAGGAAAGAATCGGGGGTTGGAGGTTTCTCAATTTTTCTTAGGCGTGAAATACCATGGTATTCAAGTAACAGCTTTGAATGACATATACTTTTATGTTCTTGTTTCTTTCCGTATATGGGTGAAAAGTTCTTAAGCGCCTAGTATCAGTTTCCACATTAATATTGTTCGAATTATTTTGTACACGACGGGATGAATGAACAGTCAACTGCAACAAAAACCTTTGATAGGTAGTTTCTCCTGATGATCGGCATAATCATGAATCTATGATGAACAAAATGGAGAAGAAATGGTCTCGTAATCGCTGCCCATAGTATTTCTAAACGGTACGGGATCCTCGCGCGCGTTGCGCAGTGGTCGAAGGCGCTCTGCAACACACACGTGGAATCGGTCTTCGCGCCCATGGTCCACCAAGCCTTCCATTCCCATGGAGTCGGCAAATTGGTACCAGACTTATCTGGGAGGATAGCAGCGCTGGCTCGATACATCGGTAGGCCACCGCGAGTCATTGTAAAGGCTAAATGTGCACTCAATCAGCTCAAAACGATGCTTAATGAAGTCGAACGCAAGGTGCATCCCTCACAGATTGATCAGAGCTTTATCCTTACCCTTTTATACGGAATCCTCAACAAAGCATAAAGCTTCACTGCCTTTAAGGTGAAGAAAATCTATTAGCGTTGTAAGGAAAGCTGAGTAGTTCGTATGAATAGGAAACGTATGAAAAGTATCTTTCGCACTCAGTGATTATTAACTTCTCTTCGTTGATGTTGTCACCTTTCAAGGTAGTCGACTTCATCGCGACTCACCGTCGAACTACGAGGACGGCGTCTACATGATGAATCTCTCGCTGCCTTCCGCACGAGTGTTATCAGAACTCGTCTTCAAAGGTAATTCTTACCCTTCTTCGAGTGCGTGTGATTAACAAAGCATTTAGAATGGTAAGAAGTTATTGACGACAATTTCCGGATGAAATTTTATTGCGTACGGAGGTTTTTTTTATTTTTTCTCCTTTTCTTTTTTTATTCTTCAAAAATGAAGAAGTACGGTTTAAAAAACCTGAGAAAATAAAGTGCGCAACGAATAGAAATTCGCCGAAGGTGTGCTGTATTCCTGAGGGTTCGGCGAGGCCAACCCATGTAACAATGATTGTTCGAAAAAAAAACAGAATCATAAGAACCTGAAAGACTGACTTTCTATAAACCTCGGCATAGATAGTTGATATATTTATTTATATGTTCGTATAAACTGATCTTGTTTAGCTGATGCGAGGTTGGTACAGGTCATCGTTGTCGTTGTCATTGTTGTTGCCGTTGTTGGTCGGTGGCTGACGTTTCGGCGACTTCGCCTTCCTCAGAGCCTGGACGTATTTTATATTAGAATATTTTTATTATTCGGTGGAAAAAAGGTTAAAAGTTAAAATTCGTCAAAACACCCCTCTAGGTACGCATAGGGCACAAAAGCACAACGGCGATGATTTTGAAGTGAATGTGCGGATCCTTGCGCAGGAATCAAAAACATCAACGCTCAAAACTCTTGACGCGTCTTGGATAAATTTCAAAAATCCAAAGATGAACCGGAAGGACGAATGCCTCACTATCACGCGTGACCTGGCGCCCTATTTCAAAATGATATTTTGACCCCGGGGCGTGTCTTGCTCGCGTAAACTACGTGTCGGCCAGTCCCGCACATAACATCACGGTGAGTGGCCTTCCTGTTCGATATGGCGTCTATTTGGAAGTTTGATCTTCATTAATAACCTTTCTTTTCCACCGAATAATAAAAAGTATTCTAACATAAAGTACGTCCAGGCTCTGAGGAAGGCGAAGTCGCCGAAGCGTCAGCCATCGTTCAATAACATCAAAAACAACGACAACGACAACGAAGACCTGTACCAACCTCGCATCAGCTAAAGAAGATCAGTTTATACGATCATATAAGTAAATATAGAACCATAAGATTCAAGCGGAAGTACTTGGATACTTGGATATTTCTACGGCCCGCCCTCACTGCTTGTGCGGGCTGTAGCATAGTCTCCATCGTTCCGGAGTTTAGCAGGTTTAGCCATTGTGTTTTCCTGGGGTCCCGAGGTAAGCCTGGCCAAACTCGGCCTCAAGTCGTCATCACCACAGGCAGTCGCCTTGCTTGTGGATCAGAGGGAAATTTGCCACCACACGACTAATTTGATTCTAAGACGGTGGTGGATACTGATATTGGTTTACTCTTAGTTAGACTTCCTGTTGGAAACGCTGGACCTTTTCTTAGCTTGGGAGAGCCTTCCGGGGGAATGAGTCGCTCTGCTGTACATCGCAGTCCGACACCCAGGAATACATCCCAGTTACGATGAGGCCGTGAAACGTTGGGAAAGCGGAAGTAACGTGTTGAAAAAGAAACCCTGATTTCTTGCGAAAGTAGAGGTATTAGACAAAAACTTACCGCTATACTTGGACGACCATTCCTCACGTGTAACGCGAACCCGAAATTTGCTAACCGTTTCCATTCTTTCTATTTCGTCAGGAGAATGGTCTTCTTCTAGTGTAACTGCTTGACCTATAAAGGATTTGAAGCAAGGAATACAGATGGTTTATGTTGGCTCAAAGATGTGCACTCGTCTTGTAGATGTCCTAGATAGTGCCCTCATCTCCACTAAGTTCGGCGTAGTGTTCTTCACATGAATGTGTAGCCGACTGTTATCATTCCATGGTCATCCGTTTTTTCTCTTTCTGTGTATACCCAGTATTCCCAAAAGGTATTTTTGGCATAAATGAACCGTGCAACGGGCTTCAGGTAGAATATTCGTGCTGTTCTAATCTCAAGAGCATCGTTTAATTCCTCTCTGGATGATACACAAAATTCTGAACATGATTGGAGTGTCAACTCCTACCTCAGTTGCACAGCGGAACGCTAGAATAAGGTCTTAGTCAAAATAGTGTTCACAGAATTTTGGAGCTTGCCATCTGATAAGTGGCTCCATAGCGAGTACTTAATATGGACCGAATTCAGAATACTTTTCTCCTTCTTCTACATCACCTGCATCACCTGTATCACCTGTAGTCCCGTTGATCGTCGAGTGACTCGAACGGGCGCCAGTAAATCTTCCATTTTTCCCTGTCGCGTGCAAGAGTAGCCCAGTGGGTTCTGCTCGCTCTAGGGACTCGTCGAGCATCATATCTTTCTTCAAGGCTCTTTGTGAAGAACTCTGACCATCGGGTCGGTGGTGTTCCTGCAGCATGTTTGACATTCCGAGGAATCCAGTCACTAACGGCTCTTGTCCATCGGTTGTCATTCATACGCATTACGTGTTCGGCCCACCTTATCTTCGACTGTTTGGCGTACAGAACGGCATGTTTGATTTTTGATCGTTGACGCAAATCGGAGCCTCGGATCCCATCCCTTACTTGTGTGACACAAGCGGGATACTCCTAACAACGTCCTTTCGACTGCGCGTTCGATAACGCCGAGTGACTTTTCATCGTGCTTACGCAGCGACCAGGTTTCTGATACATACGTTAGGGCAAGAAGTACCGTTGAGTCGAAAAGGTGGGCACGGTGTCGGGTGTTCTTTGTTCTCTTCACTACATCCTCGATGGTCTTGAAAGCTCCCCAAACCGCTCGTTTTCTTCTGCTCAGCTCTGGAGCTAAGTCGTTCATCATATTGATTTCCCGACCTAGACAGATATAGCTGGAGCATTCGGAGATATTCGTTCCATTGAGCGTGAATGGGGCATGCGAAACCAATCCGTTCTTAATGAACATCGTTTTGGTGAGATTTAGTCGAAGACCAATCTGTCCACGGGCTTTATTAAAGTCGTCAAGCATACGTTCCGCTTGGCTAATGTTTGGTGTTATAAAGACGACGTCATCAGCAAAGCGAAGATGGTGTAACTGCCGACCACCGATTTTCATTCCTATATTATCCTATTCCAATGTTCGCATGACGTTCTGGAGGGTAGCGGTAAATAATTTTGGCGAGATGGTATCGCCTTGCTTAACGTCAATGTTAATATCGTTGTAGAATGGTAATATCTTGGTTGTGAAATTTCTGTGCAGCTCACGAAGAATCTTTATGTACTGAGTAGGGGCTCCTTGACTATCAAGAGCTTCCAAGAGTGCTTCTATCTGAACTGAATCAAAGGCCTTCTGTAAATCGATGAAAGTGAGACAGAGCGGTCTTTTGTACGTCACCTGATTCCCATGCATAACGAAAATGCTACTTCTCGTAAAATGATGTTCCATAGTGGAGGAATACTGTATCCAGCGAAACGGCTTTATTTCATGTTTCTCTCTTTTATAGCTTATTCTTTAAATTTTTCGATTTGGCATTCACTTTCGCTGGATTATTCAATGCTGGCCTTGAAGTCATTGAAATCAATTCTGTAGGATGATTTTTTGTTGCAGACCACACGTTTCAACTGTTAATAGAGCGTATGTAATAAAACCACAATGGCGCTGTGATATGTCTCCGGAATGGGTAATAGCGTATTCGTTCCCCACCGCGGATACCTTCGGTCCAGGGTTTTGCAAATATCTCAACATCATTGTGGTTGTATCAAATACACTACCTTGCCGCGAAAATTAGTAATAGGTAGTAAATCAAAAAGTTGGCATTGTGAGAGCGTATATAATGCGCTTTCATGGGCTGTACGCAATAGTGAACCAAATTTGATAATATAATAGCTCTTTTCTTTCGATTTGCTGCTTGAAGGCGGAGTCAAGAAATATGAAAGGATCAAGAACAAAACATAGACTACTGACGGTTGTGACGAAAACATTTCTCCACCAGTGACGAGGATCGCATAATCTAAGTGGCCTTTGTCGGTATTCTTGATATTTGTTTTGTAGCGCTTTCACGTGCATTCCATTCAGTTCTTGTAAGTGTTGAGCAAGGAACCGTCTCCATGATCTGTTGTTTTGTTTTCGTTCCCGTGACTTCTCGTACACTTGATCATATCTTACCGGTTTCTCTCCAGGACCTTATGCCACACACGTGAGCCTAGCGAGACTGGTTCACTGTTGACTGAGCAGTTTGTTGTTCCTCGGAGTTCCGACGGAAGATTGGACCAGCCTGTGATTTCGGGTCTTCAGTGCAGGCGGTCGCTATCAGTTGTCGGTCGGAGGGACGTTCTGTGATGGCGACGATGGCTACGGCTGTGAGACAGACTGAGTGGCTTGGCGTTATTTATTAGGCGTAATGTAATTACAAAAATATAAAAATGGGAGGTTCCGTGAGGATTCGATGACGATGTAGCAAGCCGAATAAAATAAAATACACATCAATTTAGGACCGTCTGGTATACGAAATGCACGAAATATGACGTCGATGTTCGCTTTTTTCAGTGAGTCCAGTTCATTGTTTAATGATCTTTAGTCAAAAAGACGCCTCGAAGCAATTTAATAAAAACAACCGAGATATGTTGTAGTAGTACAACCAGTGGGTTTGTTAAAAGCATTGTGATCATAAACTAAGGATCAAACCCATGTGTGTGGCGCTGTGGTCGGAGGCGCACTACGACACACACATGGGATCGATTCCCCTGCCCTTAGCCCACCAAACCTTCCATTTCTTTTGGGTCGGCAAATTGGCACCAAACTTGTTGGGAAGGATAACAGGACTGGTTCGATACATCGGTAGGCCACCGCGAGTCATTGTAAAGGCCAGATATGCATTCAGTCACCTCCGAACGATGATTAATGAAGTCGAATGCATGGCGCATCCCTGGGATTGATCAGTGCCGGGAGCTTTATCCTTTTTTTTATTTTTATACATTTTTTCCTTGCTTCAGAAACATTTTGCTATTTTACGAGGATTCTTTGAAATGAGTTGTCGAACGATGATGAATTCAGGTCAAGTGGTCGCGTACGAGATCATGGCATCTACCCAGACCAGTTGCCCGCTTGAAATCATGAAAATTCCGGTACCACCTGGGGATCCAGTGAGTACTTCGAAAATATCTGGGACAATTTAGTCTCAACTGGATATTAAGAAGGAATATTCGAAAAGTGGGAGGAATAATAACTAAAACGATGAAATGTTTGCTGACATTTTTCGGGTAACTGAATGATAACGTCATTTCTTTTGGATTAAAAATGGTGCATCCCACTGCCAATCAATATCTATTTATTTATATTTTCAGTTTTTTAAAATTCAATCTGTTTCTCTTCATGTTTCGACTATACATATTGTGTGGAATTCTCCACTCCACTCATTCGTTCTTCTATGCAGTCCGTTGTCTCGTACTAGTAATCTCCGAGGGTCCTCTGATTTACATGTGAATTCGGGTGCGGCCTGACAACTTTGTCTTCTTCAAGAGTGACTAAGTCCTAGGCCTTCACCACTAGCAATCAATGGTGGCTTTGGATCGCTGAGAGCTCTTCACAAGCAAGACTTCTACAAGTTCCCTGGCAGCGGGTTTGTGAGGCATCATGGCTACAAAAGTGGTTCGTACTACACTGCAACCAAATACCGCGAACCACAATAAGATCGATATTTCAACTTCCCGCTGCGTCAGGCAAGTGCTGTTCATACATGTGGGCTGAATAAAATGCTTACAGCTTTGGAGGTTTCGTTGAAAAACAACATGTATATCTAGATACGAATATTTTTATCTAACACACTTCTGAACTTCGATTCATTTCAGCTAGCGAATTGACATCTGTTTTTCGCTCTCGACTCCCACTCTACAAGCAACAGAAGAGTGAAGGAGGCGCAGACAATATTCCGTTCGACCCCCATGGGTCTTGTCAGAGTCACAGTGTTGCGTGTTGCGCTAACAACCAAATTTATTGGAAAACGTGCAAGTGTAGCCTTAATGAACGCTTTATTGCAGAGAATTCTCAGCATACGTATGAGACACAGTTGGTTTGAAGATTAATCGTGTTGCAATTCTTGTGGAAGGAAAGTTGTCGTAATCTACAAGAAAATCAGTCAACTTTTAAATCCATCAATCTATGGCAGCTTTAACTGATATCTTTTTAGTATATATGGATTGCTCGTAAGCACTGTTATAACTTGCACGTGCTGCGAGGTAAGGAAATAGTGAATTCTGCACATTATCATTCATTTCTCACTTTTGTTGGCTGTTAGGTTGATAGATAAACGGTAGAGCAATGGTAGTGAGCCCGTTCAGTACACGGAAGGCGCAACCCACCGGCCATTAGCTTGACACAACGCCCGGATCACAAGGATCCCTATTCCTCTTCGTTCGGTAGATTGTTAACAGACTTTTCAAGGACAGAGTCATTTCCTCCAATCCACGTGAGAATTACGACTATCTCAGGATTCCAGAGAGAACCGACAAGACCAGTGCATTTAACGATGCTCATGACTAAGGCATAAAAATCCTCAAGCAGCAGCCGAATCCAGATGCAGTGAGAGTTCGAAGGCCTTCGTAGATGGTGGATGTTGTGAAACGAAGCGAATGAAAGAAGTGCAAGGGTCTGTACAGTGTGATGTCGGATCATGTATCAATAATGACAAATAATAACTTGGTGATGAGAAAGCCAGTGAGGTTTGATGTCCTTAAAACTTCCAACGAAATCTTTTCTACAGCCTCTTCTTGCTGCATGTGTTTAGTGCAGACTCCATCTTCTTTTCGAAAGATTTAATGCTATCGAACCATAAATTAGTCCATATCGAACTATTTACGTTTCGAATATTCAGAAAACTTCTTACTAGTGGGTGTCTGACATTTCAAGGCAACCGAGTTCTGACGGTGATCGTTTTCTGACGAGAATACGAGTTGGCGGCATATCGTAGGGTTCAACAAAAAAGTGGACAGATGCGCCAGCTGAAAAAACCACTCTTTCGTTTCGTGGAAGAATTTTGTTTTAAAGTATGAAGTATTCTTTTATGTAGGTACTGGGCGAAAATCTTCTTCTGTCTAATCACCTACGTAGCAGTTTTTTTGTGTTATACTTGATATGATCGGCAGCTTCGCCAGCATATTAAAAACCAACATATTTGCTTAAAAATCTGGGTTTTTTCAAACGAATTGATCAATCATAGCGCTGTTGAAAACAGAAAGTACTTATAGGTGTACGATATCAATGGAACTGGTACTGATATACCGTTTACGCGTGCAAAGTACGACAAGCAATCTGGTCAAGGTTTTAATTCCCCCCGAGAGCAGGTCAGTGGAAAAATTTGTTTCGTAAAACTGTTCTCAGAATAAAATATATCAAGGAAAAGGTGAAAACGAAAACGGAATAGGAAGAATAAACTAAGGAAAGTAATACTTGCACAGTACCATGTCTTGCATTCTAAAACCGCAGCAGCTTATTTTGTGATCATTTTCAAAGTGATCAGTGCCACCTGTATCCTACGTATCTTCGTTAATCATAGAGCGAATATCAGTGGACTTCATCCGCCTTTATCGCCTACCAGAGTCGCACAAAGGACACGAACAGCGCCACACTTTTAGTACAGTGCCCATTTTTAGTTAATTTTGACGAGAAGGTAGAATCAGAATTCGTTCCTCCACATGGGGATGTCGAACCTTTCTCACATCGGAGAGCCAGCTAAGGAATGAACCCTATGCCTTGAATTCAATTACGTCTTATGAAAGTGTAAGATAGCGTTTGGTCCATGTTTACCCAGCCGTTCTTCGTCTCGGAATTCATCACCTAGTATTGCGATTAACTGCCAAATGAGATCTCCCAGTTGTGGAAGCAATCATTCATATGTCTGAGACGAATCTGATATCTTGAAGTATGAAAATTTGCACTTCAAATCTAATTTGAACGAAATTTGCTGCATATCCATATATATCATTGCAAAGTCTGAAAATTCGCTGTACTTTACGCTCCTCTTGCATATTTCAAGATTTTATTTGCTGTATATCGACAAGAACCATTCTAGATAATGTTAATGTTTTTATTTACTGTCTATTACCGTTTTTCACGGCAGGGTATTATGGATTATTATTTAAGTATTATGTGTGGTACAGCCACAACGATGCTGAGATATCTTCAACTCTCCGCACCGCAGGTCTCTACGGTGGGGAATGAACGCGCTATTACCCTTCTCGGACGGTAACGCGTACACCACCGCATCATGCGGGTCCTAGGGACCCCAAATCGACAATGTACCCAGTTAAGCTGACGGTGTAGTCAAAATCACAATGTTAACATTTTTATTTACTGCCTATTACCGTTTCACTGCAGAGTATTATACGTAATACAACCACAATGATGCTGACCTTTCAAGATAGTTTTTGATGTAGTCCCCATGATTTCTTAATGCCGACATTCACCTTTCAGCATCTTATTCATTCTCTCCCCTCTTCACACAAATTCTCCTAATTCTTTAACCTTCTTTTGTTCATGCACTGCAACATTTTTTAAAGCAATATTTGTAAGGAGAGTTCATGAGAGAAATAAGAAGGGAAAGACACAGATAGGTGGAAAGATAGGTAGCACAGATAGCACAGATGGAAAGGTAGAAAGATAGAAAACACATAGCATTATTTCCAGTTTCTTGTAGAAACAACAAGATTGCTGACTGGATTTTATAATTTTTTATAACACATAGAGAAAACACATAGAGTCATTGTTTTGGTGCTTTTTCAAAAATGTTGCTTACATATTTTTTCCTACTTTGTGCTCGTAGATGCCATTCCTCTAGGTAAATGAGCGAACGTCATGGATCGACGGTTCATTTGTCTACAGTGTAATGGAAGCATGGGTGGCGACGATGAGGTCGTTTGAAAATGGCACACTTAAGGAGGGAAATCAGAAAAGGTTATATCACGAGCCATGAAAATTCACTGACTTTTTGTTGATAGAGTAAATACCACCAAGAAAATCAATCCGCTCTGAGATTGACCAAAGTATTGAAGGTACCCGCCACTAAACAATCCTCATATTCCGCTGAATAATCCACCACCACCGCAAATTCATCGACTCTTAAATCCGGATCGGCTTTTCCGTGAGTACTGTGATTTCTAATCCTTAATTGATGTTTCTAGGTTTATTATGAATTAATGACATCAGTGCTTTGAAAAATCATGGCAGATTTTTCCATTGTGGAGCACTACTACCTCAGCTATATTTTCGGAGCATTTTTGCTGGAAAAAGGTCTAAAAGTGGAAATTGGCCATTTCTTGTAACTAAAACACCGAACGCATTCTTATGTTACTAGCTTGGGAAGGCTTTGCATTTGATGAATTTTGCAAGCGTTAGATTTGTTGTTCAAAAATCTAGTCATTGCAACTGTTCCGCTAACTAGTGTTTAGTTTAGTTCTTGGAGATTCACGTGTAAATGAAAACCCTGGTCTGTTGTCCTTTGGAATAATTCTGTACAGATGGCACAATATTTTAGCACAAAAGTGAGTTTCTATCTATACCAGTTATTAGTAGCTTTTTCACTTAGTTTTTCTCTTTAAAGCTAGATATTTTTTTATTAATTTTTACTCGACTCCGATATTACATTTTCGTGGATCGAAGTACTTCTTGTAGTCGGCTCGTTTCCACGTATTCATATGCCGCGAAGTTCTTCAGATTTCACGGTTGGTTTCGATTGCTGCTTGAGGATTTTCGGTCTTCCTTGGAAATGTCGTTAACTGCTGGTCGAGTGTCCTTTTAGCCTTGGTATAGCCATACTGTGGTGCTAGCACTTAAATTAGAGGAAATGAACTGATCCAAAACAAGTCCGGTATAAATTTTTTGGTATTGGTGGGCGATGGTACGTTTGGTGAGCTTACGGCGGTGTTGAACCACCCCATTGCAACTGTCGAATGTCAGCGCTTGGATCATTAAGCTATGTAGGGTCAGAGTTATTCTGATAAATGCGTGAGTGAATCGCGTCCACCTTTTGTTTGAATTTCAGCAGTTTATTTCTTACATGGAGTTATCATGTTTATCGAGTGAATCTAGGGTCAAGAAACGAAACTCGGGAATTCACAGCTTTTTATGCAATTGGATTACTCCGTAAATATGATGCTCATGATTTCGATGACTTCCGCTTTCGTTAATCCATTAGCTTCTTCTCTTACGATGCAGCCATCAAAATGATGCTTCGCTCTAGAAGCATAGCTGGATGTTGTCGTTCCTTTGGCAGTCCATTTTGGCTGGCGTCGAATATGAAAAGTACTCTTAAGGGTTTTTGAGCTCTCTGTGATTTATTGCATATTGATTCGAAGCTGTTCCTATTTCATTAGCTCGCCAAATTCTTCATGCAGTGAGTTTCGTTCACAGGTATCCTTCGGCAATGCGACAACGTTGTTTCCAGACAGAAGGAGACTCGTCCTTCTATACAAATGTCCTTTTCACGTGGATGAATATAGGTATTATTTCTGCATTCCAGAAAGTCTTCGATGAGTTTTATTACTATTCGGCTGTTTTCTCGGTGTAACTTTGTGTAGTCCTTGAGTACACGGTGTAGTAATAATGAACCACGGCTTCTAATGTCATTTAGCAGAGTTCGAGATTTCTTGTATCTTAGAATCTTATTCTTGCGGAGAAAAATTTTGTCGCCGCAAGAAGAACATCTTGCAATCTGACTGTTCATCAGTTCGAACATCATGAAGTTAGTCAGGCTGTTTAGTCTGAGACTATATCGATTCATGTGCTCCTTTCTGATTCTCAAATATCACTGAAAAATCACACCTGGGTGGAAGTTTTCTAAAGAGTATGGCAGAATTGACAGATGCTTAGGAATGCTAGACCCAATATTTTCTCTTCAAACTTCTTCTTTTGCTAATGAAAACACTTTTCTCTACTAATATCTGCAGTGATAGATTTCTTCTGCATTGCTTTTTGAGCACCGGTAAATTGAGTAAATTGCTACCAGACTTGTCTGGGAAAGAATCCACTTTTTGCAATCCACTTGGGAACCATCCAGCCCGGCTATCTCAGGACTTCAAGGAGAATCGATTCGACCAAAATTCCACGACATTCAAGATGGAATTTAAATTCTCAAGCAGCAACCGAAGCACATATAAAGTTGGAAGATCCTCGTGGACAGTGGATGCGAGGAAACGAATCGAATGTGAAAAGTGCTAGGATCCGCACAGCAGACGTGAAAACGGGTTGTGTAGAATGTAAATTGTAAAAGAAAATGCTTTTTGAGCCTTCGATTTGTGTCATACTCAGATATTGGTTTAATACTTAAAGTGTCCTTAATCAAGAGCAGTTTGTTGCTCGCTTTTGTGAGTTCAGTCTGCAAATATTATACCACCAAAACCACGAACAAGGAAAGGCGAGTAGTTGTCAACGTAGTTTGCAAAAAGTGCAGGAAATATCTTTTCCTTGTAAAGTAGAAACTGAGCTGTTATTAATTCACGTCGGTAGATCCTCCCATCTCCATCCACAATTTTGAGTCCCTCATGTCGTTTTGTATCTGTTAGTGGGATTATTGTTAGTTTCTTCAGTGTAGCTCACTTGACCGATCTTTTACGAACCGTAGCATTGAGAAAGTAAATCTCTATATTGTAGTTGAGAAAACACGAGGTGCCATTTCATTGTTTATTGACGAAAAAGCCGACTTCTTTGCGGATTTCTTTCTTCAGAGCCTGGAAAAGTCAAGTTGCCTGCAACCTACCCAGTCAAACACCTCCGTAACCAGACAGAGAAAATTCTAAACCAAGATTTCAATCGCATTGAAAACAAAATAACTTCTTCGCAACTCACCGCTTTCTATGAGTCTTCCAATGAGTTACGTGGAGAACAACCGCACAGGGTTCACATAAAAGTGTAATGTGCGTTTCACATTAAAGCATCAATCTTAAATACTGTGTGAGACTACGCGTGATTACAAGGCATTCCTCCAGATTAGGTGTTCCTTTATACGGACGCAGAGTGATCTTCTTGTTCCGCCAATGTATTCGTCTTCTCACGCTTTGCAAAGGTCGGATAAACCGTACCCGAATTCGTGCAATCACCATCTCTACCTTTATGGAAAATTATGCTATTTCGAGTGTTGTACCTAAACGGCCATATAGGAGTTATACCGAGAACTAGCTGGCCTCTTAGAGTCTCGGTGATATCTCAGTTGCTGTTACCGAATTCTCCAGAGTCGCTCTTCTTAAGCAAAGTTTTATTACTGCACTTATATCGTTTGAGATGAAGGGCGGGATAAATGGTAACTTATTATCGATAGAATTACCGTTTGCGGACTTGGGTTTTCTTCTACGCTTATGCTGAGGGGTTACAGCTTGGTTTAAAAAAATGCATAATGTGCGCCAACAGTTCAGGCGGTGACTGCATGAGTTCGGGTATGGTTTATCTGATCTCTTCTTCAAAGCTTGTGGGGACGAATAGATTGGCGAAACGAGTAAACCACTTGCGTCGGTATAAAGGAATACCTGGCCTGTAGACATAAAGTTAGACCAAAAACTCCACCAGGCGCATATAGGACACAGAGACATAACGGGACATTCATACTAAGAGACATACAATACTTCAGACTGACAATTTCATGTGGGAGAAGCGATCCATTTAAACTCTGACAGGTTGCTCTCCACGTGAAATATTTAGTGGAAGACTCATAGAAAGCAGAGAGCACTCGACGAAGCTATTTTGTTCCCAGGACGATTGAAATCTAGGTTAAGCACTTTCTCTGTTTGGTTATGGAGCCGTTTCGGCGGGTAGATTGCAGTCATCTTGACCCTTCCACGCTTTGAAGAAGGCGAAATCCACCGAAACGTTGGCTTTATCATAATAAAGAGTGCAATAACACCTCGTGTCTGCTCAATAAAAATATAAAGAATTATTTGATTATACAGGACGTTTTTGTGCAAGGAATGCTTGAAAGGACAAGGGTGTTACATGGAGGATATTTGAAATTAAGCCTTACTTTCATTGTAAACTGACTTTCATTTAACCTCGATATAAATGATCAATATACTCTGTTTCATTGAGAAGTTAACACGACTCTAGCCTAATTAAGCCTTACTTGTTGAATTAAGACCATTTTTACCACAAAAAGATCGGATATTTCGTCTACAGAGGTGTTTAAATTTTTGGGTCTGATAAGATCATCGGAGGGTTTTCGAAGGCACTTGTCACTGAAAAATATCTTCTCAAGAAGTTCAATTTGTTGAAGGAGTGATAACCAATTAATGAGGATTCCGATAAGTAAGGTGGATGACGCTGAGTTTCGTACTCGACATCGTTCTGCTTCCGAACCACTAGTTTTTACACATGGGGCCATTGTAGTGGTGCTACGCTGGGTGTTTTTGGTTGACAAAGGCCGATAACGGGCTTCGTGGTTCTTGTTTAATTCTAGATATTGCCACTACTCAGGGAGTTCTAGATGGATGAATTCGTCTGTCTAGTCTGAAATAGTCACCGTAACCTTCTAGTTCAAAACCAACCCACGAAGCCTCCTTGATAGGTCATTTTTGTGAAGCGTTGAGCCAAACATACAGTTGATGCTCTTCGTCGCACCTAGGAACACAGTCAGTTAAAATAGAACTCGCGCAAAAGGACGACAGAGCAGTATTCATACCGACAGTATCTTTATCTTTCGGGAATGTCATGATGCATCTTCTTCATGTCTTTTTCTAATTTTTTATTTCAATTGAGAGCTTTCGAATTTATTTCATTACTTATGTCTATTTTTCCACTAGCTGTTGAACAATTTCACCAGCTCAGCTTCAGTTAAGGTCTGCAAATGATCACCCTCGATGGCAACATGTCTCTGACCGTCCTCATCTTCGTAATCTCATGTCCATAGCCAAACTCTTCAAACGAAAATTCTAGCCATCGAACCGTAACAGTTCTCTAACCAAATACAACATTGGCATGGCAAGCTGTTTCGTGCTTCTTCACACCTAAGTTGGAAAGCGTACAAAACTGCTCTAAGTCACTTTTACCCCACTTTTATTTCCGACACTCCATTAAAATTGACTAAGTAAATTAATACTGAAATGGACCTCAGAATGATCCATAAAAAATTGATAGGAAACATGTTGGATGAAGAAAAACTCATTAAAAGTTCAAATTGCGAAACCGGAAATTTCATACTAAATACCTCAAGTCGGCTGAAATACCCACACTGGCTGAAATTTACAACTTGGTGTTTATTTAATATTTAATAACTTCCAACATTTTATTCAGTTATGTGATGAAGAATTCTAGGATTCAGAAGGAAAATCCATCTTGGACAGACGAGGAACTCTTCCAAGCAGCTCGACGATGGCTTATAGCTACTCTTCAGGTGAAATTCCGTTTAGGAATAATAGTTCCAGTTTCAGGAAGGAAATTCGCTTTTGTTTTAAGGAGTTTTCAAAGAAATTTTTAAGCTTTCAGTCACTAAGAGGTTTCCTCGCCGACGCATCTGCTAGAGGAATACGTTTAGCTTTAACAATTATCCTTTTACGATTGAAAAAGGCACCAAGTCTTCCTGAGACCTGATATAACTACAACCGCAGCTTAACCGCTTTCAATACCGATTTGGCTCTCCAGATCATTTACGTTGACGGGTGATTGCTGATGGCACTATTAGAGTAAAAAACTGGTTGGAAGAAAAGCAAAGCAAGGGTCTAGGTGGTACGGAAGGTAACAAATGAGCCACCGAAAAGAACAATCGAAGGTTCGAATCTGGCCTGTGATCTCAGTTTTCCAAATATTTCAGCATCACTATAGTTAGTTGTTGACAGTAACGCTTTTCGAAGAGAACGTTTTGTTCACTTCTGCTTCATTTACTTCCTACTTTGTGATTTCAGAAAATCATCTTCTACGATTTTCTGCCTGCATTGATCAATGAGGAAGTGAAGCCGTACACGAAGTACATGCCGCACGTCCCTCCTGGCATTTCTCATGCGTTCGCCGCCGCTGCGTTCCGATTTCCGCACAGCATTGTATGTTCTGCCTAAGCCTTAACTCTAGTATCCTCCCCATTTTTCCCTCTTTTTTATGTATGTTAGATAAGATTGCTGCAGCTTTGACTCCATGGTATTGAGAGAATGCAACTGTTTGAAATTCTCACTCATTCTAGTTTCAGCCCTAGGTGAAAAACTCTGACTTTATCAAAAACAAGTATTCCTTATTTAGTAGCGGCTGATTAGACCCCAATATCGTTAAAGTCTAGAAGTCTTCATATTTACTGCATTTAATTAAAAACCGTTTATTTCTGGCCAGTTGTCTTCTTCTCAGGGCGCGTGTGGCGGAGTGGTCGGAAGCGCCCTGCAACACACACGTGGAATCGATCCACGTGCCCATGGCCCACCAAGCCTTCCATCCCTCAGCGGTCGGCAAATTGGTACCAGACTTGTCTGGGAGGATAGCAACACTGGCTTGATGCATCAGTAGGCCACTGCGAGTTATTGTAAAGACCAGATATGCATTGAATCACCTCCAAACGATGCTTAATGAAGTCGAATGCATGACACATCCCTCAGGGGTTGATCGACACCGAGAGTTTTATCCTTTATCTTTTTCTTACTAACTAATGATTCTTCAGTTACTCGTCTCGTAACAGTAATTTTCACAATTTTCTTAAGCAAAAAAGTCTCAAATTTCATTCTATTCTGACAATACTTCACGTTAAAAGATTATTTTTGGAAGGTCAAAATTGCTCTGGAAGTGACTATTTATTTTTTTTCTGCGAAAAGTGAACGCTCGCGATATAGGTTCCACCAGCAATGATTCTTCGAAAGAATGTGAATGCTTGTGAGTTCCGAGAAGAAGTCGGCGGATTTCCAGCTCTACGACTTTGTCAGAATTGGTATGTCATATTGATTGAGTTCCTAATTTACTTGACCCAAAAGAATTCACTACGATACTCGGTGTCTTTGGAGGTAGTGCTAGTGTGTTTCAATGCATTAAGGTCTAATCGCGACGGAGAGATCAGATGTATTGCTTTTTGAAGAAATTAGACCTTAATGGATTCTAGAACTGTTTTTATAGTCTCTACATTTTTATTATTTTTATCTCTCCATCTCTTTCTCTTATTATCTCTCCATCTCTTTTTATTTTCTCTATTATCTCTCTATCTGACTATTATTTCTCTATCTCTTTCTATTTTCTTAGTTTTTCATCTACACAACTTAAGAAATCGATAATTGCTATTTCACGTGTGAACTTCTCAAAGATTCACTCCTGGTAAGAATTTCTACAAGTAAACTTCTTTCAGGTGGAATGCGCAAGATATCGTGCAAGAGTATACGGTAGACGAAATAATCCTCGGCATGGCTTCTCAGGTAAGCGAAGCCGACGACATCATTGTGGTCGAAGATCTGCGAGGTGCGTCACTTGAACTCCATTTTCGTTTCTGCAATTTTAGAACTTGTGATTTAATTAATTTAGACTACATCTTCGGACCAATGCACTTCACGCGACTTGATGTCGTAGCTTCATCTATAATGCGTGGTCGTGACAATGGTCTACCGTCCTACAATATGCTCAGGAAGGCCTTCAATCTACGGGAAAAGACGTGGGAAACCATCAATCCAAAGCTTTACCAAACCAATAAAGAGGTACGATCCTTCATTAGAAGGCTGAGAATCGTTTGATTTCTTTTGGTAACCTATATTGGAAACCGCCATGTAGGCAGCAATTACTGCTTTCGATGGATTTCATCATTTGTTCACTTCCAATTATATGCCTGTTGAGACTCCAAGTACTGAACGCTGAGTAGTACAAGCACCAGAATTGAGCTTGAATGGTTGTGGGTAATGTAACAAACTTTAATGGCTTGCTTGCAAAACTACTTATTTATGCTAACATTTCCAGCAATGTGCGTTAGTGCTGAGAGCGTGAGCTACACTGGACGAACTGACACCAGGCGAGCAGATAAAATACTAAACGAAGATTTCAATCACATAGAGCACAAAATACCTTCTTGAGCGTTCTCTGTTTGGTCATGGAGGTGTTTGACTGGGTAGATTGCGGTCAACCTGACTTTTCCAGGCTCTGAGGAAGGCGAAATACGCCGAAACGTCTCCTTGCTTGTAAATACTTGATACTTGATACTTGAATGGCCCGCCCTCACTGGTTGTGCTGGCCCCAGCATAATCTCCATTTTTCCGAGATTTGCTGGTTAAGCCATTATGGTTCCCTGGAGTTCCGAGGTCTGGTTGGCCAAGGTTTGCCCCGAGTGTTCACCACCACAGGCAGTCGCGTTAGGCTTCGTGATGGAAACACCGGAGTCCTTCTCAGCTTGGGAGACCCTGCCAGAGGATGAATCCTCCGCTGTACACCGCATCGCACTCCGACACCCAGGAACACTTTGCTTGTAAATGAAGTAATAAAATAACACCTCGTGTTTGCACAGTAGGAATATAAAGAATTGTTCTTTCAATGCCGAGATTAATAGAAAATCGGTCGTGGGAGTTAATATTAGGTGTGATTTCATTCGTTATTGAGCAGCTCAAGTCAGCACAAGTGGATTATCCATTCGTTCCTTAACGCTCTACCCTGCCTGAAGGACACAAACAGCATAACAGCTCTCGTAAAGCTCCAATTTTTTTTGCTAGATGATTGATACATTTACCTCACTTGGCTCTAGTGTGAAGTAGGTTAACTTTTCACTGCCGTTACGGTTGAAAATGGGACTTCACCACTTCAGTCAGCTTGCTGTGGAGATGAGCTTTTACTGCACACAACAGTTCGATACCCAGGGCCTCTCCAACGATGAAGACGTGAAGCTATTGGGCTCTTAAGCAGACATACTTTGCCACTAATGAAGCTCGTAGCTTTGCTATGCACCATCGGCAAGATAGCACGTGAAGGTCTAAATGTTTTTCTAAACAATTCAAGGGCGTCTTTATAAGTGTCAATAGAAAGCAGTGCTTTTCAATTGTTTTAACAGAATTGGGATTCTTTTAGTTATGAAGTTAGTAATTCACTCTCTTTTTGCTAAAAATGTCGAAAATTTGGGTGCAAAGCGTTGATAAAAGTGCTTTCTTACAGATGTTCGATAAATTGGAGGCTCTCTATGGTGATATCGACTATCTGGATGCCTACGTCGGCGGAATGCTGGAAGTGAATAACGGCCCCGGAGAGCTCTTCAAAGCCATCATCAAGGATCAGTTTGAAAGACTCAGAGACTCCGATAGGTGAAATTTTTTCCCACAGTTTACGTCTATTACTGCGAAGTTAATATGAATACCGTATCTATGGTTATGATTATGGTTATCGGTATTGTTACTATATTTTTGATGTTTGGGACCACTGATCAGTTTTGAAAACGCTCTGGACATAGTAAGAGATGCTTTTCTCATTTCCAGAGTGAACTTCATTTTTCCCGTGGTTAAACGTCGATTGCTTTGAACATATGTCAGCACCATTAATGATAGGACTCTAATCTTCTTGCGTGTTAGTATTTTCCATTCCCATTTGTTACAGTTAGATACAAAAAAACTTGCAGTTCATTTTCGGGATGTTCACGAATGCATCTAACTCTTGTTGAGGATATCCAGTAGCTTCACTCACATCTTCTGTTATCCATTTATTGATAACCAACTGATTAACGACGTGATTTGCTGAGTAGCGTTTTTGATGAAGACAAACACATTAGTTTTGTTCGAATAGCCGTTGCACGGTTCAAACCGAAATGAACCGCAGACTCAATGAGGATGATGAGAAGCTCGATATATCTCTTTTTTTAACTTCTTAAAAGCTGTCTACTGCTTCTCGCTTAGATTTGGTCTTTGATCTCCTGTAATTCCTTAATCCAGCGAGAATAGTCAGTCGATGATCACTTGCGAAGATGCAACTCTACGAGCAATGTTCTTCTTACTATCCTGATATTGATCATTTAAGATCGCCTTTGGCAATATGGCTAAATTCTGTGATCATTTATTAAATTTGAATTAGATGTATTATATTTAGCGCAATGTCCTCAACAAATCAGTGATAGTGAGCTTTTTGGTTGTTGAGCTTCACCATCACATCTTCAGTTCTAGTTGAACTAACGTTAAAATAAAGCTACACCCGTATGAAATGCTGAGATATCTGCAAAACTCCGGACCACAGGTGTATGCAGTAGGGAACGAACACGCGCTGTTATCCTTACCGGGGAGCAGCGCACTTCACCACTACACCATCCGACCCGGAATTCGTTCCCCACTGCATACACCTGTGGTCCGGAGTTTTGCAGATATCTCAGCATTTCATACGAGTTATATTTCACAACATACCCTGCCATTAAGAAGAAAAAGGCAGTAAATAAAAGAGTTAAAGCTACACCTTTCGAGCACTTGAAATTCACTGTGTCTTCTGAAGAATTTCGTCGGCTTCGATAACGCTTCAGTCTTCAGACGTCTTCTGTGCTACCTGTTCTCCCATTGATCGTCGAGCAACTCGAGTTGGTGCCATTAAACTTCTATTTCTACCTGTCGCGCGGGTAGAAATAGATGTTTAGAGTAGCCCAGTGAGTTCTGCTCACTCAAGGCCTGACCGTCATATTTTTTATGCGGTTTTCGTGAAGATCGCTAATCGCAGAGTTGATGCACTTCTTACTGTACGTTTGATTTGATATGCCGAAGAATCCAGTCACTTGTTCACTTTGTCCTCGACGATTTCTTATGTAGGACGGTATCTTTGATTTTTGGTCGTTGATGCATGTCGGAACACTCTCCCACTTGCGTGATTCAGGATACTCCTAGAATCGTCTTTTCAACTGCACGTTCCATAACGCTGAGTGCTTCATCCTGCTAATGTAGGAACCAGCTTTCTGATCTCTACGTGACGATAAGAAGTATCGTGGAAGCGCGCATTGCTGTAGCCGTCAAAGTGATAGAAATATATCTTTAATAGTTGGTCGTAAGAAATATTAGCTCGAATTCACTGCCCGCTCTCCTTGTACGAATTTGTCACGCGGGACTTTGGTGATAGTCGTAGTGTGACCCAAAAGTGGGTAATTAAACTCTTGTTTTTATTTACAATAATTGCCATCGAGCCGGCTTATGAGCTCAGAGAAGAGCGACGACATTGAAGCACTGGCCGAAAAATTTTTTAAATCAACCTCATGATAGCTCAATGCTCCAAGAAGGTACAATAATTGCATTAATATGTGTATACCATGAATATGTTTATACAATATTGCAAACTCCCCATGTTCAGCTGACGCATCGTTGGTGTTAATTGTTGTTGTCGTTGTCTTAATTCGGTGGCTCACATTTCGACGACTTCGTCTTTTCAGAGCCTGGGCGAATTTTATGTAGAGATATCCCTATAATTCGGCAAACTGTTTTTAGTACTGATGAAGGTCTAATATACGAACGAACGCCATCTCGTTTAAAACTTCTTTGGTTTTGTTGTTCGGTTTTGTTTGCTTGATTTGAGTTTTGATTCCTGTGCTAGGATACAGGCAGCCACTTCAACATAATCACCATTGGGCTTTTGTGCCTTATGCGTACTTAGAGAAATACTTTAACGAATTTTCAGTTTCTTATGTACATGTTGTTTTATGCGGACACAAAGTGGTCTTTCCGTTTCTCTAAGTGGGAAGGCGTAGACTTCGCATAAAACGATATAAATCTAGATGGGAGACTTAAAATTCGACAAAGTATTTTTATAGGTACCGTTTGGGTGTCGGAGTGCAATCGTCATGGTGTTGTAATTGGCGATGTTTCGACAGGTCTTGCGAATACTTTTCCCACTCTTTCCAACATTGGACATCACTGCCGTTCTTCTCTTTTTTAGATATCCTTTTATCACATTTTTTCATTGTTTTGCGAATTCGCACGTCAGTGGACGGTTTTGTGTCGTCCGTGTAGTTCAATACTGGCGCATCAGTTCGAGTGTTCCTGGCGACAGACGTCTTTTGGTGAATTTCAAACTAGGATTTCAAAGCGCTAACGTGGTGTTCAATGATCCAACCGTATTCCTCGCATATCAATAACGGCATCTTTCCAAGAGACGACTAATGAGCTTAATAAATCCCAGTTCATGGTGGTTTTGCGATTTCCATTTTTGATTTTAGCTGCTTTTTCTTCTCTTCGCGCGGAATGAAATTTGCACGAAGGAGGCGATAGTCTGCGTCCGTGTAGAATTTTGGGACAACAGCGACATCAGTTAGAGAAAATCTTCGATTTTCTATGGTGTGGACATTTGGTTATGTACTCTCCTTTGGGAGACTCCCACGTCGAGCGTTGAGAGGGTACTTCTGGAACTGCGAGTTACCATGAATAGTTTGGTCGTTATGTTAAATTCAAGCAGCTATTGGCGTTGCCCCTTCCATTCTAATCGGTGAGGGTGAATGTGAAGTTCTTCACACGGCTGGGTCTAATCTTAGCGTGGAAATCTCCAGTGTTCAGATGTTCAACGACGTATTATGCTTTTCCGTGCCAGCAAAACACACAGCCAATAGCAATGCAGTGCTGAGTAGGAAATGTTATGAAGAGTCGACGACAGAGAATTATTGTGGAGTGGAATTCAAAAGAAAGAATTCGCTGTCTTGTAAAACCAGCAAGCGGATTGAAAGAGCAGCTTATTGCTAAATCGAGCTCTGGATTAAGAAACGATGTAAGGAGACATCGCCGTGCATTAAACAAAGCACCTCGATGGTCTTCTTATTGGGTAATGTACATTCATAGCTTGATCACTGTGTGCATTCAAAGCCACCATTAAAGAAAATTTTCGAAAAAAGCAAACAAAACTACTGTACACTATTTTATGCCACATACTGTTCTACAGAATATTGTTCAGTGAAAGCTATGTTTCATAAATAACAATGTTCTAACTTATTCACTATGATTAGGAGCTCTTATTTGAGCAACACTGAATGAGAAGAAATTCTGTTCATTTTGAGGTTTTGGTTTGAGAACCGTCAGAATGACCTTTTCACTGACGAAGAAATCAAGAAAATACACAAAACGACACTGAGGGACATCATTCGCGAAACCACCGAGATCTCTGATCAGTGGCTTCAAGAAGATGTGAGTCGATTCGTAACTTTGTATGGAGATATAAGAAATCATAAACTTTAAATGGAAAGTTGTAGAAAGGTGTTTCTACGCCATAGCAAATAATGAAGCCGAGTTGTAAGTGGGCTATTAATCTGGATACGTACATTTTTTTGCTTTGTCTATCACTTTGCAATAAAAACATATCTTTGCAAGAAAGAAGAAAAACGGAAAGCGGGAAAATAAGGTAAACTGCTCCAAAATCGTCATCAGCGCATTCATGACAACGTGACCTCTGCGGGAGTTATAGTTATTAGCAGTTGTTAGTTTTATTTAGTTATTGGTTACACGGTGCGGAAATAATGACGCCTTTTAGCTTTAGATTGGCACATCTTCGAATACTTGAAATAGAAGCTATTACTACTTGCAGTAAAAACTATTAAAGGATAAAAGGATAAAGCTCTCGGCGTTGATCAATCCCTTTGGGATGCACCATGTATTCGAATTCATTAAACATCGTTTGGAGATGGCTGAATGCATACCTGGCCTTTACAATGCCTCTAGGTGGTCTACCGGGGTGCCAAGCCAGTGCTGCTATCCTCCGAGACAAGTCTGGTGCCAACTTGCCCACCCTGGAGGGATGGAAGGCTTGGTGGACCTGGGGCGCGGGAGTCGATCCCATGTGTTTTGCAGGGCGCCTCCGACGCCACACGCCGCGTCCCCATGTAATAAAAACTGTTGTTATTTATTTGTCTATAAAGCGGAATCGAACTAGCACCATGCTCGTCATGACAGACATCACTACCACTGTGCTATCCACGCTCTAATAAAAGCTATTAAAACTTATTTCGAAAGACTGACTTTCATTTAATTTCGGCATGAGTGCTCAATAATACCTTGCGAATTGCCTTACGAGCTTGCTAGCGGGAGGTTGAGTTCATTTCTTTCTCGGAAACGATGGCTAATATTTCGGCATTTTCGACTAATTCAGTGCTTAGACGTACGACGTATACCATTCGATATTTTATTATTCCGTCAATGTTTCTTAGTTCTAATGAAAACCTACTTCGAAGTCAGAAAAAACTAGATTTTTGAATTAGAATTTCGTTAGAATTATACCATGGAGCAATTGTGACATAGCAACTAGACCGCAATCGCTTGTATAGAGTGTACTTGCTCGATTCTACGATTTCAGGTATTCTACTTCAAAGAAGGTGATCCATGTCCACAGCCGTTCCAGGTGAACGCCACAGGCCAGTTAACTCGTCTTCAACACGAATGAGTAGAATTTTAAGCGGCGATCTCTTGAAACTTTGTCTATTTTTCGCCACGAGCATTGCTCTTTAAAAAATTCGTTCCAAAGAATGTTTTCTAAAAAAAAAATGCTTTTCATAGACGATTCTAGTTGAAAGGAAAAACTATGTAAGCAGTGTTTTGCTTTTTATTTTCTGCCTACTATAGTTTTTGCTGCAGGGCATTAAGCGATTTACAACCCCAACTTTGCTGAGATATTTGCAAAACTCCGGACCGCAGGTGTCTACGGTGGGGAACGAACGCGGTATTACCCCTTCCGGGGGCTAACACGTTCACCACCAAGCCATGCTGGTCCTTTGTTTCACCTGTCTCTCAGCTAGTTGTATCAATCACTGCCATCAATAATCACCTGTTGTGATTACATAAGCTGTAGTATCTGAAACAAATTAAGTATGAATTGTAATCAATGCGTTGGAGTCCACTATGTGGTAGGTAATTGTTCATACAGCATCCAGATGAGGACAATATCCCTTCTTCGAGTTCTCGAACCTACAACCGGATCGGTTGGCCTCTATTTAGTACGACAGGGAATTCTTTCTCATCACTGTATTTTTTCGCTGAAAACGTGATTGTTGTGAGTTTAAATCGGCACTTATGACTTCGTATTGTAAAATGCCTACTAGTTTAACGTGGTTGTACGCCAAGAGGTCCTTGCTGCTATCGTATACCGCACTCGGTACTTATTGCAGGACTGGAGCAATGTGTTCCGTTTATGAGATTCGATCATTTCACTGGAAATGAGGTCACGTACATCTTCACCCTTATTGGACTGGGATGCATTCCACTAAGTACGTTCGTAGTTTATCGACCTATATAACATTTTTCTATTATCTTCCTGTTACGTTGTTAATAGCAGCATTGCAGAAATACGAAATCATCTACACAGTTTCTATCACTTTTCTCTAGAAGCATCAAAGCAAAGATCAGCAAAAAGAAGCGCTTCGATGACGTTTTTCTAATCGGAGATTGTTGAACGTAACGCTGTGTCTTGCAGTCTGCTTTGGTATTGGCTATATGCTGATCCAACGTCGTCGTCGTATGGGTTGGGACAGCTCGTACGACGACCTCTCGGCAACCGCCATCGATGTCGACACAACCGACGACGGCTACCATGTGCCGGGTACGCCTCTCTTTATCATTACTGTTATTGGCTTTAATGGTTACCTTAGTTTATTTCACATGAACAATCTTCCAAATCTACTGTGCGGTCCCCAGCACTTCTTTCATTCTGCGCGTTGTCATGTATCCGTCATCCACGAAGGTGTTTGGATCTGCATGTGCGCCTCTACTACAACCTTTGATTTAGTCTTTCAAATAGAAGAATTTGAGGGAATAGTTTGGGTTTGAAGATTTTGCAGTCGTGTCATTCAAACTTAAGTGAGACGACAGCAGCCAAACGAACATGGTAGTGTTCTGTGTGCCCATCGGTTCCAGAGAAATTCAAGTGACGAGTTCGTGTGGACAAAAGTGTCTTCAGTTGTTTTTTTCACAGCAATTGCGAGGTTATTATTTACCACACGTTTACTTCCTAACAAGTATAACACATACAACACAGCGGTAGCTGACGTTTCGGCAGTATCGCCTTCTTCAGAGCCTGGATGTGTGCACTAATATGTAATTTACTAGGTCAAACGCTTCAACAACGCAAGCAGAAAGATGAAAATCTGAAGAATAATTACTTATTTGCTTTCCACCAAGGGAGAACAGCCGCTTAGAGTTGCATATGGTTGATCACTGCACCACCCCACATCAAAAATCAGTTCTGAGATACGGGGCAAGATCACGCGTTATCTCAGGGCATTCTTCCTTGTTATTCATTCTCGGATTTTTGGAATTTATCCAAAAAGCCTCGAGAAATTTGCACGTTGGTGTTTTAGTCTCCTGTGCGATGATAGCGACTTTTACATCAAAATCTTCTCCTCTATGTTTTTGAATCCTATGCGCGCCTAGTGGCGTGCCTTGCTTTGATTTTCGTTTACCATCTAGGTGTTCTTTTATGCGGATACACAAAGGCCTGACCGTTTCGCCGATATATTCGTCTCCGCAAGTACTACAAGAAATCAAGTATATCGTACCTGAACTTATGCAGTCACCCTCTGCTGTAAGAGCAAGTTGGTTTATGATTCAATGCCGAGGTTAATAGAAAGTCGATCTTGGCAACTGTTAAAAGATGTATCAGTGTCTTCAGTGCGAACAGTCTTTGGGAAAAATCGTAAAAAAATTATTATCGTCTTTTGAGCTTTCAGACTTTATTTTTTAAGAAGAAGAAAAGCAAACAGGGGAAGAAAATCAAGAATTCACTAAAGAGTTTGAGACATACAGAATGATGAAACATTCAAATGTTTATTCACTTCACCTAAACAGGACCTGTGTTATTTTATGCCGCTATTTTACTTTTAAACATAACTTTTGGCATAGTAATTCCAGAGCTGCGGTGTGGCGCAGTGGTCGGAAGCAGTAATATACATAGGATAGATTCCGCCGGCCTTTCCATCACTCCGGGGTCGCCAAACTGGTGGCAAACTTGCTTGGGAGGATAGCAACACTAGCTCGATAAGTAGTAAACCACCGCGAGTCATCGTAGAGGCCAGATATGCATTCAGTCACCTCCAAACGATGCTTGATGAAACCGAATGCATGGCGCATCCCTAAGGGAATGGAACAACGCCGATAGCTTTATCCTTTGCCCTGTATAGCAATTCCATAAATTAAGGGAAATAGGATGTACAGGTTAAAGATGCTGAGCAAAAGATTCGACATGGCTGATTTTGTACCGATTATTGCCAGTTATATCTCTCATCCCTCCGGAGACGTCTATTGATGTTATACTTTTCTCTGAAAAGTTGTCTTAGACAGCGTCGGCTGAATAAAAAGGTGAGTTTAAGCAGAACTGTTTCAGGAATACAGGCGGAGAACTCGACCATCATCTAACGATATTCATGAAAAACAGAACAAGACCCTCAAGTGGCAACCGAGTCTTCACGTAAATAAAGTCTATGTGTGTGACATATGCGAAGTCACGAACTAAATTCGAATAAGTGCTGACACTCGTTGAGTATGTGAAACCCAGTCACGTAAATGAAGGAAAGCGTGGAAAAAAATTAAGCGGCACTAGGTTTCACTGGCTGTTGAAGGTGCTGAACGAATAGGAGATTAACGAATCAATAAGTGGCGAAATTGAGAAAATCTGATTAGCGGTTTTTATAAAGATTAGTAAAACCCGTGCATACAAAGGTTTCAGCGTTCGAATGGTTACAAGAGTGCTTCGTGCGTCAAGTGATTGTGGAAATTTCTCCTGGCTCGTTAGTCGTCAGGAAGCCTCGAGGTGGAATTTTAAGGAAGATGATTTTCTCGGAAAACGCTAAGGTTCGAAACTCGTTGAGTTGGTTTCTTGAGAACAAACTCCTAGCCGACTTTTGTCTTTAGCATTAGACACTATATTCTCAAAAAAAAGCTGCTAGCAGAAGCCGAGTCTGAAAAGGTTTTTAAATAACTAGGAGCTGTGCTAATACAGTCATCCATTTTAAAACATAGATTCCCGAAGCAGTCTAGAAATCACAACAGTGTGGTGTCAATAGTTGGAATACGATTTTTCTTCAAAGAAGGTTTACCAGGTCTTTTTAGTCCAATCCATTACTGATTGGTGGAAAGTGCAAAATAAAAAGTAGTAGAACCGATTGGTGAAAAAATAAAGGAATAGGATTTTATTTATTTATGTGATCTTATAAACTGATCTTCTTAAGCTGATGCGAGGTTGGTACAGGTCTTCGTTGTCGCTGTCAGACCTGTACCAACCTCGCGTCAGCTTAAGAAGATCAGTTTATAAGATCCCATAAATAAATATATCAACTATCTATGCTGAAGTTTGTAGAAAGTCTGTCTTTCGAGTTATTAAGAGAATAGGATTTTAGTTGAGAAAGGTGAAGAACAACCGTTAAGGTCACTGTCTTCCACAGCGTGCCGAACGCCTCCGGTGTTCATGGACCGTACTGTCTCATTAAAATGGTGAAAACACACGATTTGGTAAGTTGTTTTATCAAAACCATTCTCCATCACAGCTCAGAATATCTTCATTATCTAAATGAGGACGAACTGCAAAACCCCACCGCTCTTTTGCGTCATTTTGAGGAAGTAAATTTTTACAAAACCTACTTAAGCGGAAAATCCCTATATCTGATAGGAAATAAATGCGAATTCAAAGTTTTTAGTTCGAAAGTCAATTCATCACCGCTTTGCTAACGTTCACGTTTAGGTGCTTCGTCTTCCTTCTGACAAACATTTGCCGGAGTTCCTCGCCGCACTTACGCTTTCTTTGAAAAAACTCGATGGTCAACTCATATGCTTTCTCATACCAAATAAAGCGCTCCTCGAAAAAGCCGAAACAGAGGTCAGATTTTGTCTCTAACATATTTATGGCTTGAGATTGTTGTTTCCAAAACAGAAACTCAAATATAGGCGTTTTTCAGGAACGCCGTCAGCAGCGTTTGGACCATTTCTTCCGTGAAGCTTATGCCCGTGCCTTTAATCAGCCAAAGCTGAGCGATTCAAACACTCACGAGAACGACACTGACAGCATTCTCGATCAGACCATAACCAAGTGCGATCGTTGTAATTCACTTGATAATGAACTTCTTCATCTGAATTACTTGTTCTTTACGTTTCCTAGTTTTTCTTGCCTACGATTTTGCTAGCAGTAGGAGCTCACCTTTTTTTGGAGTAGTTTTTATAAGAATTTTCTTAGCCTACTATGTTATAGACACGAATTCGCACAGGCAATTGGAATGCGAGAGACAGACATGTTCGTACAGCGAATGTTCGCCATCACCTCTCATTCAAGCAGTGACATGGTGACATTCGCAGAATTTCTTGAAGTACTGAAGAAGTTCAGCGAAGGTGAGAAAGGCAACATGAGAGTCCAGTGTGTTTAGATAAAGAATGAGGTGCTGTCTAAGGATAAAAGAACTCTAAGGCTTCATTCATCTGTATCACCCGTAGTCCTGTTGTTCATTGAGTGACTCGAGCAGGCCCCAGTATATTTTCTGCTTTTCCCGGTCGCTTGCAAGAGTAGGCCAGTAGGTTCAGCTCGCTCTAGGGACTCTTTGAGTATCATATGTTTATTCTAGAGTTTCGCTGTAAAATTCTGTCCATTGGGTCGGTGCTCTTCTTGTTATGCGCATTTGACATCCCGATGAATCCAGTCACTAACGGTTTTTGTCCATCGGTTGTCGTTCATATGCATTACGTTTCCGAGCTTTCTTATCTTCGCCATTTTGCTAAGTATAATGAGGTTTCCAATTTTTGGTCATTGACGCAAGTTAGGACTTCGGATGCCCTTTATCGCTTGCGTTGTACTTTCGACTGCGCGTTCTATAACGCTGAGTGATCTTCCATCTTGCCTATCTAGCGACCAAGCTTCTGTCGCATGCGTTATGGCAGGAGGAATAGTGAAGCCGAAAAGGTGGGCACAAGGTCTGGTGTTCCTTGTTTTCTTCATTACATCCTCGATGCTCTTGAAAGATCCCCAAGCCACACGTTCCCTTGTGCTCAATTCTGAAACTAAGTCGTTCATCATGTTGATTTTCCAACCTAGATAGATGTAACTGGAGCATTCGGAGATATTTGTTCCGTTGAGCGTGAATGGGATATGAGAAACGAATCCGTTCTTCATGAACATCGTTTTTGTGAAATTTAATCGAAGACCAATCTTTCCACAGGCTTTATCAAAGTCGTCAAGCATACGTTCCGCTTGGGTAATGTTTGGTGTTATGAGGACGATATCATCAGCAAGGCGAAGACGGTGTAATCGCCAACCATCGGTTTTCACCCCAATGTTGTCTCATTCCAATGTTCGCATGACGTTCTCGAGAGTGGCGGTGAATAATTTTGGCGAGATGGTGCCGCCTTGCCTAACCCCTCATTGTAGAATGGTGATCTTTCAGTTATGAAATTTTATATAGCCCACGAAGAAGGTTTATACGCTGAGTAAGGCCACTCTTTATGTTCAGGGCTTCCATGACTGCTTGTATTTCAGTTGAGTCAAAAGGAGGACGATTATGCGAAGAACGCGAATCGAACGCAAAAAATGCTGAGATCCGCACAATAGATGTGATGCAGATTCGTATAAAATGTAAAATAGAGCTTTGGAGGGCTTTTTTCATGCTTTTGCCAGTCTCTGCAACTTCGACAGTGACTGCTGCTCTTTTCTCTTTGAGATCTTCTTTCATTGCCTGTCGTCATTGCCTTGCAAGTTTGGAAGTGAGTTACCGGTACTCTGTAGATCGTGCGACTTCATTCTGACGCATTAGCTCGAGTGTTTGTGGAGACAGACGTCTGGAACTTTGGGCTTTCATAGCACCAACGTGAAGATGTTCGATGAACTGATCGTATTCCTCGACGATGTTATCAAGAACGGCCCCTTTCCAACAGCCGACTAATGAACTAAGCAAATCCTAGTTGGTGGCGGCTTTGTCACTTTATTTTTTAGATTTGGCGTCTTTTTCTCCTTTAAGCTAGAAATGAAGGCTTGCACGAAGCAGGCATTGGTCTGATCCCATGTAGAATTTTGAGAAACCAGCGACATCGGTCAGGCAAAACTTTCGATTTACTACGATGTGGTCTACTTCGTTGTGTTAACTCCTATTGGTAGACTCCTACGCCCACGAATGAGGCTTCTGGAATTGACAGTTGCCGTGAATGGTCTTAGTCGTTATGGTAAACTCACACAGCCGCTCACCCTGCTGGTTCCATTCTAATCCTTGGGTCTCCATGTGACGTCCTCCAGACGTTCTCCTCGGTTTGATTTTAGCTCAAGGTCTCCAATAATGACCTTAACGAATGTAAGATCTTTTCTGTAGAAGTTGTCCAAGTTCATATAGAACGCGTCGCCTTCATCTTCGTCAGTTTCATGTCGGTGCGTAGACGAAGACGAACTAAGAATTGGACCTAGAATATAGACAAAGCCCATATTGGTCCACATCTCTTCAACTTCAAATGCCAAATTTGGATTGTTAATTATTCGAATGGATCGATGTTCATGGCCAAACTAGTGTTAACGAGAACGCCGACGCCTCGACGCCTATATTGTCGCATGTTCCGAGGAACGGTTCTTCGCTGTCATAAACGGTGTTGAATGGCTGGCGTCTTCTCTTATCAGCCAATAAGATGACGTCGTTTCTTATCCTTCTTGTCTATATAGTCAAGTCCTCTATCGGAAACTCAGATGCAAGTGTGCGTGCGGTGTGAGTACAAATCGTCACTTCGGTCTTTCGCTATTTAAGCATCCTACAATGGCCCTGAGATTTTGGCAGCCTTCCCGTACTCCTCCTGTCCAGCGCTGGCGTATCTGGGCTTTTTCGGGTTCAAAGGAATGAGACCCGTTTATTTTACTGTGTTTAGCGTTTAATATTCGGGTGTAGCTTTCTGAGCTCTGAACGTCGGGGCCGGGTATACTTACGGGTATTTTGCTAGTAATCCTCAGAGTTGTCGGGGAACCTATTTGTTGGAGGAGGCTCTTAACTGCCTTCCATATAGCTCCCTTTCACTTGATCGCAGGCTTTTGGTCAAATTGACTCGTAGAACACAATCCGCATTAAATTGAACGCGCCCACACACGCGCGCATTAAATACGCTTCTTAAATACAGAAAGTATGTGCCAAATCGGCGCAGCAGAAACAGAGAGCCCATACCCTGGATCCACCTACGTGTCAGGGAAACATGCGGTCGCTTTTGATACGCGAGTATTTCCCTATCTGCCACCTAAAGAGGAGCCATGTTGCCTCGCGACTAACCGGCAAGAGATCGCTTTATGAAGGAGATTCGTGGAACTTCACACTGTAGTTTTATTATTGGGATTATCGAGGTACTGTGCTTAAGTCTTAAGTAACTGAACAGAATAGCGACGAAAACACCGCTACCCCCATTTCATCACGAATTGTGGAGTGACACTATAGGTAGCATTTTCATTTGCCTTAAAACCACTTGTTCTTTCAGCAGAAAACATTTTAGGTACGGTAAGGGACAAGTACAAGTTGCTGTTTGCGATGTGTGACATACATGGCCGAGGACGGGTTCATCGCCGCCAATTCGCTGAACTCATTCGATCGCTGAACGACGTCATTGGCGTTAGAATCACGGAAAGCACTCATGATAATGTCATAGAGAACATCCTTTGCCGATCGGGTGAGTGTCCAAGGAATGCTAACCTGCAGACGCTGCAGAATAAATAAGCTTATCCATGAAAACTTTTGAATTTGTTTAGATAAACAACTTTAAATACCCTAAGATATCTTTCTTTTAAATCCCTTTTCTGTCGTTGTCATTGTTTCATCTAGAGATTTTGCTTTAAACGTAGAGGTTTTTCACACGATACTCCATTATCATAAAGTTGACACGACACTACTCCAGACAATTTACCACCTTATCGTGGCTGGGAGGCGATCCTGGGTGTCGGGTTGCGTTGTACAGCAGGAGGATTCATCCCCTGGCAGGGCGTCCCAAACTGAGGAGTCCGGCCTTTCCATCAGGAAACCTAGCTAAGAGTAAACCAGTACCAGGATCCACCACCGTTCTGGTATCAAACTAGTCGCATGGTGGCAAATCCCTCCCTAATCTACAAGGGCTTTGACTGCCTGTAGGGGTGACGACCTGGGGAAGACTTTGAGCAGGCTGCTCTTGGGTCTCCAGGGAGCCACAATAGCTTAACCAGCAAATCTCCGTATAATGGAAATTATATTGGGGCCCGCCCAACCAATGAAGACGGGCCATCCTAGTATCCAAGTAAGTAACACGACACTTCCCTAGGTGGGTGTCAAACAGCGAAGTACAGCAGGAGCTCACACTCGTCAAAGCTGCTCAAAATTAGAAGTTCATCATTTCCGTTCAGAAGACTAACTAAGAGTAAACTTGTACCTGTAGCCTCTTCGAAAAGAAAACCATTTCGCAAGGCGACAAACTCCTCTTCTATACAGAAGGGTTGCTGATTGCTAGTGACCTGGAAGAGTTTTCTTCACCTCCATATTCCAGTTGAAAAATGTGCCCACTTAGCGAAATATCAGACAGATGGAAATTCCAGTGGGTTCACTCATTATTCGTGACGGGACAGTATAAGTACCTAAATAGAAAGGTTTTGTGTAAGTTGTAAAGCTGTTGCTTCCATCATGATTAGGCATACGTTTACGATAACTAACAGTTTTTCTGAGTTTCTGTTTTAACGATTCCTCTCAGGAATTAGCCCTTCGTCCGAATACCTGACCGTCGCCGATTTCGAAGCCATCTTTGCTCAAGTCGATGAACGAAGACCCGTCTGCGTTGACTTCCGAGGAACGAAAATCAAAGTCAATCTGGAAGAGTGAGTCATCCAAAGCTTTTTTAGCGAATAATAGTTAAGCATTCTGCTACTGAAATTGCCAAGCTCAACATCGTATGCGAACATGTACATTGCAGCATTTTTCTCGACTTATTTAGCAATGCTTTACGGTTTCCACTCTTGGTTTGCACAACATCTTTTTGATGGTTACAAGACAAACTCGTCATAGTGTATTTTTCTTGAAACTAAAAATGTCTCTACTGTTCAGGACAGCGTCGCTGAGTTCTTTCGCCGTTTCCTCAGCGCCCGAGCGCCAATGTCTTCCGCATGACATTTTCGGCTCGTTCGCAGCTTATGTGGAAACCTATCGTCAGCACATCGCCATCCTATTCATCTTCTGTTGTATCAACATCATCGTGTTCTTGGAGAGGTTCTGGCGTGAGTGCAATTTCTCCATTCGATTATGTCCTTCCTTGAACACTTTCTTTTCCTACCTACTTCCTTCACACGATTAAACGATCTCACACTGAAAAAATAAGGTGAGAACGTTTCCAGAAAGTCCCACTTTTTTTTGAAAAGTCTTGGTTATCACTTTTATTTAAATGAGATATTCTTTTCAACTCAAAACAATTTTCTATATAGTTATATCGGCCACAGTTGTATCTTGTTTTACACAAATTCTTTTTTCACATGACCACTCATCACATTTGCTATGAGGGTCCCAGCAATTCTTCCTTTTAATTGGTTTTCACTGCACTCATCGTCCACAACGGTCTTTGAACATTTCGCGTGTTGTTTTACTACTGCTTGAGGATTTCCTCTTCTTTATACACGTCACATGAGTATTGGCTTAGTTGATTCTCCTTCGAATCTCCAAGATAGCCGAACTAAGGCGTTTCCACGTGAACTGGAGGAGAGCGTTGGAACTGGGATTGAACTAGTTCCTGATCGTCGGCATAACGAACCACTGTGCTATTTCTGCTTTATACAATGACATCTAATAATGCTGACCATATGGTCGACTTTTTGTTGATCAAAAGTTATAGATCAAAACGAAATAATCTCTAGCAATGAAAATCACAGTACAAGTTCACGATTTATGAGTAGAATCAACTCTTTCACAACTGCGCCCATTTTCGCATGGCAGACCTATGGGACCGCGTATCACTGAAGCGCAATGGACATGCGCATTGAAATCAATATGTACGGTCCGAAATGCACAGTGGCGTCCATATTGAAATCAATGCGCATGGTCGTGAAAGAGTTAAAACAAGATAAATAGTACATCGAACACCTGCTCATCTAAATCTTTATCTCTTCCATAACAGAGCTTCCGTATATCCACTGGTAGTTGGCTTTTAAAACAAAAGTTTTCCTGCTGCGATGAGCCTCACATTTCTTGTGGAACACAATGAAATATAGTAGGCTTTTGGTTAAAAAACTCGTCCTGAATCACCACGCAACTGAAAACAAGGTTCATTTCTATTTAAAATTCTACTATGATGAGCAAACCTGACATAATTATAATTAGCGAATATCTCTAATCAAAAAATAACAACCACTCGCATAAAATGTGCCCTAATCGTAATGTACACGCCCATAGCGCCTCCTATCCAATAACAAGCTGTTACATCTCCATGCCAAGTGAGACGCCATGCGGTAAAGTTGCATGCCAAGCGGTAAATTTGCCAGCAACGTTGTACTAAGCAAGTAGTCAAACCACACCCTTAAGAAAGGCATAGTTGACGACTGACATGGTACTTCTTGAAAAGACAAGTACGTTCGTCCTGAAGGACTTTAGTTGCTATGAATATCAAAGGCTAGAGTCCTTTAGTCGTAGAGTTTAGAGAGATTAGATAGCTAACAATTTCATTTTGTTATTTACTGCCTTTTTTTTAATGGCAGGGTATATTGCGAAGTATAATTTTATTGATGCTGAGACATTTGCGAAACTCCGGACCGCAGGTGTCTGCGGTGGGGAACAAGCGCGCTATTGTCCTTTCACAGAAGTAACGCGTTCACCACCACACCATGCGGGTTCTTCGTTTCGCCTATCTCTCAGCTAGTTCTATCGATCTTTGGCATCATCAATCACCCGTCAGCGGAATTGATCTGGGGAGCCCAAATCGGCAACGAACCCAGCGAAGCTGGGGCTTATAATCACAATTTCAACTTATTATTTACTGCCTACTGGGTCCGTTGCCGATTTGGGCTTCCCAGATCAATCCCGCTGACGGGTTATTGCTGATGACAGAGATCATGGAACTAGCTGAGAGACAGGCGAAACGAAGGATCCGCATGGTGTGGTGGTGAATGCGTTACTCCTCGGAAAGGACCATAGCGCGTTCGTTCCCCAGCGCAGACACCTTCGTTCCGGAGTTTTGCAAGTATCTCAGCATTATTGAAGTTAGACAGCTAACAGCCTAGCAAGAACAGTCGGATCGCTGTGTGGCCATCGCCACTATGTGAGCGAACACTGAAGATATAAAAAGTATTATGATCGAAAAAACGTCCACTTTAAGTGGATTTAATTACTAGGAATCGAAACTGCGTTTGAAGACATTTTTATTAGTAGATGATAGGTGAATAACTATTTATTACAAATTTATGTTAAGAAACAAGATACGTGTGCACTTTGTTTAGACTACCGTTATGAGACCGAGCATCGGGATCTGCGACGAGTGATGGGTGCCGGTATTGCGATTACACGTGGTGCTGCCGGAGCTCTATCGTTCTGCATGGCCGTCGTACTGCTCACAGTTTGCCGCAACGTGATCACGCTCGTAAGGGAAACCCCACTCGGAGAGTTCATTCCATTCGATTCAGCCATCACATTCCATAAGGTACTCTTGTCGCTTTAGTAACCATTTTTCATTCCATACTGATACAAACGAACGCGTTAGGATAGATTCAGTTACTTCTAACTACCACTCGATGTACTAATCTGTTCTCTTCTCTTACTGGCGATTATGATAATAGTGGTATAGGGCTTAATTGACCTCGAAGCAGAGGTCATAATGTTGGCTGTATACGAGCGATCGGAACCTCATTATTGCTAATGTTACGTCATAAATTGAATGACTGAATGAATGGAATGGTTTTCGAGAAATACGAGAAATCGTGCTGTATTAGCACAATTCATATTTGGCACGCAATTTGCTGGTTGAGTAAAATTTTCATTCCCTGGAGACTAGGACAGGGCATTCTATGGCTTCTAAAGGTTATTATCGGTTGCTAGTCGCAAAAGTGACAAGAAGAACGTCACATTTTTGGTGTGACGCCACTTTTAATGTTTTAGGCCTCACCAGACATTGCAGTAGCAAAGAATTACTAGCTTACGGGTAAAAATATTAAAGTTCTTTGTAGCTTAGATTACTGCTTTTGGTGATGAATTCCAACTGCCGTACATCACGGTCCAACATACAGGAACTCTACAGTGACGACGAGGCAGTAGGCCAATAGGTCCTTCCCTAGAGCTTTGTAATGGATTAAAACACCTGAATGAGAACCAACAACTGGCCTTTGTATTGTATTTAGAGGAAAATTTTTAAGAGATGTATGTATTATTACGCTTGGCTTATCAGAACGAGCGTAATCGGCTAGGTAAAACAAAGCTGTGCTACTTTATAAAATGTCAGCCTGAGATTTGTAGATATCTATATTTCTATCTATAGACAGATTATAGTTATCTCTACCTCTCTTATTCCTTGATCTCTTCTGTTGAAACGAAGAAGTCTATCGCATTTTTTGTTTCCAGATCGTTGCACTGTTTGCTGCATTCTGGGCGTCTCTGCACACTATCGGACATTGCGTGAACTTCTATCACGTCGCCACACAGAGCCAAGAGGGTCTACATTGTCTTTTCCAGGAAGCCGTATTCGGGTTAGTGTCTTAAAGATAAGGGAAAATCTATCAGTGGTATAAACCGATAAAGAATATGGTGAAGTACAATACGATAAAATGTTAGCTGTTCCCGCGCGCTTAGTTGTATTTTGTGTCCTCATACGCCTTGATCCAGCGATCTCTCCAATCCACTGGTATCGGGTGAGTTGGTGATACATTACAAAATGGAACACGTCATCATCGGAAACATGCCTATGCTCTGTGTCAAGCACCGCAGCGTAGACATATCCGCTAAAACAAATTTAAAGACAAGATAGGAACGTCTTGTTTGATCCCCATGAGCCTATGGACTTCGTGAATTCTACCACGCTTATATGAAAACTCTGAAATCGTTCTTGTCATATTCAAATCTAACATGTGTCCTAAAAGTAGTGTAAAACAAGAAGCGAATGTAGCACAGTGGTAAGAAGTACGTTGCAGCGCACATGCGGTTATTAGTCCAACCACGCACCTTGGGTAGGAGGTACCCTCTTTCTCCTCTGGTTCGGAAAACTGGCACCAAACTTCTCTAGTAGGACAAGAACAATGGCTTGATACAGCGGTAGGTTTCCGTAATTGTTATGTAGACCAACTAATTCATTCAGTCATCTCCATGGTGCCACGAGTGGATTCGAATGTATGGCGCATCTCTAAGGAATCTGTCAACACGGAGCGCCTTAACCCTTTATCCTTATAAATAATTTCCGTAATTATTGCAAATAATGGGTATCTTATCTATACCGACATTTTATATAGCATATGCTATATATTTTTTTGAAGCACCACATAGGTTCCTCTTCTCAGTTACCTCTCAAAAAATGACACAAACAGTGGCTTTCACTTGCAGATCGAACTTCCTACCGTCAATCTGCTATTGGTTCTACGGTACGATTACTGGGCTAACAGGCATTCTATTGGTGGCAGTGATGTCCATCATCTATGTGTTTGCGTTGCCATGTTTTATGAAGAGGGCATATCATGCTTTTAGGTTAGTTATCGGCAAATATTTAACAACGAAATGAATCCGTTGAGTTTCATGCGATTACAGACTTACTCACCTACTGAACGTCGCCTTCTATGCTCTCACTGTCTTGCACGGATTACCAAAATTGCTCGATGTACGTTAAATTGATCATTCTGCGGTTTCTAGATTGCGATTACTTAAAGTATATGGTCAAAAAAACCTTGAGCGAAAGAACTTTTGAATCCAAGAAACAAACATCAGATTAATCGAGCAACACATATTTTTGGACCACGGATCTACTCCATAGAGGGATCTCGAGCCAGTTAGTCGTGAGGCAACGTGGCGCCTTCCCAAGTGGCGGAAAGGGGGTTAATTGTGCAACCTTTGCTTCCCTGGGAAGCAGATAGGTCCAGGGGATGGACTTCCTGTTTCTGCGGCATCAAGTTCGTACATACCTTTCATATTTATGATGTATTTCCATTCATGAACCTGTGGGTATGTTTTCGTTTATGCGGATTGTGCTTTACGAGACAATTCGCCAGCCCTAGATAGGACGGGTACGGCGAGGCTGCTAAAATCTCAGGGCCATCCTAGGCTGCTCAAATCGCAAAGGATTAGAGGGCGGTCTGTACCTACAATGCAGGCACACTTGCATCTGAGTCTTCGGTAGAATAGTTGATCATCCAGACAAGAATGATAAAAAACGACGTCATCGGACTGGCTGAAACGAGAAGACACCAACCATCAACGCTGTCTATGACAATGGAAAATAATTATTCCTTGGAACATGCGTCAGTAGAAGAGTTGCGGCGTTGGTGTTCTCGTCAACACGAGTTTAGCTATGAACATCGATTCATTCAAACAACAATTAGCCCAATCGGACATCTACGATGCAAGAGTTTTAAATCCATACAGCTTCGACAATTTTCCGTCGTTCACGCGCCGACATGAAGGCGAAGTTGAAGAGTTCTGTATGGATTTGAAGAAGTTCTATAGAGAAGATCAAACAATCTTTAAGTTTATCATTTAAAATTTTAGCGCTTAAATTACATTCAGAAGTGTTACCGAAGAACGACACATTGCTACCAACGGATTGGAAAGAAAGGAGCAAGGTGAGCGGCTGTATGGGTTTATCGTAACGACTAAGACTATTCAAGGCAACTCGCAATTCCAGAAGTCCCCCTCCCAAGGCTGGACGTGGGAGTGTTCCAGTGGAGAGTGCCATAATGAAATAGATTACATCATAGTAAACCGAAGGTTTTGCCTAAGCGATGTCGCTGTTGTCCCAAAATTCTACACGGCATCAGACCATCGCCTCATTCGTTCAAGATTCTATTTCTCGCGGAAAGGAGAAAAAGCCGCTAAATTCAAAAACCGGAGTCCCATAACAACTATAAACTGGGACTTATTCAATACATCAGTCGGCTGTTGGGAAGATGTCGTTGTCGATAACGTCGACAAAGAATACAATCGGCTCATTCAACATCTTCACGTTAGCACTATGAAAACGGAGAGTTCGAAAATCACTAAGAGACGTCTGTCTCCAGAAACTGTCGAGCTGAAACACCAGAGAGGAATAGCGCGAGGTGCAGGCAACCGCGAGCTAACGTTTGAACTTGCAGAACAACGCAGACCGGCGATGAAAGAAGATCTTAAAGAGAGAAGAGCAGCAGTTATGGTCGAAGCTGGAGAGGTGGGGAAAAGCACTCGCAAAGGTCACCGAAGCTTCGCCAACTACAAAACGAAAATTATTGCACTCCGACGCCCAGATGAAACAGTTGCAGCTTCCAGAAAGTCAATGGGAAAAACTGTCCACGAATACTACTCGGATCTTTTCAATAGCCACGTCTTCCTGCCCTCATATAAAATAAAGGAGGATGGATACGTTGTACCACTGCTTCTGCCTTCCGAAATCCAATATGCTATTTCATCAGTGAAAAATCGGACAAAATCAGGTCCGGACAGGATAAGATCAGAACACCTGAAGAACTTTCCGCCAGTCCTCGTTAACACACTGGCTCGGCTCTACACACGTTACCTGTCTGAATGCGAGATTCCTACTAAGTAGAAGACCAGTAAGACCGTGTTATTGTTTAAGAAGGGTGACCTGCACGATATCGGCAACTATCGCTCAATCTGCTTACTGTCTGTCGTCTGCAAACTCTTAACTCAAGTCATCCTAAATAGAGTTGACAAAACAATGGACGAAGGAGTCATACGAGCAAGTAGAGTTTCGGGAAGGATTGAATACGATGGACCACATCCATACGATAGCAAGACTCACTGCACTATGGCGAGAGTACAAGAGGCCACTCTATCTCGCTTTCATAGCTTTAAAGGAATCTTCTAACTAAGTTAGGATATCAGTAATCATGGAAACCATTGATAGCCTAGTCAGTGCATAAAGATTATTCATGAGTTGTACAAAAATTTTACAACCAAGATATCACCATTCTACAACGATATTAACATTGACGTCAAAAGAGAGGTTAAGCAAGGCGATACCATCTCGCCAAAATTATTTACCGCCACTCTCCAGAACGTCATGTGAACACTGGAATGGGATAATGTGGGAGTGAAAATCGATGGTCGGCAATTACATCATATTTGGTTTGCTGATGATGTCGCTCCTATAACACCAAATATTGGCCAAGCGGATCGAATGCTTTCCGATTTTGACAAAGCCTTTAGAAAGATTGGTCTTCGACAAAGTCTCACAAAAACGATGTCCATGAGCAACGGACCGGTTTCCTACGCCCCATTCACGCTCAACGGAACGAATATCAGTTACGTCTGTCTTGGCCGGGAAATCAACACGATGAACGACTTAGTTCCAGAGTTAATCGAAAGGAAGTTAGCGGCTTGGTGAGCCTTCAAGAACATCAAGGTAGTGAAAAGAACGAAGAACACACGACTCCGTGCCCACCATTTCGACTCCATGATTCTTCCTGCCTTACTGTATACGTGAGAAATCTGGTCGCTGCGTAAGAAGTATGAAAGATTATTCAGTGTTGTTGAGCGAGCAGTCGAAAGATACTAGGAGTATCCCGTGTTACATAATTGAGGGAAGTGATCTGAAGCTCCAATCTACGCCAGTGATCAAAAGTCAGGGTGCCCGTTCTATATGCCAACCTGTTGAATATAAATTGGGCCGAGGAGGTAATGCGTATGAACGACAATCGATGGACAAGAGCTGTTAGCGATTGGATTCCTCATTATGTCAAACGTACTGCTGGAAGGCCACCGACCCGATGGTCAGAGTGGAAGACCGAAAGCTATGTACTTAGAGAGTTCCTAGAGTGAGCAGAATCATTGGCCTGCTTTGCACGCGACAGGGAGAAATGGAGGATTTACTGGCGCCCACTCGAGACATTTGATGATCATAGGACGAGAGGCATGCAGACGATCTTTGCGGACGTTAGTGCCAGTTAAGAATATGTTGTTTTTGTTTCGAGACTGTTCTATTAATTGGGAAATGCAAAGAATAATATTCTGTAGCACTTCAGCTAATGAAATTTGGTAAAAGTATTGGTGGCTATGCTGCAGAAATCCTGTTGTTATGTATCCTTATTTGAAAAGTTCAGCGATCCGTTTGCACAACTCAAGCGGTCGTCACCACATTTCCCCTCCTTTGCTTCTCTCTGTCGTGATTGCGCAACGTGATCCAGTTCGAACATGGTAGCCTACGCGGGTATCATCCGTATATCTTTTGACAACTTATAGGACCATAAACACATCCACCCATGTTGTAATTCGCCCTACAGATTAAGCCAACTTCTTTTCAAAGTCTACCTTACCGTTCCTGTTCTCTGTCTATGCTGAACTCGTCCCATCATTGGCCATCCTATCTTCTTCGTTTCCAGTCCTTATTCGATAAGCTATTGAAGATAAGAATCGTTTGAAGTCAGCAACAGATATGGTTGAGGTACAAACTCGTATTTCAGCTGAATTACAGAGCGCGAGGAGAAGCAGAGAAAAGAGGCAAATTCGAAGTCTTCAGTCTGTCTTTTGATCGGTGACTTGTCTGAGAGGCACGAGTTCATCCCATAAGACCTCATTTTTATGCAGAATTCCTCCTTCATTCTGATGGCCGTTGTGGACCAAAGGAGATTTGTTGCATTGCGATTACCCAGATAGCTATGATTAGTGGCTTACTCTTGGCGAGGTTTTTGAATGGGAATGTCAAACTCCTCGACCAGGTTGACTTCGTTGCAGGATAAATTGCCCCCGCTTTACGTCGCAGTTTGGCAGGCACCGTGAATCACCCTTCAAATACAATAAAATAACAAATTGGGGGTTTAACAAATGCACGTGCTTTCAATAAAACCGTTCTAAGCTCCACAATATTTTCCCTCGTGTAGTTATCTTTGAGATTCTTTCTTTCAGTCACCGAAATTCGGCTACTATGTTGTTGGGCCTGTGATAATTTTCATTATTGATCGGATCATGGGAATGCGTCAGGAATACAAGAAACTCAAAATTATTAACGCTGAGTTACTGCCTTCAGGTAAATATCACGTTATAGATTGACTTTAAGTGAAACTTATCAAGTTACGAGTTCTACTCCTACAGTTCGTCAGAGCTAAAGTATTCAAATAAGACGGAAGTAAAATCGGAGGTAAAAAATAGTTACATTGTCGGAGTTTCTACCGCGTGCATCATCCTTGGTCTCGTTAGTCACTCAGCAAATCGGACAGTCTCCAGTAAACCACATCCGGATCCTTCTCGTAGCAGAGTCCCACAGAGAACATAGGGAGGACATAGTCTTGGTGCGATGCCTTTTTTAAAACTTTTTCTTAGCAACACTAATCAAGAAAAACTGATCAAACTCATTATAGTATAAGTTATCTTAACTGGATTTCTAGAAGGATGTGTCAAACTCAGGTGCAGCTTGGGTGTAACGCTGATGTGGTTGATAAATTCCCTGTGTACAGCACAATTCGACACCAAGGAACACCTCACAGCCCCGATGATCGGCTGAAATGTAGAAGAGAGGGACGTTGTAACAGTTATAGAAAATGAAGTGTTCAGTAGTAGAGAACACAGCTTCACGCATTGTTTGTAAAAAAAGAGTGTTTCTAAGTAATTTTGAAGGTGAAGGCAAGCGACTTTATAAAACACAATGTTTGGTTAGAGATCTCGTGTTGGTTGGTCGGTAGGCGTATTGCATATGCTTCGGTGGAGTATAATGTGTTAACAGAAGCGTTTGCTGACCAAAAGCCATCGTGTACTTGCTATGAGACCCAAACGAATTAAATAGATAGGCCCTTTGTCTCTGCTCAGCAGAACCAGACAAGCTGCCCATGGATACCCCTGGTGGAAATAACATGTATCATACCAAAAGTGTCCCTTCGAGGACTCACTAGGCTACTCTGGCGCTCGACGGATGGATAGAGACATAAACCATATCAAACTTTTGTCGTATGGTGATTTGAGGCATCACAGGTGATACAGATGAAGGCTTGCCTGTAATCAAACACGAGTGTATTCTTTCTTTGGTGAGCTTACACGAGGTTGATAATGATGTTTATTTTCAGCTAACGTTTCGACGTCTTCGTGTTCCTCAGAGCCGATGATCCGAGTCGATGGTCCATGCTTGTTATTAGTGATACCGAGGTTCAAGGAAAGTCGAGTCCGAAATATTACTACGCTTTGTGCTAGCTGATAACAACACCGACTTCTGCACAATGTGCGCAATGATGTATGTCCGGAAGAAAAGCAAATTGTTATCACAGGACATTATCATTATATCGACCATCAGCATCGTGTATAAAAGGGCATCACTGAGTGAGGATGCCTCATGCGAGGAGATGGCTCACCGAAGAAGACCTGACTCGGCACGAAGGCGAAGCTGCCACGTCGAGACGAATAATAAGCGAGGACCATCGACTCGGATCATCGTCTCTGAGGAAGACGAAGACGTCGAAACGTTAGCCGAAAATAAACATCATTATCAATCTCGTGTAAGCTCATCAAAGAAAGAATACATATTGATTAGTGATACCGAGGTTCAAGGAAAGTCGGTTCCGAAACACGAGTGTGTTATGAGGTCAGATTTAATCCTCCTCATCTAGCAACCATAGCACATCTTCGTGTAGTTTCCTATTCTCCTTTGATGGGTGATTGTTGTTAGCACCGTTGGGGTAAAAAAATTAGAATAAAAAATAAATAAAAATAAAAATAAACAAATAAATAAAAAAATAAAAAATTAAATTAAATAAAAATAAAATTAGGGAAAGGCAGAGCAAGTGCCTCAGTTGGTGCAATAGATTGCACGTGCCCTCCGAGAAAAGGCAATCGCAGGTTCGAAGCGTAACTGAGGTTCTGTGTCTTGCTTATGTATGAGCATCTTTGTGGTTGGATTTCAGAATTCAGATCTATCCTTTCTTTAAAAGATGTTTTGTTCTGTTATTAGTGATACTACAATTCTTTGATATCTAGCACTGTTGTTGTTACAGACATCATCTACCTACAGTTCAAACGACCGTTGTCGTTTTCTTTCCGCTCTGGCCAATGGGTCCGCATTTCATCGCCGGCGTTCTCATGCGCCTTCAACGAGTGTCATGCTTTCTCACTTGCCTCAGCTCCACAGTCGCCTACACTCGAGTTGTATATAAAGGTAGGCGACATTTAGATTCACCAATAGAGATCGGTCTTACCGCTTGCCGCGGCTGCTGCTAAGAAGAGGGTAGATAGCGACATCCAGCAGTGTCATCTAGTTTGTTGAAGTATACTGTTGGGCACTGTGTTTTCCTATAATTTACTGTTGAACACTGGACGAAAATTTTATCGTATTTCACAATTAAACAAATGAAAAACTAAAAGTGTGCAGTTGAATATGAGAAGTTCGCTAAGGTAAAGTTTTCATACACCTGATGCTCGCTGTGTCGTGAAGCGAAATCCAGAATGTGTAAGTCTTCAGGTTGAGCAAAGGTATAGAAATAGATAGTTTTTCTAGGGGTGAAAACAATCAAAGTTACAGTGGAATTCACTAAAGCGGCAAAGGCAAGAAACCAATGCAAGATAAGAGAATTAGTATGATTCTTTCTGTCAAAAGAAAACAAACATATCGCCCAAAGTAAAACTCAAAATCTACTTCAGATGGGATTAATAGTTTCTCATGAAGCTGGAAGGCGATAGGATGAATCTATTTTACAAATAGCAGCCCCTAATCTGTCTCATTCAGGTTGTCGGTCCATGGACGTGGAAGTTGAGGTCGGAAATCATTCGTGCTCAAGCAAGCAACTCCTCGTATCCATTCGTTCATATGAATGGTCCATACGGAGATGGAAATCAGGTATTGCTATTTAATAACTTTAGACGAAAGGTTTTCTAATGAAGCTCTCTTTTCGTCAATTCTCATCATATTATTTTATTAAATATGTCTACTCCATACCCAAGACGTTATGGTCTCAGCCTAGTCGGTAAGCGGTTTACTTTTCTTTAAGAATCTTAACATGATTAACGACTTCGAAACGTGCTTTGTTGGATTAGAATGCTGATATATTGTAAATTTAAAGGATGTCTCAAGCAGTAACCGTACGATTACGTAGTGGTGAAAACAGCCGACACAATGCCCAAGCATAGCACTGGTTAAGTACCTGAAAACCAATTAGCATTTACCGTATAGGAGTTTATCTGCTGAGTTTAATACTTACATAATCTGTTTACAATATCCAGTACCAAGGCGCGAGTGACTGATCGAAAGGCGTACAATACCATTTTCAATCACTAAAGTTCAAAACATTCTGAAACAAAAAGTTTTGTGATGTTTTTCGTACTTTTTAACGAAAATGACTCCTCCATTTATTCACGACAATGCTCTATCACACTTAGTTTCGACGGTTTATCGAGAAGTGGAGATATTCGGCTGGAGAATGATGTTACATCTGTGATTCGACTATTTCCTGGGGCTGGGAACATGTGATATTCGGTCGTACGAGCTGTATAATTTTTTTAACCATAAGATATTCGCCAACTTCAACGATTCGGAGTCGAAAGTCCTCCTATACTCTGCCATCGTCAACGCAACTTATTTGTTTTCACCTATTGTTGGTCCGGTAATTGAGCACAAATGTAAGGCGTTCCCACATGGATTGGAGGAGAGCGTCGGAGAGGAGGTCGAACTAACGCCATGGCTCCCTAATCGAAGGCATTACTAACTAAATATTTGGCCCAAGTAATCAGTCAACATCACCGTGAAGCAGCAGATTAAAACAAGTTCTTATTGGAATAGGCTCAAAAAATGAAAATTCATCGGAATGCTGCATTACTTTCCAGCTACTCTAGTGGTGTTCTTATTCTAACAGATGTTTGCTGTACTTTATCTAGTGATTTAAACAGTATATGTTTGTCGTTCCAAACGTGGTGAAGATAAGTTGATTTAGGGCTGAAACAAGATTGTGAATGTGCTTCTTATTTATTTCACATGACCCGTTATCACATGTACTGTGCGGATCCGATTCATTCGATTGCTCTCCTGACGTTAATCCTCCGCAATGGTCTTCGAACATTTGACGCGTTGCATTGGCTGTTGCTTGAGGGTTTCGTATTTTTTGTGAACGTCTTAGAATGCTAGTCGAGTTAATTCTCCTTGCATCCTTGGAGATAGCGAGTCTAAGGCGTTCCCACATGGATTGGAGGAGAGCGTCGGAAGGGAGGTCGAACTAACGCCATTGCTCCCTAATCGAAGGCATTACTAACTACTGCACTTTTCTTCCTCGGATTGTGAATAATCGCTAAATTTTGGTCAAATGTTTTTTTTTGTGCTGGGCACATCTGAATTTGCATCGCAAAGGGTTGACATTTCATTTTTCACTCGTTTCTCTAGTTGTTGCCCACGTTAGCTTCTCTTTTCATACTTTCTGAGCTAATGACTGACCATTAAGAAAAGAAGAAAAAAGTCCAGGAAAAGACATTAGCCATGTCCATCGTTTTCTCACAATCAGGTGTTTTTATTTTAAACCAGACATTTAGCTGTATTCATAGCAAAAAGGATGGTTACAATTGAGCCAGTCTCTAAGCGAGGTCAAAACGAGCGCTTGGGGAGTAGTCGTTCAGCATATCAAGAAATGAGTGTGTGCTTCAGATTTCTAAGCTGTCGTTTAAGAAAACAATCACATAAGTGATTACCATTGAATCACTAGTTACTAGAAGTTTAACTTTTATAAACACTCATGAACCGGTCGATGATCGAAGACACTTTTTTCCACCGTGTCAAACGTCGACGGCTTTGAAAAAGGCAAACTTTCTTTCAGGTGCTGATTTTTCGGAGCATCTTCCAAGATCACGTTCACTTGTTTCATATGTGCTGCAGAGAGTTAAACTAATTTACATGAGACAAAACTTATTTCAGGAATGGACCAATTACGAAGTGGCTGTTCTCATTGGTGGCGGAATCGGTGTGACACCGTACGCATCAACCTTAACCGATCTCGTTTTGGAGACCACGTCCGGACGACATCACAACATCAAATGCAAAAAGGCATTTGCTTCACATTTACTGCCTCTTTTTCTCGTTTTGATACATCGGCTAGGATTCCTTCTTTTCACTTTTTTCTGATTAGAAGTTTCCTGACGAAAACTTAATCCGTCGTATGTAACCAATCTGATAGGAGACATGATCTAGGAGAATCTAGACACACGACCATTTTCCTTTAGCTAAAATTCAAAACTAACCTGAACGTGAATGTCTTCGGTTTTTTGAAATATTTTACTTATGATCTAATTTTGGCTCTATCTAAAGCATAGCGATGCAATACTGAAAAATCTAAGGTATCCTCAATAATTTTAGAAGCATCGGTAATTTCGTTCCAGGTTTACTTTCTATGGATTTGTCCGACTCACAAAAACTACGAGTGGTTTATCGATGTGCTGAAGGACGTTGAAGAACTGGATCAGAATCGACTTATAGAGGGTCACATCTTCGTCACACAGTTCTTCCACAAATTTGATTTGCGAACTACAATGTTGGTAAGTAGATTTCTGACCAAGCAGGCATGTTTTCCATTTTCCAGATGTTTTCAATAAAACTGGGTTTTGGATTAGTTGGCGCAACTCGTTGAATCGTCACTCGTCGTCGTGCTCATCTATTGTTCAGACCTTTTTTTGACAGAAAGAGAATGTCTTTCCCTCGATTCAATGAGTTCATGAAAACAAAATTGCTCTATCATAGTGGGAAACACAGGTGTTTACTGGTTGGAACAAGAATTGTTCACTGTTCGAGTGAAACCACTACTCAATCAAATTTTTTTAGATGAGAACTCATTTATGAGATTGATCAGTTCCGAGAACTTCTTCTTTCTTCTTCTTGCCACTCTTCAAATATGTTACATTGTTGACTTGAATGTTAAAAATTGAACTAAGGCCGAAATTTTACCTATAGTAATAGACTTAAGATGGATTCCAGCTCTCACATACCCGCTTATTCGGAATTCTATAGATTCCTCAAGTAGAGGTCGAGTCTTCGAGCAAATATTCGATAGAATTAATGAGAAGATATCAATCTTCCATGAAAGTAGCCGATGATTTTTTAAAACAGGACATTCCTAGAAGAGAAGGAAAAGTTGAATATTCTCTTGTCTAATAACAATAATAATAATAATAATAATAATAATAATAATAATAATAATAATAATAATAATAATAGTAATAATAATAGGTATCGATACCTTCCAAGTTATTGCGAAAGTGAAGCATCAGCACTACTAAAGCTGAAATTTAGATATGACCATTTTTATGTTTCGAAGTAGAAGATGAAAGTAACGGTATCCATGGATTATTTTTCTCATTTTTTTTTTCCAAATAATTGTTTAGTTGGGATAAAAGGGCATTTCAGTACATCTGTGAGAAGCACTTCCGTGGTGATCACGAAGGCAAGTCGATGTTCACCGGATTACGAGCTCACAATCATTTCGGTCGTCCGGATTTCGACGCGTTCTTCTCGTACATTCAGAGTGTTCACAACGAGGTGGGAATTTTCAACCTAACTGCTTCATTTTAGTCTCAGCTAAGCGGATTCTGGAGTGTTAACTACAATCTGCCCCATCTTCTTCATCTCCTGCACAGTGACACGAATATGCATTACAATATCTTTGGATCGTTCAGCTTACGCGAAGTTGTTATACAACTTTTATTCCGCTAACGTCGTTTCACAATGAGAAGACAAACGACTGCGCACATCGAATCCAATCATCGGCTCTGAGAAAAACGAAGACGTGGGAACGCTAGCCAATAAAAATTGTATAACAACCTCGTGTAAGCTGAACAACGGTAAGATATTTATTGATTATTTACACCGAGTTCAAGTGAAAGTCGGTTTGGTAAAACATGCATTAAAATTTTACAGTCGACAATCGTCCCACGGAATTCCACGAGCTTAGATACCGACAAACCGAGCTTTGTCCCCTACTTCCCAGAGATGACCCATCATATTTCATTTGTATGGATAGGGCACTGGGAGGCCAATAGTTGGCGATGCCGTTAAATAGCACTCGCAAGTTGGTTATTTCCTTAGTCAGTCAACTTCCCCATACTACCAGGTGCCAGCGTTTTCTGGGAGAAAACCCTCAGATACACAAAAACTGAATGCTGTCTGTGGTGAAGATTTGGGAATTCTCCGCTGGGGTTATCCCAGGACTCCAGAGAGAATCTAATGAAACAGACAGAGTTCAAGAAGTTTTATGAACAAGAGCAAATCTCTAAGCAGCATACGAATCCGGAAGTAGAAGTTTAGGATTTTGATGGATGACGGTTTGTGACCATGTAATGGATATTATCCATCGAAGGTATTCCATGAAGATATACGGCAGCCATACGAATCTCTTCCTATTCTGCATAAATTATTGATGATAAACCCGTCCCATTTATGTTATGATGTTTGTCAACAAGTGATCGTTGTCACTGGCATCGTGACGTCCTTCGAAGACGGCAGTTGTTGAACTCATCTGAACACCAGGTTCATGAAGAAGATTTATGCTTTCAGATCTCCGACATCGGCATATTCAGCTGCGGTCCATCCAGTCTGAACGACCAAATCAGTTCGGCTTGTTCTCGCGCGAATCGAGCACGGAACGCACCATCCCTCATGCATAAGTTCGAGACCTTCTGAATACTCGGCGGTTTCCACCAATGGGGATCTATTACATCAAACCTAGTTTCGACTTCTCATGAGCCACTATCAAGAATGCATACTGATTGTTGCATACGAGGTTGTGAGCATAAATCAAGATGTTTTTTTATCCAAAGTCTTTGTAGCGAATATGTGGTTATTTTGATAGCGATTTTTTCCTATCACGACGGGAGTTGTTTTCAATGAGATCTTCTTTATTCGTACCTTCCCTGTGTTGCTAATGATTCCGATATTCTTTCCATTATATAAAAAACCGTAAAAACTTCTAGGTTTAGGTATCATTAACTTGACTGTAAGCAACGTCTTACTACCATCTATCAATCTTCTCAGAAACAAATTTTCATAGTACTTTCGAAATGTTCAGAATTCGTAAGACATGTTTTCTCGTCCACTTCGTTTTTGGACGAGTTCTTTTATGAAGAAATAGATGCTTTTGTATTATAGTTGTCCTTTACATCATAATTGAAACGATGTGATTTACATGCTTTATCTGCTCTATTCTAAGCTGGGTATATTTGAATAGGAAGTCCCTTAGAAGCCAACTTTCGCAGTGATTTGATCGGACGGTTTGTTTGAAGGTTCTTCTCAGCTACACAGTGCTCTTTATAATTAACTGTGACAATGCTTGCAGGTTCTTTAATAAACGTAGGATCTGCCATCAGATTGATGTGAAATAAAGACATCTGGACTTTTTCTAATGATCACTGCTCGATTTGGATTAACATCAACAAGAACAACATATATGTGGAACTGATTCATAACAAGATCGAAATGGGCTGAACCGTATTCGGCGATACGGTCAGCACTAGGATTGACATTCACTTTATCATCCATATATGGTTCAAAGGCCTTAATAAAAGAATAGGGAATAGAAACGATGAGCAGAGCATTTCGTGCTAAGCGATCATAGTTGGACGAGTTTATAATAGTTCAGCTTTCTTTTACGGCAATCAACACAGAACGAAACACCGTAAGAGCGACATTATTTGCGTAGCTTATTGGCGCTGATGCACAGCACTCCTCTGTTCGATAGATTGCTCTTCAGCGTGCTCACATCCACATCCGACGGCAGTTTGTACGCACGATGCACCTCACGAGCGATCGAACCGTGCTCGTCCGGACGTGACTACAACGACAAATCAATACTTCATCACTCAAAACATTCAACCACACAGATAGCCACTACCAAGGTTTGAGGGCTCAGAAACTCGAAGACGTAGTATCTTGAACGAATTCAAGATTTTTTGTACTACATTATCATACAATATGGTCAGGAAGACCTCCTGTGCTTCGGAAAAGATGTTGTAAAGCAACAATTCACAGCTCTACACAACCAATACAGCGATACGATCTTGTATTAGAAAGCTGACAATCGCTGACTTCCTCCAGTAACCGACGTTGAAAGTTACCATACAAGCACCAATTGCACAGAAATAAATGAGCGTTTCTAACTATGTCATTTAAAGTGTCATAACTTGCTTTAAATAGAACTTTATTAATCAAAATGGAAATCTTTTAAATCTAAGCATTTTTGCTAACGAGAAGTTTAACCAGTTGCATAAAATTCTGGAATTCTGGAAGCGATGAATTCGTTGAAGGCATTTTTTACGTCATTGTGGTTGATGCATTTCTCGCGCAGGAAGTTGTCAAGAAGAAGTGACAGTCGGTAGGCGAGAGGTCTGCTGAATATGGTGGATGAGGCAAAGTTTCGTAGCCCAACCGTTCAATTTTTGCAGCGCTGCTTCCGCAAGGCGAGGCCGGGCGTTGTCGTGGGGAAGAAGTGGTCCTTTTCTGTTGACTAATACCAGCGGTTGTTGCGTACAGTGTCTTTCATTGATTTGCTGACAATGCTCCTCTGCCGTAATCGTTTCGCCCAGATTCAAAAAGCTGTGATGAATTGTCCCGGCTGCAACCATCAAACACTCATCATAACCTTTTTTGGTGCAATTTCGGCTTAGGGAAGTGCGGTGGAGCCTGAAACGCAATGCCACCACTGAGCTGAACGTCGCCGGTTGTCGTAGAGAATCCATTTCTCGTCACACGTCACAATTCGATCAAGAAAAGGGTCCTTTATGTTGCGCAGAATAAGAGCAGACGACACTTCAAATCAAATTTTTTTTGTTTATCGTTTGATTCGTGCGGCACCCACTTGTCGAGCTTTTTGTCTTTCCCACGCGATTCACCTGAGTGGAAATTGTTCCTGTGCTTACACCATGCCGTTCTGCAAGCTCTGGGTCAGTTGTTCGCGTCTTCAAATCTTCCACTACTGCCTTCAAGTCTTCGTCGCCAAGTTCATTGGGTTGCCCGCAGCCTTCCTTATTTTCGAGGTCGAAATCACCGGATGGGAACTTCCGGAACCATGTTCGCACTGTTGGTTCACCAACAATACCTTCACCACAAACTTCATTAATGCTTTGGGATGTTTGTGCTGCACTACGACCGAGTTTGAACTTATAAAAGAAAATTTGACGAAAGTTAGTTTTTGACCTCTAGAATTTCAAGCCTCCAAATTGGTAAAGAAGATCTAACTCCTGACAAAATATAAAGACATGATTGGAAAGGGGCATAAGATCAGTTTTTTAATGATATACAGTATTACAAGGTACAAGGAATATTTTATTGGTAAAAATTATATTAGAACAAATGTTTTAAAATGCTCATTTATCTCTGAACCACCTAGTACTTTCAAAGGGTTTCATTAATTGTTCACTCTCATTTATAATTCTTCTGGAACTCAAAGTGCTAAAGGAGTTGTCCCACCAGCAAAACTGATCTCGAATGGCGATGGTTAGTCTCTTAAACTATGCATTTATGTAAAGGTGCCCGGTAATATACACGTGATCTTTGCCTTAATTCCGGCCTTTCCACTGGCTTGACAAGACCCCCATCTTTCCGAGGTCGGCAAATTGGTAGCCACTGCAAATCATTGTGTAGGCCAGATATACAATCAATCATATCTAACGATGCTTGATGAAGACGAATGCAAAGAGCACGCCTCATGGGTTGGTAAACGCCGAAGACTTCATCAGCTTTTATGCTTCTTTTAAGCACTAAGCTACGTACGAAAGCCACTACACCAAGTGAGCTGTAGACTATTGGTAAGCAGTAGGACGACAGCAGTAATGCCGATTCCCAGTTTTATTATCAAGTGATAACTTTTCCATAAAAAAAACTTGCATAATCGTGCTTCCTTCTACATAATTCAAATAACTCTTATGTTCCTCATGTCTTCGGTACTTGGTTATTTGCGTAGCCTGTGCGAACGAGTTATGCTGGCCGAGCACATCTTCCTTTCATGCTGTTTTGTCATGACGGTCATCGACGACGTTATCTGTTTCGATCATGGTGACGTTTGCAAATATACTATTATTTGACCAGTCAGTCATTTCAAACTGCGAAAACACCCAATCGCAAGAGCCGTAAGTGCATCCGCTATTCGTCCTCGGAGACGTTTGAAACTTCATGATACAGAACACTATTATTTCTTCCCCTTAACTGTCATAAACTCTTCCCTCGTTAATATGTTGGTTTATTGATAAGCCTCCACGAAAATGTTAGAAGTTTTTGTTGCCCCCAACGTTCCACCAACGTCGTACTAGCCAGTATGATTGGAGTCAAGTGTCCACAGCAATTATTGCTGGGTCCTGGCAATCGCATCAAATTGAATTAGATGGGGTGAGCACTGTGCGAATGACCTACGGTGAAAGAATAACGGTGTATAGTTAACTTCTATTCACCCAGTAGTCGACGCGACAATGAAGAGCCACGTCGTAATAAATAGGAACTTTGAACAAGACACTCGAATAATTGTAATTTTGAAAAAGACAACAGAGCAAAGACGTTATCCTCAATAAGGACTTGTAACAACAGTGCGTGGGCTTGCCAGCAAACTAGGACTTCTTTCAATTTCTTTGGATGTGTATTCTCATGATTCTTGAAACCGAAGTGACTTTTGCCTTTTCTGAACCGCTTATTTCTGTTTCATGTTGTTTGTTCCAGCGATGTTTTATGATCCAGCGCTCTGCAGATAGTGTGTAACAATTAAAAAATGGCTGAGATGCCATTCCGCCTTTTTTAGTACCATTTGCTGGAACAAATGCTGGGCGCGGAGTTTTCGATGTCCCATATGGTCGGCAGATTCTCTGTGAGGACCGAACGTAGTCTATGCTGCCATCATTCTTTAGCGCAGTTACTCCTTCATGCGATCTTTCATATTCATGAACCGGTAAGATATGGCTATGATGTGGTTGGCCACCATAATAAAATAACCATAGATTTAGATTTTTTCACTTCGGCTTCTCCGTAATATTCTGCTTCTTGATTTTTTTTCTGATAATTCATTCACAGCGATATACTTTTCGCCACTTCGTTGACCTTGTTGTGGGAGGTAGAAGGTGGGTGGGTTCTCCCCACTGGCTACTGAGCACTGATAGAATGGTACCTAGTCTCGCTCTCAATCACTTTTTCCTAGTCGACAAATATCAAAATAAAGTACAGGTGATATTCCTGTTGGACTTCCACTTGATTCTGAAAAGGATTCGAATAAGGACCAACCAGCGAAATCCATGTCGGAAATCTACCTGTTCAACTGGTTAAACTTCATCCAATATCTCTGATATTTGCGATAGTTAAGCCTTCGTAAGGAAATTACAATGCACATCGTAACAAGCAAATGGGAAAGTCGTTACGACAACCTTTCCAGCAATCCTTGCCGGGCAGGCCAACCAAAACCAACCAAAATCCTTCCATGGTTCGAGATCTCATTTATTGAATTCATAACGCCATTTGGGTTGGGTGATATACACGTGACGACAGTTAGATTTCAGAAAGAAGAGTTTAGGGTGGTTCGTATTCACATAGGCCCTGAAATGGAGGAGGAAAATAGAGCAATATGGAACGAAAAAAATTGTATCATTCCATATGATGGGGTGAGGAGATAGACATCCTACACTTGGTGATCCGGTAATGCAGAAAAGAGGTTAAAGTATAAAGTGCTGATGTGCCTTGTATGCGCCTTTCTTCACTAAGCATTGTAGAAGCGACTGAGTGCGTACCTTGCCTTTGCAATGATTTTCGATGGCCTAATGACGTATTAATTCAGTGCTTTATGCATCCAAACAGGTCTGGTACCACTTTTCCGATTTTAAAGCGCTTGGTTAGCCTTCGGCTTGGGATCGATTCGATATCCTCATGTGCAGTGCTGGGCGCCCCTACCCAATCCACTACATTCAAGCAGGGCTGATATCCCTCGAAATCCTAACAAATTCCTGTCTCATGTGGATGTACTATGTATTGAGGAGAAGCTATGAAGGGAAGAAATGATGGATTCTACTAGTTGATGTGAACTTGAAGACATCGTTCACTACCCCACGGATGGATTACGGAATGAAACGAGACCTCTCGCAGCTGCGGTAAACACATTTTTGCGTGCGTCTCAGCTCCGTTGTAAATCCCCTGCTCGGGTATCGATCGTTATAATAACGGAAAAATACGATACCTCAGATTCAAAACTGCCTCACTGTTTTCTTTTCAACGAGCTTTATCCAAGTTTTCTTTGGAACTCTGTTAAATAAATAGAAATATATAAATAACCTCATGTCTGCAATGGATCAACAATTCCTGCCCACATACTTTCACTTCGATTTCTTTCGGAGTGAAAAACTGAGCGTCCAGCCCGACCTCAAACTTTTCGTTGGTGTTGACAACCTAGAAGCACTGAGTAATGGAAGTAAGTGAGGCACTCGATAAGATCCATTGGTATGGAGATGAACAAATGCATCGAGAAATAGGAAAAGAGGTCACCGAATGTTTTCAAATAAATGGCTGCTTTCAAGGGATTGTTAATGTTCACCCACCTTAACGACACCTTCGTTACTTTGAAGTGGCCAATCCCAGAGCTTTGCCTCGTGGGTTACCTCAATAGTAGACATGCTGAAAGATCGAAGCAGCAGGTTAGTGTCAGTTGAAGATAAGATGACACCACGACTAGCCACACTACCGATGGGAGCGAAACAAGAATAAAAAGAGAGGGTAAGTGAGGTTACTAATGAAACACGTTCGAAGAGAGATTTGGGCTTAAGATAACGGAACAGACGATATTAACCGGTGTACGGCGGCAACCGCTGTTTCTTCTGCTCTATCAGATCAGAGAGGACAGTGGTGTGTGTAAAAGCCAGCCGGCCAGCCAGCACGACGCATCTGTTTTAATGTGTCCTAAGGTGTAAATAATAACAGCACCTGGTTTCAGCTGCCTCACAACATTAGTCAGAACTTCTATCATTGGCAAATCAATCACTTCGAAGGAACATCAATGAGGTTCGACATGATAGCTAAGGCGTGGACCTACCAATATGATGTGATGAGAAAGCACATTTCCTTATGGCTCAGTTCGTTTCACTCCACACGATTAATGGGGAGAACTGTAGTCGAAATCCTGCTTCTTTTGCAGAAAATTGCTACACTCAAATGATCGTCATGTTGCATGGAGAGACTTTACTTTCTCAATCCATCGAACGTTCATTCATTCCTTATTTCTTGCCTTTTTCCGTTTATGATCGAAACTCCATGAAAAGGCCAATGTCAAGCCCAATGAAAAATGTCCGAAATATTGGATTTGTACGGTGTCTTGACCACGAGGAAGGATTCCAGAGAAACAAGCAGGCTACGATTTTAAGTCTGCGTTGAAAATTTGTTGAACCAATTCGAAATCCGTAGGCAGACTAGTAATAACCAATTTTCTAAACAAGGACAGATTTACTGTGGATGATTGAAAGCTCTCAAGAAAGGAGACATTTAAAAAAAGGAGTAGGAAAGGCATGAACGATAAGAGAGGAACGAACAATCGATCGACATGACCATAACGAATTCTCTATACTTAGCGTGAGATGAAGTACGGGCGAAAGTGTTTGGCATCGAAAGTTGAAGAGGGATGTGTCTGCTTCTTGCTAGAGCCAAGACTGTAAAAACAAAGCTGAGAGGGGTGTGAGCAAACAGCAGGCTGACGGAAAGCCACGGAGGCGGATAGCATGCGGAAATAAATAGGCAAACCTCGTTCTTATATCACGAGAGAAAACGACTAGTAAGAAAAATTGGTTCGAATATATAGCGCGGATTCTGGCATGTCCTACTTTCAATCATTTTACCTGGACCGATACAAGTAGACGTCATTGGACACGACTGCAATTTCAATCCGGAGCAGGGAGACCAAACGCATAGACGTCTTCGTCATTCGACGACCATTCTTCCTCGGTTCCTCCACGACAACATGTGATGAGCCGAATCCCAGTGTATTATTTGTAGACCAAAAATGTAAAGCATTGCTTCATTTATATATTCATCTAATTTTGTTATATTCTGCACCTTTTCACCTATACAACATCAGTCTTCATTCATATCAACGTCATATAATCGTTAGATCGCGTACAACGTGATATCGGATCTCAACGCGGAATCCGTTATTTCCTATTCTGTAATAGTTCGAATCTCGTGTAGTTTACTGCTCAAGGTTCTGCTATTCACATCTTTGTGTTTCTAAACTTTAAAAGCAAATGGAAAGATGAAAGACGCCCTATTTTTTCTATTCTTGTAAGACTACCAAGCAAAAAATGGTGACGATCGAGCGGAGATTAAAGCGGAAGAGTCAGTCTTTTCATCTCCTCGGATAAACCACAGCTAGTACAGTATTAAGTAGCTTAAGTCATCCAGAACAACTGTCATTTTGTCATTTTATGTATTCCATCGCAAATTCTAAAGGATCAACGGCGATAATAGATTTTCAGGGTACTACAGTGTTCCACTCGACAATTGTTTTGGCATGGGAGTCTCTTGATTCGTTTGAGCTAACAGGTGAAGTGAATGGCTTTTCTTCACACGACTGATGCTCGGCCTGAGGTAACTTGTCTTTCAACGCAAGAATTTTGGACATATTTAAACACACAATCGACTGCATCAATGAAACGAAAATATTAAAATTTGCAGATATTTCCTAGCAATAGACAGATTTTCCTGTTCTGCTATGACGAAATTCTGATTTTCTGAAGATCATAAGACGTATCACTTTCTCTTTTTTTCCATCCAGGCTTCTGTCCACGAGGTGCAAAGTAGCTGAAAGAGCAGCATCTCGTCAGAACGTCAAGTTTCTCCAGATGTGTCGTTAATCTTTATGGCTTCCATACTTGCATCAAATTCGTTGAAGATTGAACTTTAAAATGAAAATGGTGCCTTGAAAAAACGTTCTTCGAGCAATAAGGCAGACTCTTCTATAAAGCTGTGAAGCCCTCAACTCTTCGAATCTTCCAAACTACCGGGAAATTAGAAGGTAAAAGATAAAGTGTCTGCCGTCGATCAATCGCTGAAAGATGTCGCATGCATTCGACCTCACCAATCATCGTAAAACTGGTTGAATATATGTCTCTCTTGTACACTGACAGGGAGGTACCAGGTCTTACATATGTATTAGTTCAGTACTGCTATCCTTCCAAGATAAGTTTGGTACCATTCTGACGGCCCGAGAGTCAAACTAACGATCATATGTGTGCTGCGGAGCACTTCTAACCTCCTCACTATGCGAGCCCCTATAATGATAGACGATTATTAGACAGTTAGTGTTGACGCCGGAGCGTTAAAGCACAATGTTAATAGTTATATCATCGAGCTGCACCAATACCATATTCTTGCAGGCATTCTTCCAAGAAGAACACAGAATAGAACAAATTTTCGTTTAAAGAAGATGACGACATCTGTACAAAAAGACGTTACTTACTCCGTCATGTGTTTGAAAGGAGGTTATGATCGATGTATATTTGTATGAATCCTGAACTACTCAACCACCCAGGATCAAGGTCACTCGGTTTCCCTAGAAAACAAATGTTGAACGAAAAAACAGAAAAACTACTGCCTTCGCGACTTTCTAGCGAATAATGGAGACTGCTCCCAAGGGCTTACCGCCTTGTCGTGGCTGGGTGGTGCTCCTGGGTGTCGGACTTCGAGATGTACAGCGAGGGATTCACCCCTGGCAGGGTCTCCCAAGCTGAGAAGGAGCCCGGCGTTTGCATCAGGAAACCTAGCTAAAAGTAAACCAATACCAGGATCCACCACCGTCATGGTATCAAAGTCCCATGGTGGTAAATCTCCCTCTGATCCACAAGGGCTGCAACTGCACGTGGTGATGAAGACCTGGAGCAGACTTTAGCCAGGCTGACCTCGGGACTCCAGGGAACCATAGTGGCTTAACCAGCAAATCTCTGAAAAATGGAGATCATGCTGGGACTCGCACAACCAGCGAAGACGGGCCATTCAACTATTAAGCATCAAGTAATGGGAGACTAAACTAATCTGTAGTGCATGCCATTTTCTAGAAGAGGAACACTAGCGCAATAAATTTCTAATCATAGTGCTAGTGATCCCGTTTGACTGTAAGCGACGGCTGTACCCACGGTGGCCCTGGTTCGACCCCATTCCAGGCTTAGCAAGCTCTGGTACGGCCGCGGTTAGGAAATTGGACACACTTATCTGGGACATGTTGAGAATCTCCAATCCACGCCGGGACACCTCTCACCAAGCCTATCTCAGAATTCCATAAAGAATCGACTCGACCGGCATTCAACGACATTCGTTACAGATACGAAAAAAATTTTTTTTGCAGCAGCCGAAGCCACAGGCAAAAATGCTCGACGACTACTGGTGCGGATGGTGGATGAAAGGAAACGAATAAACGCAGGAATTATTGAGATTTGTACGGTGTGGTATACGTGATGTGAGATCATGTAACAATAGAATGAAAAATTCCAATATGATAGCGTGTGTAGCGCAGTGGTAACAAATTTGGATGGAAGGATAATAGTACGTTCTTCATGAAAGAGTAGGTCCTCGCAAGCCATGTTATAGGAAATATACATTTAGCCACCTCTACGATGATCAGTGGAGTCGAATGCATGGCACGTTCCTAAGGGATCGATCAACACCAAACGCTTTACCCTTCGTGCTTTATTGAAAGACCACGTATTTCTATGTCTGAGAAACATTCGCTCATTTATGGGACGTCGCTTCTAATAGTTGTTCTTTAACGAAACGATTTTTTGCTAGTGTATGCGTGAAATCTGCGACGTCAAAGGGAAATAGGTCTGTAAAAAAAATCATAGTTCAAATTTAGGTAGCTTTGTTATGAGTTTTCTTCATGAATAATTCCTACCTACATGATTAAGCTTTTTGTGCCAACATAACAGGCTGAAAAGCATTTCTTCGTCTTCTTTCCTTACCTTACAGTCGTCATCATCACTATCGCATGTCGATTCGAGAGGGGTTGTAATACATTCTTCCTATTGACCTACTAGAAGCTGGTCGAACGTGGTCTTCTTAGAATCTCGTAATGGTCGTCCGCAGAGACTTTCGTCACAGGGAAGGGATTTTTCGGATCGATTGGGATTTTTATGCACTACAACTCCGATTTTTCATAATGAGAGCGGTAATCTCGTGGTAACAGATTTGACGCTGTCAAACATTTTCTAGTTATTATGAGAAGACTGTTCCTCCATAGACCGTTTTCCATGTAGAATAGATAACTTTTAGCTGTGAAATGAGAACAACAGTGTTCCTGAAATCTGTCCACTGAAACTTATCGAGCTATAATTGACTTCAGCTCATCATCGCCGATCTCTTCAAATTCTATAAACTTGTGCGAAAATTAACAGAGTGTCATCTTGTGTACCAGAAACAGTCAGTAGTCTCCGTCCCTTCAGATGCAGGAAACACATCACACTTCGCGGATAAGGTTCTTTCTTCTTTTGATTGTTTTTAAACAGAAAGTAAACATTGATGGTTCTTTGTACTTTGATGTAGGAGCTGGTCGTATTCACATGCTCTTGGATGTGATCTTTAGATGATTTTTCGGGCTGCATTAAAGAATGGTTCCTTGGAACCGATCCAGACTCATGTATCCTGTACTTCCAATTACTTCATTACTTCATTACTTCTTTGTATAGGTTAAAAACTGCATATGCAGAGCCATAACCGGGCAACTAATATGTGTGAACGTCGTGATTATCTGTGTACTTAAGGTAGAAGCTCATTCTGTGCAACAAAGGCTGTCAAGTTCTGTAAGCATTTAACATGTCAGCTGCCTAAGACAGACAACCTAACCCATCCAACATCCTTCATGTAAGAAGATCAGTTAGGAGCTTCTGCTCAAGATACCGAGGTTTAAACTCAGAAAACACATCTTCCTTTCCCGAAAGGAATAACTTTTTCCGTCGAGGAGATATATTTCCGGAGCACTTTATAGTTAGACGTAGTCACCTGGAGACAAACATCCGAAAAAACTGGTTAACTATCGGTTTTTTAAAATAATAGAGTTAACATCACTATGACATTTACGACCCCACTAAACCCCTAACAAAATTGAAGGGATATCCATACATTATATCACCAATCATTCATTTATCATGCGATTCAATTGGGAACGCTCCAGCCCGACTATCTCAAGACTCCAGGGAGAATTGCTCGACCAGTATTCTACGACATTGAAGATGAAGTGAAAATCCTCAAGCAGCAACTCAAGAAGACCTTCGTGGACGATGGATGCGAGGAAACGGATTGAATGTGAGAAGTCATGGGATCCGCAGAGTAGACGTGAAAACGGGTCATATAAAATGAAAAAAAATACCACCATTGCTGCTCTGCCGCTATCACCTATTTTTTATCACAAAAGACATTTTGAACTTGAAAGAAAAGTATTTCGAAAGAAAATCTGGTATAAAGCAAAAGCTGATATATCGACGAAATAAAAGGATAAAAGGATAAAGCTCTAGGCGTTGATCAATCCTTGAGGGATGCGCCATGCATTCGACTTCATTAGGTATCGATGGAGGTGATTGAACGCATAGCTGGCCTTTACAATAACTCGCGGTGGCCTACCGATGTATCGAGCCAATGCTGCTATCCTCCCAGACAAATCTAGTAGCAATTTGCTGGACCCCGGAGGGATGGAAGGCTTGGCGAGCCATGTGCGCGGGGATCAACTCCACGTGTGTGTCACAAAGGCGCCTCCAACCACTGCGCCACACGCGCTCTCTTAACATTGACGAAATACGATACAAAATATTGACTGATCGAACATTTAAACACGAAATAGCGGTGGTCTCTCAGACAAATCGAATTCCGTAAATGTCGTCTTCTGCAACCCTCGACGGCTGTTCTTGAGGTTGAACTGTACACGGAATTCATCTCCCAACACGGTTTCCTAATGCGAGTAGTGCGACAGTTCTACCTATAAGCCGAGCTAAGGCAAACCGCTGCCCGAAACAGATGAAGACGCGAGACTTGTTAGAGACCACACCGAACTACGTTTCAAGCAATTCCAAGCCATCTGATTACTTATTGACCGAACCAACGTGCATCATACAAATTGCATGAGAAACATACCCATTCATGTATATACATAATTAGACCATTAGATGTACAAGTCGATGCTTATATTCTGGACAAAATGAAGTAGAAGCCAATTTTCGAAGGAGAGATCTTTTCAGCGTTCATGCCCTTAATAATACCCAAGAATCGTGGCTTCTAACCGATTAAAGTGTCCAAATAAGGCAGGCTCAAAGAGAGTTTGGTCTATGCGTACCAACTACCGATTCTTTGGAAGTTGTGAATCTCACCGTTAAAGCATACATACGAGCGAAATTTTAATGAACAATTCCACTCAAGAAATGGTCTCCTTCGTGAATAGTCGGATCGATATCCCCTAAATGGAAGAAAATCCTGAGGAGGTTAGCTGAACTGTCCAGGTGGTCGGAACGCTTCCGATCTTTATAAATCCAACACCTTCATCACTGTAACGGTGTTTCTTCAAACCGACAAGGAATTTCGATTTATGCGTACCTCAGTAACGGTGCGATTTTCATGATGTAAAGAGCTTTCTTCCCATACCGCTTCTCTTCGAAGGACAGGTTAACGAACGAAGATGCAGTGAAACCTGTCGCCTATGGAAATTTGTGTAATATATGAAAAGTCAAACAAACAGTTATATAAACAGCATGGTGTGCTGAACATTGAACAGATCATAACCTGGTAGTTCGCTTAAACAGAATTCCTAGTCTTTAGGAGTTTTAAAATCTCTGAAATTTTATTACCCACTTTTAATCTGAACGTAAAGACAGAACGAAAGGAGATATAACCAGCAATGAACTTACCTCGGAGATTTATTACTCATATAGAGATAAAATCTTTTAATTAAAAAAAAATTAACACCACATAGATTCACAACTCCGCCGGTTCGTTAAGAACAAATAAATAAACAGATAAATAAATAGACAAATAAGAAAACAGAAAAAGAAAAAGATGGGTGTCCAACTGCTTGTCTTTAGATAAAAATTAGGTACCAGAGCAAAATACAACCAAACAAAACAAATGAAAAACAGAGGAATGAGAGTGGCAGCTGTGCAAATAGAAGACATGCAACACGTGCTCGACCCTCTACAGTTCCTCTTTCCCTTGGAATGACACCACAGCTTTCTGTCTCAAGAAACTCGTAATAGCTTCTTTAGTACGAGCTGCTTCGTATTTGATCGGTGTCAACTGCAATATCCTAAATTGCTGGTTCAAACAGAAACAAAAAAAAATACTCTCACCTTGCTTCCGCTAGGAACGAAATAGATAGTTGGGAAACCTTCCACTTTATAGGCGGCCGGCACATCATTAGCTGTTGCATCGAACTTCGCAAAAATGAGATTAGGTTGTGTCTTCTTAAACTGTTCCGCCATTTGTACAAACGTCGGTTCGAACGACTGTAACGAATATAAACAGGGTTCAGCAGTATGAACACTAACTTTTCAACTTGTGAGAAAAATTCCGCACATATCCGACGTCAATGCTTTTCTCCTCTACAAAGTATTACACCTGTGCTGTAATTTCACACCAAGCCGGTTTTCAGTACGAAAGTAAGAAACTTGAAACAGACACTACTGGTTAAAGGAAAATCAGCAAACCTTGCAATGACCACACCATGGAGCATAGAAGAGGATAAACACATCTTTACTTTCGTCGTTGACAATCTAAACAATGTTACTATAACAAACAGCTCTTTGAAAACTATAAAAACGACTACGATATACACCTTTTCGAAGTTCAATGCAACCAACGTACGCACAGGACCTTTATCATCACGCGGCAATGCAGACGATTTCATGAATGGCTTAGCCTTACCTGAAGAAACCACAAACTTTAGCAGAAAATGTCAGGAAACGGGTTAAATCCCAGAGGCAAGAACTAACCACTGCTGATCTTTTTCATGAATCCCTCCAGATTCTCATCCAGACTCCCATCAAACTCATCGGGATCCATTGGATATTTCTTGCCATCATACCCAAACACGATAACGTTGTGCTCGAGGCCGGAGTCACCTTAGATGGACTTATATTTTCTTCGTTGTCATCCAAAGAAAAAAGTAATTATAAGCGGCAGTACTGAACTACAAAATTTGTCAGAAATACAAAAATAAAATTTGACGAAGGAAAGTTATTACCTAACCCAGCGTTCTCTAACTCGTCAGAAAACTCTTCCTCATCAGAAACGGCGAAATGATACTTGTCCTTTTGATACTTAAACCAAAACAATGAAACAATACAGGGAAATTGGCCAAAACAGTACTAAAACAGTTCCAAAAACAACTCTCATCTCTCTGCCGACGAAATGTAGTCATATAAATTAGAGATAAAGTTTGAAAATATTAAAATATTAGGTTGTTCAAAAATAAATAGGTGTTTTAAAACTTTAGCTTTAATGTAATTTCTACCAATAAAATATTCCTTGTACCTTGCAATACTGTACATCATTAGAAAGCTGATCTTATACCCCTTTCCAATCATGTCTTTATATTTTGTCAAGAGTTAGATCTTTTTTACCAAATTGGGGCCTTGAAATTCTATAGGTCAAAAACTAACTTTCGTCAAATTTTCTTTTATGAGTTCAAACTCGGTCGTAGTGCAGCACAGACGGCCCAAACAATAATGAAGTTTGTGGTGAAGGTAGTGTTGGTGAACCAACAGTGCGAACATGGTTCCGGAAGTTCCCATCCGGTGATTTCGACCTCGAAGATAAGGAAGACCACGGACGTCCCAATAAACTTTTCGGCGATTTCGGCGACGAACTGAAGGCGCTAGTGGAAGAAAATACGCGAACAAGTGTTCGAGAACATGCAGAACAGCATGGCGTAGGCACAGGAAGAATTTAGACCCACTTGAATCGCATAGGAAAGGCAAAAAAACTCGACTAGTGGGTGCCGTAAGAATTGAACGATAATCAAAAAAGTCGTTGAAGTGTCGTCTGCTCTTATTCTGCGCAACATAGAGGACCCTTTTCTTGATTGAATTGTGACGTGTGACGAGAAATGGATTCTGTAAGACAACTGGTGACGTTCAGCTCAGTGGTGGCATTGCGTTTCAGGCTCCACCGCACTTCCCAAAGCCGAAATTGCACCAAAAAGGTTATGGTGACTATCTGGTGGCCTGCAGCCGCGATGATTCATCACAGCCTATTGAATCTGGGCAAAACGATTACGGCAAAATATTGCCAACAATTTGACGAAATGCATGGTAAACTCCAACAACAACGACCGGGTCAACAGAGAAAGACCAATCCTTCTCCACCACAACGCCCGACCTCACGTTGCGGAACCAGTGCTGCAGAAGTTGAACGAGTTGGGCTATGGGCTACAAAACCTTGTCTCATCCACCATATTCATCGAACCTCTCTCGATTACCACTTCCTCAAGCACCTTGACAACTTCCAGCGCGAGAGATGCTTCACCAATCACGATTACGCAAAAATGCCTTCAACGACTTCATCGCTTCCAGAACTCCAGAATTTTATGCAACTGGAATAAACAAACTTGCCTCTCGTCGGTGAAAATGTGTAGATTCAAGCGTTTTTTATTTTTGTTTAATAAATTCCTGTTTGGAGCTAGTTATCAAATTTTAAATAATGGAGTTAAAAACGCCCATTTATTCTGAGCAACCTAATAATAGAAAAAGCCGACCTTCTGAGCGACTGCCAGCACTTTCTGACGCCAAAATTCACTCCCTTCCCTATATTGCAACGAGAAGTCCGCATTATAATAAACAACGACCAAAGGGAGTTTGTGGTATCGAAAGGCGGCGTTCTTCTGGAATATTCTAGTCATGTTTTGAATTAGAGGCACTGGTGACAAGTGGTACACAGTGCTATAACTGCCTTAGTTCTTTTTCCGACAAGAGAAGTACAGTGATCACGGAAGAATGCAACCAGTTCCTCTGAAGTCGCACTTGGCTGAAATTTGAATGATAATTCCCTTATGCGAATTTAGTTATAAATGTAGATGAAGTACCATCAAACTTTACTATTTTGTAAAGTGCAGCCGGACGGAGAACAACATCATAGGTAAAACGCACCTTATTAAATGACCTGGTTTTAGGCTCGAATTTACTGTGAAAAATACTTGGGTAGAAAATGATGATATCATTGGGTTTAGCACCAAACTTCTTTAACGTGTTCGAATCATCGGTATAACCTATCGATTTGAACTCCTAAATTATTCTGGTAAGATCTTCCAAAAAGATTCCACATTAGGGCATGTAATACCTCTCGCAACATCTCTGCCGCATCTGAATAGACCTCTAAAGAGGTCGAATCAGTGGTGAAGAAGCCAATAATGGTAACGTCATCCTTCTCCATAAACCTACAATGGAAATTAATACATTCACTGATATGATTATAGAAACCTTAACCACCAACAGCACAAGCCGCCCACTCTGTTCGTTTTATAACAATTCAGCTCAGTATACGCCAGTTAGACAGGGATACACGTGGAGTTCTTCGTCGATAAATACTATTATTCAGGTAGAGCTAGATGGGAGGCTAATCTGACTTGAAAGACAACTATTATTATGCACTACAAATTAACAACCGCAGAGCCGCATATTTTTGGTTTCGGAATGCAGAATATGACGAAATCTACGTTCAACGCAATGTTTACTCGTCATTCTTCCATGATAAAATCTCCCCGTAACATGCATACAATGGAGTGTGTAGCGCAGTGGTTGGGGGAGCCTTGCAATGGACATGGGATCAATCTCCGTGCACCAGACCCACCAAACCTTCCATCTCTCCAGGATGGGCAAATTGGTACCCGACTTGTTTGGGAGGGTAGCAGCACTGGCTCGATACATCGGTAGACAACCGCGAGCTATTGTAAAGGCCAGATATGCATTCAATCGTCTCCAAGCGATGCTTAGTGAAGTCGAATACAAGGAGCATACCTGAGGAATTAATCAACGCCGGTACTTTATCCTTTACCCTTTATCCTTTAGCTTAGACATCTGCCTCATTCCCGCTGTCATCAAGTACGGCGCAACATACCACAAAACTAGGGCACAAAAAGTATTTCTTCCACATGAAAAAAAAAGGCCAAAACGTGAACGTTCGACAAGGTGTTAATCTCAAACTAGTCTGTAGTAAATCCGAACATCAGGACGAGAAAACACTCCCTACGTCTACCTCTCTATTGATCCAACATTCGAAAGCTTCTTCGCAGCTGGCTTAGATTGATCGATCATGTAATTAACGATTCCTTGTGCATCACGAGGTCCATTGTAATCGAATCTAGAAAGAAAAAAACATAACAGCACTAGAATTTAAAAAAAAGCAAAAGAATAGAAAACAATGTCAACCAACGAGTCAACCATTCACATGCTCACATCTCAAGAGAGAAATTACTGAAATGCCGAAAGAGAATCATATTTTATGATTTGTGAAGACTAATACACAGTAGAGATATTTTCCTTCATGACAAATAGCCATATAGTATTTCGAAAGTTATTAACCATATTTCTCTCAACGGTTTACCGCCTCATCGTGGCTGGGTGGCGTTCCTGGGTGTCGGACTGCGACGTACAGCGGTGGGATTCATACCCTGGCAGGGTCTCCCATGCTGAGGAGTCCGGCGTTTCCATCAAGAAGCCTAGCTAAGGGTTAACCAATACTAGGATCCATCACCGTTCTGGTATCAAACTACTCGCATGGTGGAAAATCTCTTTCTGATCCACAAGGGCGGAAACCACCTGTGGTGGTGACAACCTGGAGCAGACTTTGGCCAGGTTGACCTCGGGACGAGATGGAACCACAATGGGTAAATCAGCAAAACTCCGAAAAATGGAGATTATGCTAGAGCCCGCACAACCAGTGAGGACGAGCCGTCCAAGTATCCAGGTAAGTATTAACCATATTTGATACGATAATGTCTCAGATCAACATTTAAACCTAATCTTGGTAAGAACTTAGAATGCCATCAGACAAGTATGACTTCATAACCGAAATCTGACAATTCAAATTTAAGTTAGAGGCTACAATCGCCACAACAGTTCACTAATGGAGGGCGAGATGAAGCATTGAATAGTGTTCACAAGATGATGTTACTGGTTCGAAGTTCACTAGTGTGATAACTGCTTGAATTTTCCAAGACAAACAGAGCTGCCCATCTTCCCCTTATCGTGTCATAGCCCGAGGAGCTCAACACGAGTCCAAAAGAAGCGCTCATGATCGTGCTGCTCACTGCGGCTGACCACATCAAGTGAATCCGTTGTTCACGATGTCCTTTGCCAATTAGGGACAATTTTGCAATGTGTATTGATAGCTTCTCAACAGTTCTTCTACTGCTTTAAAATCAAGGTTTGTGCCATAGTAGGTTAGCAGCACTATGGCAGAGGAACAAACAATTAAAACTACTCGAACTAAAAAGGAAGGAAAACCTTAAAACGAAATAGGTCGCAGAACGATTCCTTTACACACTTACTAAGGTGTGCTACTTTACTAGACCGATGCAAAAATAAAGACGAATTTTGAATGAATGAAATTTAAGTGTTTAATTCATGTTCTACTGAGTAGTGCTAAAACTGCAGTGGTTTGAGATATGGTGAAATACACGCATGATCTCGTTGGACTCTGCAACTACTCAACCTAGCTTTCCATTCTTTCAGGTACCTCGATTTATCTGGGATAAGCTCCTTCTGATCCAAGGAGTCCGGCAAATATTTGTGCTTAAGATCTGGGAACACTCTACAGAGCTATCTCAATATTCCACAAAGGGTTAATTCGATCAGCACTCAAAGATTTCTATTAGGAAAATAAATGAAGAGCTAGGATTGACAGAATACGCAAAGATGGTTCGTAAAAGGGAACTGCATAACTACCTAACGCTTATACTCTCTTCGTAAAATAGCTCAAAGCCTACTTCTTGCTCAACTATTTTTCATGATACACTTTCTCGATACTAACTTTACAACCATTCTAGACCTGTTGAGATATTAAGGCAAGGAAATCACATCATTTTTCTTCATGAGCTGAAAGTAATATACACTGTGAATGAAGTACGGCGTAGTACAACATTTCCAAGCGCAGTGCACAGATGATTCGAAAAGTTTCGTACTGTCAGTTTTGGTAGCTAGGAATGTCTTAGGCGTCCATCAGCAGTTGAGGACCATCATTGGGAGGTGACAATCAAAGCGAACCCCTTAAAACTGCTTGAAAGATTGAAAGAAAAAACACTACGTCAAGTGTTTAGCAAGCCATTGCCATTGGAAAGACACTGAAAAGGTGAAGAATCTCAACAAATGGGTGCCAGATGAATTGAATTAGGCGTCTAAACACTTCTCAAACCCAAATAAATTACGACGGACTGTTTGGTAACAAGTTTCTGAATTTTGGTAAAACGTCCACAGCATGGAAATAACAAGACGAAATGCATCAAACATTGTGGTGTGTGCATTCAAAATTAATTAACAGGAAAAATGCAGTCTTTTTGGACAATGACGCTCAAAAACGCTATAACTACACTTGTGTAGCGCAGAGGTCTGAGGCGTCCTGCAGTACAGATGGGAACGATCCTTGCGCCCAAGACCCACCAAACCTTTCATCCCTCCGGAATACGCAAGCTGGCATCAGACTTCTCTGCGAGGACAGCAGCACTGATTCGGTACAACGGCAGACCACCGGGAGTCACACTGTAAAGGCCAGATATGCATTCAATCACCTCAAACGATGCTTATTGAAGTTGAATGCATGGCGTATCCCTCAGGGATTGATCAACGCCGAGAGCATTATCCTTTTCAATTAATCCTGTGAAAGATAAACGAATAGTGCTAAAATGTTCAATCATCGTGTTTCTATTCAAGACGCGTAAACGCAAACTCATGTAAGTACCGAACAGTACCGAACAATGTATAGAGCACGAACAGCTTCGGCATTACCATCTAACTAAGAAGAATGACAGCAGTAATTCATAGTGGAAGAAAAACGTTGAAACAACAGGCTCCTGAATATGCACGCCAACTGCACTATCAGACCAGCAGTTATAAAAAATTCATGTATTCATTTACTTCAGAGACAAACACTGATGTAAACATTCTTGAACAATCAAATACGCTCATTGCCGATATGTGCTGCTCAGACCAATCCCGTTGATGGGTGATTGGTGATAGCGCCTATAGGTCAATAACATGGCTGAGAGACAGGCGAAACGAAAGACTCGCGTGGTTTAGTGGTGAACGCGTTAGCTCCCGGAAAGGGTAATAGCGTGTTCGGTCCCCACTGCAGACACCAGAAGTCCGGTGTTTCGCGAATATCTCAGCAACATTATGGTTATATGTCACATGTTATATGCCCTCTGTCATTAAAAATTATTAGGCAGTAAATAAAAATTTGTGACGTCGATAGCAGTATTCAACAACAAACTATACAAGGGTCCAGAGAAAGACGCGTGTGCACTGCTTCTTTGAAAGTAACTGAATAACTTGGCCTATACAACAAAGGCTGAAAATGATGTTGTCGCGATTTATTATGACTTTAATAAGTGAGGAAGTATGAGATTTGTCGGTGGCAGGAAAACTTGTGAAATCACGATATAATAGGGTAAATAACCTATGAATTTGTTGTTATCATCACAGTGACGACACGGCTTTCTATTTTCAGAATAAAAATGTCAACAGAAAACAAACCATACCTTCTTCCATGACGCATAATCATCAGTGTAGGAAACCCTTGCACGCCATACTTTGCTGCCAATTTTTCTTCAACAGTGGCATCTATCTTCGCCAATTTAATAGTGGTACCCTGAGCCTAAACGAGCGCAATAACTCTGACAAGCTTAAGAACATCATTAACTGTCCCATTGATAACTGAAACAAAAGTCGAACTTTAAACAAAATGCTTCTTGTAAACGATATGGATACAGCGTGAAAGAAAATACTTAAAAGTTCCACTTATTCATATAACATTTCCTCCAAACGATTCACCGTCTCATCGTGGCTGAGAAGTATCCTTGGGTATCGGGCTGCGATGTACAGCGGGGGATTCGTTATCCGAGCACGGCCTCCCAAGCTGAGGAGTCTCGCGTTTCCATCAGGAAACATGACATTCGCAACGATGGTTCATAAAACTTTGCAGAGGAAACAATATACACAGATATCACTTGCCTTAAGATATTTAGCAGCCTTCTCATATTCCGGGGCCAATTTTTTGCAGTGACCGCACCTAAAATCAGACAACACATCTACACAATTTAGATAGAAATACACTTTTTTCAAGTGAAGCGAAATCGTTCTCATACCAAGGAGCATAAAACTCGATGAGAGACAGAGCTTCGTTGTTGATGAACTCGTCGAAATTCTCAGAAGTGAGCGTCATAACCTCATCTGGTTTCGGTTTGTAGTTAGGATCCGTATGCGAAAGAACCCAGTCCACAATTTCTTGAAAAAAAACCCAGAATGCAAAAAATAGCTGAGTTTTAGCATGTTTCACATTGAAAAGCCTCTTAAACCACAGCGAGTGAAATATCTTCCAAGCAAACTTAGTAAAAATACTAATCGTTTACACTCACCATCAATATCTCGACCACCGTTATAATCCTCCGGTCCCTCACCGTCCTGCCAAAACCTCAGCGTTGGATAACCTTGGATGTCGTAACGTTTTGCCAGTGCTTTCTCGACGGTTGCATCGATCTTCACCAGTGGAACGGAAATCAATGTCGCTGCTTTGTTGTAAGTGGGAGCGAAATTCTTGCAATGGACGCACCTAAGAAACAATAGTGGAGTGGTGCCATTCACCCAGTACACCAGTACAATGCACACCTACCCACTTTTGCAATTTCCCAGGGAATCATTGCCCACCCGGAAGTGAGAAAGGGTTCGATAAAACTTTGCTTTATACTCTTCTACGCGTCAGACATGAGTAACACAGTTAATCTACATTTACAAAGATGGAAATTGTTTTCAGTTTTCTACACAGCTGGTCAAAAGTTAGTAGAAACAATGACAGTGTACGTCGCTCTTTATCGGTATTAGAACTGGGCTATGCTGAGTAGAAATGATGCCACCGAAAATTATTTGAGTAACTCTTGTATCAGTCGCCAGAGATAGCAATGCACCGTTCTTTTTAAAACAACGCATATTTCACATTGATCCATAATATAGTACCATTACTCCTGACAAAAGAAAAACACAAAAAAGGATAAAGCCCTCGGCGTTGACCAATCCCTAAGGGATGCGCCATGCATTCGACTTCATTAAGTACCGTTGGAGGTGATTGAAGGTATATCTGGTTACAATGACGCACGGTGGCTTAGAGATGTATCGAGCCAGTGCTGCTATCCTTCCAGACAAGTCAGGAAACAATTTGCCGAGCCCAAAAGGATGGACAGCTTGGTGGGCTTGGGGCGAGGGGTTCGGTCCCATATGTACCGCAGAGCTCCGACCACAGCGGCACACGCACCTTGGCAAAAACATAAAGCCTACTAAATGCTAATGTGGGGGGAACTGCAATTCCTTTTGAAATCATCTATCGAGCGCATCTCCTCGAGAGTTCATCGTATCGTTCCATCGTACGTAGTTCAAAACTAGTTTATCTTAACTGGCTGTTTTTAAAAAAAAACCCGTGATAATGTTGCTCTTCAGGATCTCACGAATTTCTTAGTTACCCTTCTTTAAAGGCTGACATAGCGCAGGAAATTCGTTGTACTTTTCGAGCATTGCATGAGAAGTATCCGAAAATGATACCCAAGCTCCAAGGAAATGATGGCAGTCAAGTCTCCAACATTGTAAAGAACTTTAAGCTAGCTCAGTCAAGCGTCTAACTATCCAAGAAACACTTGTCGATCACTGAAATTATACCGACTGTGAAGGTATTACAAGTTGAAAAAAGCAGCAAATGGCAGTACCTACGCTTGCACAGACTATATTTCGTTGCTGATAGAAAATATGTTAGCACATTAGATTTGTACCACTGCGAAAACGAGTGTCTAAATAAAAAAATATGACTCGTTTGAAATGTAACAATCTCTGTAGTGAGGAATTTTAACAAAACTGTATAACTGAAGGGTACGTATGGCGCAGTGGTCAGAGGCGTACATATGGATCAATTCCCGCGCCCCAGGTTCATCAAGTCTTCCATCGTTCCAGAATCGGCAAATTGCTATCGGACTTGTCTGGGAGGATACCAACACTGGCTCGATACATCGGCAGGCCAGCGCGAGTCATTGTGAATGCCAGATATGCATTCAAACACCTCCAATCGATCATGGCGCATCCCTCTGGGACTGGTCAGCGCTGAGAACTTTTTTTCAATGTAATTGAAGTAACGTCACCAGTGCTCTCGTTAAGCAAAGCGAAGATACTAAGAAACATAATCAAATTATCTAAAATTGGTTATGATGGTAAGGTCGTATGGAGGCAATATTTCTAATTCCATTATAGCAATGGTAGTGTCAGCACCCACAGCTACTCCTCACGATCTCAAGAAATTGAAACAAATGGAGGTAAAACCGCGGTAAAGAAAGAATTGAAGAACATTCTCTTCGTAGTATAGAGACAAAGTATTCCTCACGAGATAATAGGCAAATAGGTAAATTAGGTTTATTAAGTAAATAAAAGGTTATGCATTATTCCTTAAAAATCTCAGCAGCTTTAGAAACGTTAAAGCTTTTCTAGACTATTGAGTAAACCTTAAATCGAAAATCAATTTACGTCAAACACTTAGCCCGTTCCTACAAGTCAACAGGAAGTCACATTGACACAACATACTTTTACGGAAAACAAACTAGTGACTATGAACATTGTGTGAACATAGTTTCGTTTGTTTACGTATGTAAAGAGAAATAACGAACTCTTCAAACTAACTTAACCGGAGCTTTTAATTAATTACACGAATCTTTGGTGCATCAAGGTCACATAATTCTCGTCAGCCCCAAAGCCTACACAAGAGTTCGTAGAGCCAGCTACTACTGCTGCTCTCGGAGTAAAACTGTACAGATAAAGATCATATAGAAAACCAACGCACCCTATGCTTTTCGAGGAGGGAATATATTACTGTGCAACTGTAGAGGGAACACGAGGGAATAAGATCTCGCAACTGTGCACTCAAATCACTCGATTATTATAGCGATTACAGATGCTGGAGTAAAAACCGACTTACGTAGGAGAGTAAAACATTGCTAGGAATGTCGGATGCTGCTTCATGAAGTCGTCGAAATTGCTATCGGTGAGGACGTAGACGTTTTCCTCCTTCTCAAATGGCTCAACATCACCAGACGAAGGTAGATTTGTGGACGGCTCATCGGCATCAATTCTCACCAAGAGCAGAAGAATGACTGCCCACTTCATCCTAAACGAGCTATTAGATTAAAACTATGATGAGAATTTTGAGCTTCTGCGAAATAACGAACGATGCAAAGAAAATTAATCGAAGAGACTCCTGAGGCATGTTCAACTCTAAAAACCCGGAAATGTAACCCTGGAAATGAAATGGAAAAGATCTACAGTGCATCTCTAATTGATCACTTCTTGAATTATTTTCTGATTCACAAATTTAGTTCACAGAATGCCGCCTAGGAAAAGCTAAACTTAAGAGAAAACCATGCAATCTTATTTCTTTTCCTTTTAATTTGACCCGTTTTCACATATTTTACGGGTTCTAGGACTTCTTCAATCCCGTTCGATCTTCGGATATGCGTACGGGCTCGTTCTTAATTGAGGAATTTGTCTCTTTCAAGAATATCGTTAAAAGCTAGTTGAGTTAATTTTCCGAGGAATCCCAAGATAGTACTGCCAGAACGCTACGATACTTTCTCCACAAAACGCCATCCTTTGTGCATCGGATGTAGTCTTTAGCAGACAAAGCTGATACCAATCTGCCGACCGGGAAAAGATGAAGAGCTTGCATAGTTCAATGCTGGATCGAACCAGTAAGCAAGCGTCTATTGCACGGCATTCCTTACCACTGCGCTTCCCTCGTCACCAATGTACAGTATATTATTGAAGACAAGTGTTGTGGTTTGTAACTGATTCATTAACATTTAGATGGTCCGTCCTCATACTTCGTACAGTGCACAGCGCTTCCATTCGCTTTTCGTCTTCTATTCGTCATCCAATACGGAAGCGACACACGTGTGTGTGTGTGTGTGTGTGTGTGCTCACCTGTAGTAGTGATAATCAATCACCTTCTCTACTCATTGAAATATTGAATGCTGGATGGGAATGGTTTTTCTTGGGATATGCTCCTACAAGTGTGTTCTCGAGTCTTCACCACAGGCACCTTTCAGTCCTGGAGAATCCGAGGAAAGTTTCTGCTGTCCTACAAACGGGACTGTTGCACGAAATCATCGACGTCTGCCATTTATATGGGCCGAAGAGGTAAAGAAGATGCTCGGTCCAATAGATCCAACCGGTCATCAGATTTACTTTCTAGTCTTCAAGGAACAAAGCTCTCAGAATATTTACCAAACAGTGGTAAATGGGGTTGCCGATAAAAAATAATGATAAACAGGAAATAGATTTGTAGCGCGGAAAACTTAGACCATCAGAGGCTGATTCTTTCTGATTCTGACTGATTTTCTCTTATTTCATCATCCTAAAGAAGCCTGGGTATACCGACATTTGTCATTACTCTTCGTGACGACAAGCATCTTAGAAAACGAACAAAGGATATAAGTTCTGCAAAAAGACAATAAGCTGAACATGGCTATGTTAAAAACTGGCGTCTAATAAGAACAGGAGCAGAACAGCTTCATGAAAACACATCCAAAACAGCAACCAAGCCGAAAATTTCACAGAATGCTCGTCTACTGACGGTAGAAGCCGATAACGTCGCAGTTCCAGCGGCGCCACGTTGCAGTAAGAAATGTGAAAATGAACGTATTCATGGTGAATAGTAACAAACAACGGGGAGAGTCAGGTGAACGGATTATAACTGGTAAGGCTTAAGCATCTCGTAATCAACGAGCCCTAAATGACTTCCCGACAATGGTAGGACGAGGCTAAAGCAACCTCGACGAATTTGTCATACAGTTATTACTCGGTACAAAACTGTATTCTCCACAGTATCATATTTCGTATTTCATTCAACCTAAGACTACAAGATATTTCTCTCACGGTCGCCAGTCGTCAATTCAAGAAATATTTTGTGGATAAAGGATAAAGCTCTCGGAGTTGATTGATCCTCGAGGGATGCGCCAAGCATTCGACTTTACTAAGCATCGTTGAAGATGACTGAATGCATATCCGGCCTTTATAATGACTCGCGGTAGTCCAGCGATATATCGAACTAGTGCTGCTATCCTCCAGACAAGTCTGGTACCAATTTGCGACCCCGTGGGGATGGAAGGCTTGGTGAGCCTTGTGCGTGGGGAACGATCCCATGTGTATTGCAGGGCGCCTCCGACCACTGCGCTATACACAACTACTAACGATATTCGAAAAACTGTTGTGTAAGACTGAAAAAGTAGTGACTGGAGCACTTAACACTGATAACGACGACTATCAACGGCAGACATTCTTGTGCTCGAAGTAGCACTAAAGTGTCCACTGCTTATCACTCAAATCACAACTGTTCATGTGTTGTTCGGTCCTAACAACATGAATAATACTCAATATTGACATACCTTTCCTCCCACAATTTTCAACAGCCCATCTCAAATAAGGACTACTTGGTGTCGAATATCAAGTTAAAACAAGAGTTTGTCCTCAAGAATGATCATCTAGGCCGAGTAGTTTAACGTCTTCACCAAACAAACTCACCCTAAGATGGACTTGAGCCATAATTTAAAAGACTTTCGTAAAACGGCTAACTTCTCTTGGATCGATAGGGTTCGGAGGTGACGAGAAAGCTTGTCGATCCAGAAAAACCAGAGGTCACCACACAGGTATTGCTGCACTTCTCGTGAACACAGGTCAGATAAGTGTACAAGTAAAAGGTTCCCTGTAGGGAAGTAGGAATTCAGCTCTAAGAGTAAACGTAACACACCTAGATCCTGACTAGTAGTACTTTACAGTCGTTCAAACGTAGTGATATCAACAGGACAATGACCTTTGTCGACAAGTTACTAGCGTAGCGGTAGGACTAGTGTTTGTCGATGTGCGCTCCATCCATCTCGCAATCTCAAACACCGTGCCAGTCCTAATGTTTGCCGTACCACTGACTTAGTCCACGAAGGCTCTACGCAGCTCCGAAACGATTACAATGCTGATTTTCCCGCTGAATATGAAAGTGTAGACTCCACCGTTCTATGATTGTTCTGTTTAGTACGAAGACAAGCACATACACACAAATCGTGAATTGTTCATGGAGCGCTACATATGAAATCATATTGCGCAATTTGCCAAGTATTTGTAGGAACAACATACAGACCAACTTCACTGGGATCTTGGACTTCGAAACCCGCTTAATAGAAACACTTTTATTGTTATATTGTGCATAGATAATATAGTCGCAACTAACAGGACTAGTAAGAACAACACTCCATATATATATATATATATATATATATATGTATATATATATATATGTATATATATATGTATATATTACAACACAACACTACTCGGAGAAGAACGCAATCTTTGGGATGTGAAAGTTATCACGAGATTTTATCAATGAAAGCTAACTATGCAAGTTATCACAAAGATACGTACGGGAAAGCGATGAGAATACGTCTTCAACATAGCAACGGGAAAGATCTCACAAAGTACGGAAGCAAATATAACAAGATAATTTAAAACACAAGTAGACTAAGCTCTTCTTCTAAGGACTTCGTTAACATTTCTTATCACTGTTAGTATTATTGTTGCTACTGCATTCTTCCTTTCCTGAGCCGTAACCGAACTTCATTGTTTCAATATATTCTTGCTCACTTAGCCATAAAGCACGGGCTAAAGCATCTTCTTCTTCTTCCAGACTCCTAGGCCATTCTGAAAGCTTGGAAAATAAACGGATTGCATGTGATGCTAGTATATGTTTTCCACTGGGAAAGTACTTCGATGATGGAACATTACGACAATGATAACAGAATGCATTAGAGCAAATGCACATGTCTCTCAAGCTCTACAGCTTTTTTTAACATAACAAGCTCCCGGAGTTGAAGGCTTGGTAACCTGAGGCGCAGGGACCCAATGTGTACTGTTGAGCGCCTCCGACCACTGCGCCATATGCATCCCTATGCATACATCCCTATGCATATAGCATTCACTTTAATGAGTTCAGCACTTTGACTTCCCTCCGTAACAGAGAGTGGCAATGAGAGAGAAACAGGCGAGTGAAAAAGAGGTGAAGACATAGCACATGTATGCATATATATATATACATGTATATATATACATATATACGTACATATATATACATATCTATGTATATGTACACATATGTGTATACAAGTACATATACATGTATATATGCATGTGAATATAGACAGAGAGACACAGAGAGAGAGAGAGAAAGAGAGAGCGAAGGACAATAAAAAGGTGGGTACAAAGAAGGAAGTTTAAGTACAAAGATGTGAAAGTAAATGCAGACGCTGTCAGAAAATAAACTGAGCACAGCATATTACATTCGCTACTGTTTTGAATTACACTACGAATTACCGTTTAGTGAGAAGTGTAGCAACAAAAAACTCTGTTCCTGTATGAATCGAAATCAAGTAAATGACATAGCTAATAGATGTTACTGTTAATAGTGGAACATGTTTCTTTTATAAACAAGAAGTGAATGTTAGAATTTTCTACGATAGGTACTAATGGATTTGACAGAGAATACCATTTGGATTAAATTCACATCTTAAACAGCTCGAAAAGGCGCACATAAATTCCAAAAAAAACGTGAGCCACTTTGTTGAAGGGAAAATCCCATTCCGTTAGATTGTAAGAAAAACGATGTCGGTTTTTTTCTCAAATGCTTACTCCCAGTAAGACTCCGCCCTTCTATTTAAACTACTTCGTGGGGATTCCAAGAAAAACCAAGTCGAAAGCAGAACTCTTACATAACATACTCTTTATTGGATGACAACTGCAAGACAACTAATTCAATAGAAGTCATGGTGGTCGGTTGACATGTAAAAGCAGTCAAATGATTCTCTATGTAGATCAACAAAATGGAAGAAAAGCAGATCTGAACACTTTTTATCCAACCACAAGTATGTTGAGATATAAGCATGCTTTTGAAGGTGGCCATATTGCGCGAAAGTCCCAAATAATCTTGTCAGCCGTACCTAAGTCCAGCAGTATCCCAAAGTCGTGGCTGCGAAGTTTTCCAGTGATTCTTTGTTAACAAAAACGATCCATGATCACAGTTTGAACACGAGAAGTTAATTCAGGGCAATGGTTGCATGAAGATGAGACTATGAAACGCTTCCTTGATATTTGCAAATTTCACATGCGTGGCAAATGGTTTCATCCGAATAATCCATAACAACCCTGGTGAAATAACTACATCATGATTATACTCTTAGCAAATCATCAAAATGCATTAACAATTTCAACACGTACGGCCAACGTTGAACAACGGAAACCCAATTTATTGCACAACCTACGCTGTAGAAATCTAATGAACTAGGACCAAAACCCTACCTTATCAAACACACAGGACCGCTCGCTAACCAACCACCACTTTTTCAACCATTTCGACAAATACCGCCTAATAAAACTTCTTTACTAGGGTGGCCTGTCTTCAGTGGCTGTGTGGGCCAGGCCACAGTTTAATTTCAATTCATTTCTCTCTAGCGCAATCGCCGTCCATGGTTGTGGTTTTGTTTCGAACATAGTGACCACCATGAACAGAGCAGTGGGAGGATTGTTGAATCGAAAAGGTGGACGCGCAGCTTTCGGGTTGTTAGTTGGTCGGTGGCTCGTTTGAGTGCTCTGAATGCGGCCTATGCCATTCTCCTTCTTCTGCCTAATTCCTTCTTCATGTTGTTCTCAATGTTTATTGAACGTCCAAGGTACACTTAAGAGGTGGTCTCTGTAATCAGAGAACCACTCAGTTCGCGTTGTTCACCTTCACCCAGTAGGTTTCTCATGAATTGGATCTTCGCCTTTCTTGGCACTTTTAGTTTATTGAGCATCGTCTCTGTTATAGCGTTACTCATTGGAAAGATACCGATGTGATCCGAAAAACGAAAGTTTTACAGGAGCTTGGCATCAATTCGTATGTCCTTTTCTTCTCAGTTGAGCGAGTTCATTATTCACTGAAATTCAGCTGTGAACAGGTTTAGCGAGATGGTTTCGTCTTCCTGAATTGCTTATTCTATAGGAATATGGGAGCAATAAAGGAGTGGCAAGGGTCTTCTGGAAAAGCTGTGTTTTCGTGGTGCAGTTCTAATAAAAGTCAACTAGTTTTCGAATATAGGACGGGTCCACTCTTCGGTTGACGAGCACTGATAGGACTGCATTCGTTCTGACGCTCTCAAAGGCTTCTTCGTAGTCGATAAAGGTTAGGACTGGAGGTAAATGGTAGCGCCAACAAACTTCTATGACCGGAGCACAGTTTAGTTGCGGTGTATGCATCAGAGTCCTTGTAGGAATCCTGCTTGCTCAACTCGCTGTGCTTCACCTAAAATCTCTGATATTCGCAACAAAACAAGAGTTCTTTTCCTACCTAGCTTATGCCTTAATCGGATCTAAGCACGAAGAAAGTGGCAATCAGACCCACTAAAGAAGGCAGTGCGGAGGTATCAAAGACACATCATATTCAGTCCGTGAGAATACGGTCTATCTCCGCATGTGCGGTACCGTTACGTAACTCGCATGTCACCCGACGATTTTCATCGTTCTCGGAAAAATTGTATCTAGAAGGACATGTTGAGGAGAGGTGTCCCGGAAGATAGTTTTAATTCCCGTTTCGATCTCATACTGCTAACTTTCTTATTCAGTATCTATTCCCGCTAATCTAATCCTCACAAGGCAGTCAAGTCTCCAACAAGGAATTTATATGACTCTTCATTGCGGATTACTTCCTCCAAATGGTTGCAGAGCGCATCCAGTTCACTTTCACCAGCTGTACAAAATTGTGAGTAGCACTTAATCACATCGAACTTTATTCGACATAGAAGTTGGGAACGAAGAATGGCCAAGTGGTGTGAATTAACGCATGATGTCACTAGATGGGAAATAGATGGATGCAAGACAAAAGTCAACATCGCCGATATTTTGTAATGGAAATTTCCCTCCGTAACGGTCCTAACATTTAGCTGTCGTATGTCGGTCGTCCTGCGTTTCCTTTCATGTAAGGTGATCACATGGAATTTGGTGCGGTCGGCAACCTCAAGAAGAGCATCAAGGTGGAAGTTTAAAGAGACTGTTTCAGTGTTAAAGGTGCACAGCAAGAAGCAGTCTCCAAGGCGTGTCGTGGGCGTGCATCTCCCGGTCTGCGATGTACTGAGGCTGGAGTTTTGCTGGTTTAGCCATTCTTGTTCCCCGTAATTCCGATGCCCGCCTAGCTGAAGTCTTTCTCAGGTTGTTACCACTACAGACAGTTGTCAACCGATAAGGATCAGAGGAAAATTTGTCGCCTTACCAAGACGGCGGTGGTTTCCAATTTTGGTTTACTCTTAGCTGGGCTTCCCGGATGGAAGGTTTGGACCCTTAGCCTGCTTAACGGACCATACTGGTGCGATAGCCTCCTGCTCTACATTGTAATTTGACAGCCAAGAACATTTCCTAGCGATGATAAGGCGGTAAACCACCGCACAATAAAACCGTATAATACAAAAATCTAAGGCGTAGCTGAAAATATCTTTAACCTTTAGAAAATCGTCCTTTTCAAAAAGCTAGAAGTTGAGGAATAAAGGAAATTATTCTTTCATGGCAATAAATACATTCTAATGCCTTCTATCAAACTTGATAAAGACTGTTGATAAAACCATTGGTTGTATTTCGCTTAGTACCCTGCCGCGAAATTATAGTAGGCAGAAAATAAAAAGGTACAACACTGTTGATAAAGTTGACAAATGTGTATTTACTAAAAGTTCAGGCCAAAATACCAGAGCTAACCCTCAAATTTCATTCGTAGTAAACTATGGACGAATTTTAGTTTAACAAGGAACACAGAACAGTTATATATATATAAATATATATATATATATGTACATATATGTATGTATATATATTTACATATATCGATGCGCCTTTCCACATATATCAGAGAACGTTGGCCAAAAAGAAATACAGTATTGACAGAACTAATTAGTCAAAACATCATATTATAGAAGTTCGCCTCGAATTATCGGTAGTTACAGCGAGACATCTACGACCATTCAGAAAGAAATCCAAGCTTAAACTTGTTGAAATCAGAGAAGAATGGATGGCATATTGTTCAAAAGACGTTAATGCTTAAATACTCACGTTCGATTGCCAGTAGTTCATCATAGAGGGTCGACTTCTTCTTTAAGCGGTTTTCGATTTCCGTAACATCATCGTCTTCCGCTCCTAATTCATGCATCCAATCAGAAACCTCAGTTTGGTGATAATTAGAATCCAAGTTAGAAGTGCCCCTGCCGCCCATAATCATCTTCAAGTAATCCATATACGATTCGTGGGCAACCTGGCATTGTATATCTAAATCGACCAATCCTAAAGATAACCTTTCCATATGACTTACCTGCTCATTGATTTCCTTTTCGGTTCTTTCAATATCCGTCAAGGCTAGCTGACTTTGGAGTATAGCCTGCTCCACACTTAGCTTCTCACTTTCTTTTATTGCCTGATGAAGATTATCCATTCCACTCGAGATACAATTAGGTAGTCCCAAACCAATCCCAACCATAGGCGTAAAAGGATCAATTACTGAACAAAACATATAGAACAAAGTCCTGAATTCCAACGGATTCCTGAGAAAAAAACAAAACGTACACTATTTCGAAGGTGTGAACATGAAATGGAACCCACAAAATGGAAAATTGCGAAACAGAAATTACTTTTTAAAAGTAAAAATAAGATCCCCCGGCAGTGTCTCCCAAGCTGAGTAGTCACGCGTTTAAGCGCCAGCTAAGAGTAGATCAATACCAGGATCCACTACTATAATGGCATCAATTTAGTCGCATGGTGGCAAACCTCTCTGATTCACAAGTGCACCAACTGCCCACAGTGGCGACGAGCTAGAGCAGACTTTGGCTAGACTAACCTCAGGACCCTAGGCAAGCACAGTGGCTATACCATCAAAACTCCGAAAAAAAAAAACCGGATTATGCTGGGACCGTCACAACTAGTGACGGTGGATCAAGTATGTCCAAGATTAAGGATGAAAAGGAGAATAAGTGAAGTGATAAGGAAACAACACACCAATATCTAAATCCATGAGATCAAGACATGGATTGGATGAGATTAGAAAAGGTGGAAACTAATTCCGCGTGGATTATATTAACGCCTCACCGGAATTATAATGCGATGAACCGTGGTAGCTAAGACGAATAGGCGCGTGCATTTCAAGGGAATTGATTGTTGGATAGAAGACGTTCCTTGGATCTAAACAAGTTATTAGTATGAAATATGAGGAATACAAAGTTCAGCTTAACACTGATCTAACCCACTTTCGCTATACTCGTAAATCTCAATAGGGCGTCCAAACATTTCCGAGATAGCCTGCAGTTCGACATGATTACCATATTGACCGGGTTGTCGTTTACGAGCAATATAACGCGAAAAATTCTCCGTAACAAAGGGAGCAAAATGATCTCTATTCCTCTCCTTAAATTTGACGTTGCGTGTTTACAACATCATTAAACGATAAAGCGGCAAACAACAAACCATGTAATCCATACATAATCGCCTTACTTCATCATGCATACCTTCATCTGCATAAATTTGATCGGCTAAATAAAATAGATTTAACCCTTAATTGGACATTGTGGACGATAAAGAATACTAACCTACTGCTCGAAACATGCACGATCCATCTCCTCGAACCACTTTTATCTCGAATCCACGAGTTCTTTTCAAAAGAATAGCAAAATCGGCTTCCAACTGTAATCACCACAACTCCGAAAATATTAACTCGTGTCGGAAACTTTCGAAGAATTATATTAACTCACATACCGCATCATCTTTAAATCCGACGTCATATTCATCATCGGAATTTGCTCCAGGAGAAATAAATCCGTTCCGAGTATACCCTAAAACAGATACGAATACTGAAAACGGATAAATAACGACTTCTGAAAACGATGAGTAAACTGCCATCCTTTCGCCACAACTGTCGAAGAAATAGTAAGAAAGATATACCTTGTCTTCCATTACTCATGTTTATGCGCCTTCGCTGAACTGAAGTCCTAGACTCAGTGGTGAATGAGAATGCCAGTAGGAAAACTACAAACACATCAGTAGGAAGGAAGAAAAGACAAGGAAGAAAAAGAAAAGAATAAGACATTGATTTGGTTTACATCTTCGAGGTATTTAGCCACTTCTACCAGCTTCGTTCAGATCACTACCGTTGTGAGAAAGCCATTTATTCGGCAACTTCGACAATCAGAAAACATTATATCAAAGAACAATAACATACAACAAGATTAGAAAACACTGACGAAAATATGCACGTACTCATATGACAATACCATACAAGAAACTTCATTTTGGTAAAAATCGCTGACATGTACAGCCAGATTCTTTCCGATCAGGAAGTCTACGAATAGTCAAATTTGTTCTAAACTACTGAAATACATTACAGCATCAGTACCATGTACACAAAAAAACAAAAAAAATCGTACTCCAAGGGTCGAATTAAAAGGGAATGTTTAACAATGGTTACCAAGCGCATGGTTAGTAGCTAGTTATGTTTCAACTTACGAAATTTTCCATTCACATGTTTATCAAAGGTGACTGAACAAAAACAAAAAGGTTTATGAATCTAATAAATGGCTCAATGCAACTTGAGAACCTAGAACATGGTAGGAAAAAGATAACTGCTTCAGAACTAAAAAAAAGTTGAAGTCTGAAGACAACTTGGATACGAAAACGCCGTCCTGAGTACTAGCCTCTTTATAACGCTGATTGATGAAGAATGAATCTATTGATAAAGTCGGTTCTATCAGGACCGTTTATACTTTTGAACTCTAACGACTAAAACTGAAGTACAGAGACCACACTGACCAAACTACTGAATATCTTAGTGAGAATATTGACATGAATTCTTGTCAGGACACCACATATATCACCGTGATAAACAATGAAGATAACGATACTCCAGATGTTTAAAGCAAAGGGTAAAACTTCACATTATCGAACATACCTAGGTCTATTCACCATAGTCAGGTCAGCATGTTCTAGTTTCACAAACGACATTAAGACATCCGTATTGTCGTGGAGCATACTGCTGCTGTAAGATGAGCGAACTACGACGATTCCTTAGTGGTAGCCGTGGCTTCGGTAGCAGAATTACAATTAGCGAATCTTGAGTTGGGTCTTGACAAAACTCTTAGCCGAATTCCTCGCCGACCACCAAACGTTTCGAATTTTGGCGACCTGAAGAAATAAGAGAGATACTATATGAAAATCTCAAACGACTAAAAATGTTGAAAAAATAAAAATGAATGAAAAATGCTACTGAGATGTTAAGGTACTCAAACAACCCGTAATACATAATTAATATTCGAAAGTATCAATTCATATATATGAACATTAAACTCATACGAGGGAGGCTGCTCATGGGTTTCCAGAGCTCCGGCTGGATCTGGAAAACCGTCCTCTTCATCAACAAGTGCTTTCTCCAAAATCACACGAGCCTCTTTATAACGCTGTGACTCCTCCATTGCAAATTCGTACATCCAGCCAACTCTCTCCTAAAAAGTGAAGACCTCTAAGATACACAGATCACCTAGTAGGAGTAAATACGACATGAAGGACTTCGAACGTACATGACAAATTCTGCACTTCACATCACGTACTATGTGTTTGCCGGTCATCATATCGCGATGCTGCGCCTCAGAATAGTCCAAGTTCCAAGCTCGATGGAATAACATGGCACTGCCAGAAGAGCCTGTTGCAAATGTGTCTCATGTGTAACTATTTACTTTCCCGAAGGAGAGATAACGACAAAAAATTCTCCAACTCGCTACATTTTTACTCCTTACATCGATACACATCAGCCTCTTGCTAATCAAAACACCTTTATAGATATAAAATTAAAAAAAGATAAAGCACTAAACGTTGGTCAATCCCTGAGGGATGCACCATGCATTCGACTACGTTAATCATCGTTGGAGGGGACTGAATGCATATCTGGCCTTTACAATGAGTCGAGGTGGCCCCCCGATGTATCCAACTAGGGCTGCCGTCTTCCCAGATAAGTCTGATACCAACTTGCCGACCCCGGAGGGATGGAACGCTTGGTGAGCCTGGGCGCGGGGATCGATACCAAGTGTAATGTGGGCGCCCCGACCACTGCGCTACACTCGCCTTTCCTAGTTTGATGTATAACATGATATTTCTTGTACCTAATTTGTCAGAAAGAGAACAAGATTATTAAAGCGAAAGAAGTGAAACAAGACAGAGCAGCACTATTTACATTAAAGAACCATTTAGATACTTAAAGGATGAGAGAGTCCTAAGGCACTGCACTTAAACGACTACCACGTTCTTCCTTAATTTGAATCCCATGGTATTACTACTAACATAATAGTTACTATTCAACGGATGTTCTAATTACTAAATAACTAAATACTAGTACCCAGTTTCAGTACTGAATATAAAGAACATGTAGTCTTATAAGCCCACCTAAAAAGAACACTCACCTTGGAAACGGCTTGAAATCAATTCACTACGGTTGGTGAGATAAGTCCTACAAAAGCGACAAACCACTAGCCGTAAACCTCCTTAAAAAAGTACTAAATACATTAGTACTGTAGACAGAACTAAGCCATCTGCTCAGATGACATACCGTGATTTTCAATGAAGATACGGCCCATGCTTTGCTACAAACAAAAACGAAACCCGTCCAAGCAGAAACCCTGAAAACTCCAAAGTGGCAATGGAATAGAACAAAAGACGAAGAATGGAAGAAAACAAAAGTTGACGCGAATTCAACAACAGATCGTTTTCCATCGTCCGGAATCCAACGAAGAAAAAACAGCTGACATCCTGGTTCATACCAACTAGCACAAATCAAAATCCTCACCAGAAGCCATTAGCATCCGTTCGATTTTTGAAAGAAAAAAGTACTCATGAGGTTCTTTTCTTTCTTTAATACGGTCTAAACTGTAATACAATGATGGCAGTGTGTGCAGTTAAGTAGAAGGAAGGCAAAACGAATGACACGCGTGATGTGGTGGTAAACATGTTAACCCCCGGAAAAGTGTAATAACGAGGTTCGATACTCGCCGCAGACAAGAATACCCTAAAATTTGAACTTTTATAACAACTACAGGAGCAGAATACTGAAGACATTGGATTTAACCGGACAACATGTCTTAGATTTCCGAAGCAAAAACAGCCTGTTCCTGGATCTGAAAGCCACCAAACCATTAAGGTCCATTGTTAAGTCATGGGAATAGGTGGAGGCACGAGAATAACTGAAAGTTCAGGTCCTCATTTAGATTCGCATCCAAAGAGAAATGTGGTGGACTTCAAGGTTGTAGCAGCACTTCCAGACTACGTCAGATCCACGGCGTGTACGCTCCGCCGGATCGTCAACAACCCGCACTCGTGACTACCCTACAGGCGGTCCCGGACAACTCGTCCGACTCTAGCGCTGGTTGTCCGAGGAACGATTGATCTCGAAGTGGGAGTAGTACCTCCAGATTACATCAGCTCCACGATGCGTACGCTCCGCCGGATCGTCAACAACGCGCACCCGTGACTGCCCCGCCCTGCTGGCGGCCGACGTGACAACTCATCCGATTCTTGTGCTAGTTGTCCTGGAATACGTGGTCACGAGTATCAGCTGATTGAGGTCTGCGTAAGGTGCCTCGATCTCTATTTCGCCATAGTTCTGGTTTCTTGTTAGCACTATGCTGTTCTTAAAGTTTTTGTTTAGACGGGTTGCGATCTTCATGGTTACAAAGTATGGGCCGTATCTTTATTGAAAATCATGGTATACAACTTATTTATGGGCATTTCGTTTTGTTTTGCTGCTACGATAAATGTCGCTTATTTCCAGGAGGCTTACGGGTAGTGGTTTGTCGGTTTTGTAAAACCTATCTAACGAATCGTAGCGAACTGATTTCGAGCCGGTTTCAAGGTATGTCACTTTGTTCATTTTTGGAGTGGCTCGGTAAGATTTCTGAAAACACGTCAGATCTTTTTCAATCCATTCGGTTTATTCATCATTTTCGGAAACCCAATGCAGAGTAGTATAGTGGAGTCATTTTATCTGACTTTCAAGTCGCTTGTCCTTCCAACGGTTTAGTGTCTCGTCGTGGTTGGAAGGTGTTCCTGGGTGTCAGGCTATGATGTGCAGCAGGGGATTCGTCTCCCTGACAGGGTCTCCCAAGCTGAGAATAAGTCCAGCGTTTCCATCAGGAAGCCTAGCTAAGAGTAAGCTGATACCAGGATCCACCACGATCCTGATATCAAAGTCGAATGGTGCAAATCTCCCTCTGATCCACAAGGGCGGCAATAGCCTGTGGTGGTGACGACCTTGGGAACATTTCGGTTAGACTAACGTCGGAGCCCCAGTGGACCAAATAGCTAAACGAGCAAAATTCCGAAGTGGAAATTATGCTGGAGCCCACACAATCAGTGAGGAGGGGCCGTACAAGTATCCAAGTATGTGAAACTTGATTAGTCGTAATACAAACAATTTGGGCCAGATTTCTATTACGGGAAAGAGAGATTACCTGTTATTCACTTGATCTGCATACAAAGCCGTCGTATTTGTGACAGGTTCGTCTGGCCGTGCCATGTTGTTTCACCGAGTTTGGAATTTGGACTATTCTACGGCTCATCACCGCGACATGACTACTGGCAAACACATCGTCCGCGACGTCATGTGCAGAATTTGTCATGTTTGTTGTCTTTCAAGTTCTACTTGTCGCTTCGAAACCGTTCTTGTTTTTTATCGTGTTTCATAAAGTTTCAGAGAAAAATTGGTTGGATGTACGAATTTGCTATGGAGGATTCTCAACGTTATAAAGAATCTCGTGTGATTCTCGAAAAAGCGTTAGTAGACGAAGTGGACGGTTTTCGTGATCCGGCAGGAGCGCTCGAAACACACGACCAACCTCCTTCGTAAACACTTTTTTTCTAAAATTTCCTCTACTGTTGAAGTTCAGCAAGGAGATATATCTTTACATATGCAGGTTTCACTGATCTGTAACCAGCAAAGGGTACTCTTTAATTCTTACTTTGTTTCTTAAGGTCTCCAAAGTTCGAAACATTTGGTGGGCGTCGTGGGATTCGTGTAAGTGCGATGTTGAACCCTAAATCCGGAATAAGCAATAGAGATTCCAGCAATAGAGGTCCTGCTACTAGCAAGGATTTTCCATAATCCGTCCAAGTGACTCACTGTCTTAACACGGCGGCAACGCCCATGTTTAAAATTCATCTATAGGCAAACTGTTGTGTCTGAACTTGCCTTTGTCCTAGTAAGAAGAGCGCTCCAGTGTGATTTATTCAGTGCTTTATATGTGTAAGTGTACATTGACGGTGATGAACAGTCACTATCTTCTTTCTAGGTGTTCTTACTGAAATCTGCTTTTCAAAGTTCACTGCGATGATATAGGAAACAAGCTGTCTGCTCTTCATTGTTCTATGTTGTCTTATCATATCTATCGACTTTCTTTTTATATCTATTGCAATTTTCAGAGGTTCACTAATAACAATGAATAGGACTTTACCAGTTCATTCAGGTTCATTCATATATGTCGGAATGAAATTTCAGTGCGTCGATGTTTCTTAGGAAGAAGTTGTAGAGTCACTGCCATATTTTTTTGTTGGAATCATTGGTTTTTATAACGAAGTCATTCCTAGATGCCGCGAATTTTCTTAGAACACTGGGGTGGGCGTCGAACATTTTCCTGTGAAAAGTGTGGTACCTACCTCTCGAATAGGCAGGAGGTAGTCTCAACACGATTTAGTGGTAGATTTTTTGCCTTTAGTTCAATTTTCTGCTGTTATTTTCAGAGAGGCTACTTTTAGGGCGCACGGGAAAAGCTTTTTTATTTCGACGAGTCGCTAACGTTCGACAAGGTATTCCAGTACTTCGTAAACTTACCACTGGGAACCATTTGGTTAGCTTCTTTTTCACTAGTTACTTTTCTTTGCAACGTTGTGTGTCATTATTATAGGTACGAGGTATTTTCTGTCTTTCATGTGACACCAAACTAGGCTGGCTATATGAATTTACACGTGAGAATGCAGAGAGGTTTAAAGAAGGTAAGTTAACAATTTCTCCTAACGCTTTACCAATTCATCGTGACTGGGAGGTGTTCCTGGGTGTTGGGCTGCTATGTACAGCGGAGGGTTTCATCCCCTCCAGTAGGGCCTACCAAGCTGACAAGGAGTCCGGCGTTTCCGTCAGGAAGCCCAGCTAAGAGTAAAGCAATACCAGGATCCACCACGGTCCTGGTGTCAACGTCGCATGGTGGCAAATCCCACTCTGATCCACAAAGGCGGCAATAGCCTGTGGTGATGACGACCTTGGGACTCCAGGGAACCACAATAGCTAAACCAGCAAAATTCCGAAGTGGAAATTGTGCTGGAGCCGACACAAGTGAAGACGGGCTATCCAAGTTAACCATCAGTAGGATGCTGGAGAGGACAGTAGTTTTGTCGTATTCAAAGCAGTTGAAGACAGAATAGAGTACACCTCGGTGCATCAGCACAAAGTATTCGAAGATCGGTGTTTTTCGCCTCCATTATTCGCAATTTACAGGAAGGTTTATTCTCGAACGAAGTCTGGTCCGTGAGGTCGAGATAATGCACAATAAACTGGCTGAGCATTTATTCGAACGTGATGGGCCTGCTTCTCCAGTGAACGTGCGAATTAGCTGGAAGAAAATGTAATAATTATCATAGTTCTATTAAAGTGTCGATCTCATCGAGTAGGCTAGTGCTATCAATACCTCGTATGTTCAGGAACTCTACAATCACTATGATTTTGTGTGCCAATTAATGTTAATCTCTGATTTTCTTTCTTTTACTCGTTTGCCTTGTGATATCTCGTGTTTCCTCATTGTATACAACGGTAATCCTTGCAAGAACGTATAACTGTGGTTGCGTAATAGTTACGTTTTCACCAAACAAAAGCCACATAGAATTGCCGTCTCGTTTCCGTATGTAATTGTCCTTAGGAAGTGGAATGTCAGTAGCAAACTGGTCCGTAGTAATGTACTACGTGTCAGTCAGTCTAGTATCGTGGTGACAGCTGTCTTATATGGTTCACAGCAAAGCTGTATGTTCTTAAATCGTAGTCAGTAATTCTCATATGGCGTTCGGCAGGAGGTGATAGCCATAGTAGCGCAATATGGATCTTGCCATCGGATTTCGTTTTCTTAAGAATCGACTCAGAGTCTTACTGTCGAGAACGAGTTTATTTCTACGAGTAGTTTAATTTGCATTTGCGTTTACGAAAAAAGAAGTGTACGAAATCAACCACAGCGATGCTAAGATATTCGCAAAACCTGGACCTAGGGCCAGATCGAACCAGAATTGCACTTTCCGGGGGCTAGCGTACTACACACTGCACCACTGAGGCGCTTGCTTCGCGTTTCTCTCAGATAGTTCGCTATATTAGTTTATCTCAGCACCGTTGTGGTTGTATTCCATGTCATGTCCTCCCGTGAAAAATATGCGCTCTTTTTTATTCACACACCACACTTAGAATTTCTGGAAAAATTTGGAGGAATACATTTAAAAAGGTAGGGTAAGCGTCAAATGTTGAAAGAAATTTGCTGGCAGCATACATAGATCTACACTGATGTGATGTTATTGGGTAAGTTTCTACAGGAACACTTATCACATTTCGATACTGGGAGATTGGCACTCAAAGGGTAGAGGTTAGCACTAAAGGAAATTCAATTTTTTGCACCGTGATTATGGTTAGGTTACGATGTGATAGAGTGCATATAGCGCAGTGATTAGAGGCACCGTGAAATACACGTTAAATATGCCCCGATGGTTCGAACAGATTGGTATCAGGCGTGTCTGGGAGGCTGGCAGATGGAGATGCTACGGTCCTTGATGAAGTCGAGTGTGTTGCGGAACAGTAAAGGACTGATCAATGATGGACTTTTCATCCCTTTATCCTTTATGCGATAATGTGGGATTCGTATTGTTACACAGTCCTCGAGCGGCCACCATGACAAGGATCACCGCGCCCTGGTGGAAAGTAATCACTAGGCACAAAACCTATCTCTTGCCCGTGATGGCTGACGATTACCTGAGAAACCTCTGAAAGTCCAGGTTTGGCTCTCTCAGGGTTCCAGTAAAAGCCATGCATTAAACATTCCCGGAAACGGACTGCTTCACATCTGTGGTGGGATTGACTGAATTACCTTTTTAAAGAAGAAAATCCGTCACCACGATATGGGAATCGCCTGATGTTTCAGCGTATGTGGAGATCGATGAAGTTGCCTATTTCTACAATGTCACATATATTCTAGGTCGGCGTCTTTCCATTTTCTCGACTAGAAAAAGCACAGTTTCCTTAAATGGAGAATTTGCTTCTACAACAAAATTAGGAAGTACTGCTGTCATCGTGCGAAGCGAAGAAAGCAAGTCGTATACAGAAGATGCAGTCCAAACCAATACCTTTCAGGATCGCTCAGCCTAGGCGAGGTTGATATAAATTTTTTATCCGACTAACGTTTTGACAACTTGTTTTCTTGACAGCCTGTTGATCCGAGCCGATTGTCCACAGCCGTTCGTCTTCGCGACGTGGTTCTTAACAGGTGTGTCAAGTTGAATCATCTGGAGTGGAGCATCCTGTGAATGAGAATCTCACTCAGCAGTGCCCCTTTTGCACGGGACGATGGTTGCTGATTGTCCCATTAATAATGATTTGAATTCAAATAGACCTCCTTTACTAGTCTGTATTATATAAAGGGGACACTGCCAGGTGAGGTCATCATTCGAGCGGCGCTCCACTTCAGATGATTCAACATCATACGACTGCGAAGAATGGCATCGCGAGGACGAACGGTTGTGGTTAATTGACGCGGATCAATTGGTGGTGAAGAAGACTAAGACGTCGAAACGCTAGCCGAATAGAAATTTTGTGAAAATCTCCTGTAAGCTGAACAACCCTAAAAGGTACTGATCATTCATGCCAAGGTTAAATGACAATCGGTCTTGAAAACTATTCTAAACCATTCGCTATCCAATGATGACTTGCTCAAATGTCATAGAAGACTACGGGACGGCGGTGAGAGATCTCAAAATCAATGGCGAAATACCTGTTCTTAATCCGAAGACAAGATCTGTACGCTTGTTAGGCGAGACTAAAGACCTTGAAATGATGCTCACGCCAAATTCCTGCTGCCGCACATACTGAACAATTGGTTATCAACGCCAAGCGAAAGTAGGATCTTCATTAATGCCAACATACAAGGATTTTGCAGCTTCCGCAAAGGGAACTCATAAAGAGATGCCGTCGCGATCTTACTATAAGGTAGATCGTGAACACACTCCATCTTATTATCTATGCAGTGGAGACGTGCGAGTTACAATTTCCCACCATAAGACTGAATTAATAAAAATGAGATTCTACGCAAATCTCTTTCGATCCACAACGCCCGTACTAGATTTACCTTCTCCACTTGAACAGCAGAAGTTTGAACTCTGAAACAATTCTACCAGACAGTATTTTCGCTGATCTCTTATAAGTTGGTGATGATCACCTACACTCTTCTTGCAAAAGTACTATACCAGCAAATGGAATGTATACCTAACCAATATAGGTTACTGCCATTTTGTATAACAGTTAACAAAGATGACTTTCATAGTTAGAGATTGATCAGCACAGTGAATATGCCCTATGGGGTTTTTACGAGGGCTATTCTGCGGATTTCTCCAAAAACTTGCAGAACGGAGATCTCAACTAGAATGGCATAGGATGCCGCTGAATGGACTACACTGAAACATGAGAACCACAGAAGATCATCTATGTAAGGCTTCGTTGTCCACAACAAGCCGTTTCAGAGTGTGAATACTGACACCGCACTGTCCGTTATAGTTGATCAACGTATAGAACTATGTAGAAGCTGCGAAACATTCTAACTATAACGTAAAAATCAATAAGAGGGTCACATAATGAGGAGAAAAGGCGACAGTTGAGCAAGACGACGTTAGACTGAATCTAGAAGGAATGAAAACAATCTAGAACGAGATGTGGTGGCTTTCACGGTTGTAGAAATATAGTTTCAATAGTTAGTTGTCAGAGTTGTTAGCTCGAATTGACTGCTCACCTCTGTATGAATATCCCACGCTTGACTTTTCGTATGTTGCTGCAGGGCGCATTCTCAAGCTTGTGTCAAATCCGTCTACAGCAAAAATGGTAGTACAATATCAATGCTGTGACAGTATACGGAAGAGTGATGAATATAAAGGCCATTACGGGGAACGAGGCTGTAAGAGCCCTAATAGAGAGAATTAGTAGAGAGCTGTAGAGAGGACTAACTGTGGAGTGGACCGACCTCAGTTAATTGACGAAATTGCTTATGTTTAACGTTTTGTTTTCTGCCTTCTATAATTTTCATGGCAGGTTACTAAGTAAGCGAAATACAACCACAACGTTGCTGAGATATTTGCAAAACTCTGGACCGCAGCTGTCTATGGTGGGGAACGAACGCGCTATTG